TTCGGTAATAATATATTACGTTACTAGTCCTGAAAATAAGTGTTTACCGGACAAGTGTGGTCGTTCCCGTGCGAGACGAAGTCGAGTATGGGATTACCATACGAGTCCGGTACACACATTTTGGACGAGTTGCGTACGATAGTTTACGCCATACTACTTTATCCGTACAAATCCTTACATATTTACACCAACTAAAGGACTAAAAATCACTAGTCATAACCTCTCTTGTTTATAACCACTCATTGCCACATAAATACAGTACAAATCAGCTGATTGGTGTCCGGTAAAACTCATTGCAGTACAGTAGTACGCAATGAAACCCCATTTGAATAAGATGGCGGCAAACAGCTGTTTTCTGGACTAAATCCTTGCGTGGGAAGTTCGTTAAAATAATATAGTGTGGCGTAAAACGCATTACAGTACAGTAGTACGCCTGTATGTGTAGTTTGAAGTAACAATCAACATTCAAAATACATCAATATACATTGTAAAGTTAAGTTTTGCAAGAGACGGTCTTTGCGACTAATTCTTGGGTTTTGGCTCTCCTACCAATTAAATGGGGGTTGAAAGGATGATATACGGTTCGATGAGCAGAGTGACCGCTCCGCGCGACCGATCTCTACCCTTGGGGGGCCATAAAACTAACCCTCGTCAAAAATCTGACCACTCCGCTCCGCACAACCGGTAGGTGCCCGAAAGGATAGCAGCAGTAGCAGAGACGTGCAAATAACGAGAGAGTGTGTAATAACAAAGCGCTTTTCTGCCACTACTGCCGCTCAGCTTCTTCAGTCGTCACTAATCTGCAGGTCGCAGCTAAAGAAGGTATATTCACAATTTAAATAGACACATCACTTATCGTCAGATGGAAAATATCGACGAATCTCTTCTTCCCCATAACTTTTCAACCTCAACAGTAATTGGCTTGAAGTAATGACCTCTGGATACTGAAGTATACACATTATCTAACCTATATATTCCAGCTGTTGTTTTTTTTTTTTATAAAAACATAGTTGTTGAGATACTCATAGAGATTTGTATTTTAATTTTATAAAAAAAAACAATAAAATATTAATTAATATTAATCCTGGTATTTCACAGAAGGGCTCAGAGTATTATGTCATCATCTTCAATGGTTAGCCTTTTTTGCCTTCATTAAACTTACGGTACATAACCAAAATTATTTCTTTAAGCCTTTTAATATTCTGCTCTTTCATTTGGAATCGAGTAATGTCATTATCTGGATACTCATTTAGTCTTATATTAAGCATTTGCTTTATGCAAAATGTATAATGTGTGGTATTAACGAATTACCCATATAGGAAATAAGCTATTACCATTGTACTTATGGTAAGACCTGGACCCGGGACCGATTTACTTTTTCGTTTTGAGGTCTCTAGAGGCCAAAAACACCATCAATTCAAATTCATATAAATATATATAATTCATATATATAAAATTCATATATATATATGTGTGTGTGTGTGTGTGTCCGTTAGCGCGATAACTCGAGCAAAAATGATCCGATTTTGATGAAATTTGGTACAAACATCTAATCCTACATTTATTCAAACGATTGTGGGGGGTTTTTAGGGTAAAAATAGGGTTTTCCCATTTTTGACACTAAAAACACAAAATTTCACAATTTCTTTCCAAACCATTTTGTAGAGATTAAATAATTTGGTATATTGAACCATCATTATGCGCCTAATGGTTACAAAGAAAATTCCAAAATTGTAAATTTAAAATGCCCATGTTATTCTTATGGAGAATAAGTCATCTTGGACAAATCTTACATTAGTACTTAACAGTAATAGCTCAGAGTAATAAAACAAATTATAGGTAATAGTTATTGACTTACCTCATAATTTTAGTCTTTAAAGGTGTAAAAAAGTATTGATAAAAAATAAAAAAGTATATAAAAAGTCTTTAAGTATATAAAAAAGTATAATTTTAGTAGGTATTTTGATGTAATTGAAAACCAAATCAGGCAAATGGAAATTAGCTTAGTCTACAGGTTTGCTGTGGCCCACAATAACATTAGGTTTACCAAAGTACCAAAGCGGGGGTAAAATGTGTACCCTACATAGACTATGCCAAAAGATAAAATCCATTCACATGATTGTTGTTAAGTACCTACTACTTTGTGTGGTAATTTCTAAATGTTAGTGAATTTCTTTATCACAAAGTACCCAATAGGTGGCACGGGTATGACCTAAGTCCTGGATAGATCTACATTATCATTTTGATGTATCCAGAGGCCAAACACACTATATGTTCAATTTTTTTTATATATGTGTGTGTGTGTGTGTGTGTCCCTGAACTTTAGTAATTTTTGTATGATTTTGATGAAATTTGGCTTGAAGGTGTAGGGCAGGGTATACTTGAATTAGATTGTGAACCAGCATGATCGGACCATGGCAACGGGGTTTTGTGGGTGTTTTATGGGGCAAAAATTGGGTTTTCCTATTTTTTACCCTAAAAACATAATATTTTGCAATTTCTTTCCAAACTATTTTTTTGAGATAAAAAAATATTTTTGAATATTAAAATGTTTTCATGCAGTAAATAGTTATAGAGAAATAAAAAAACAGAAAATTTCAAATTCCCATGGTACTTTTATGGAGAATAAGTGGCCTTAACTGTTGTAGTTTACTTGTTTATGGGTCAGTATTTTGATCAAACTTGGCAAATGTATTTATTTGATACTAAGCAATTAATGTTTTACTTAAAATGACACTATTGCCCTCCCTGTATCAGCAAACCTATGTAGGGCACTCATAAAATGATATTTTTTAAATAAGGAATAAATATGACATTTTAGGAGATATTTGAGTGAAAATCCAACCAGGCAAATATAAATCGGCTTAGTCTGTAGGTTTGCCGAGGCGGGGTATTTTACATTTCAGCTTGTAGACAATAACATGACAGGTATGTCACTTTCTTTTGAACATGCAACACGTGTGTGTGTGTGTGTGTGTGTGATCTTGTCACCTTTCAAAACAGGAATTCCATTAATATTGCTGGCTACACCTTCGTCTTTTTGAGTCCACCTCCTGGATGTATAGTCACGTACTCAACACGGATAAGGGTGTGTCTTGCTTTTGGCTACTGCCTTCGGGCTGACAAAAAACGTAGGAGATGAGCATTTTAGTCACTTGCTAAAGTTCACAGTTGCGCTTGTGCCATCTTTTCTTTCGCAAACGCAAGTATGTCTGAAGTATTTTTATTAAACTATATATCATTGTAGCTAACTCCAGGGTAAGAACTACATTTTAGTTGATTAGGTTATTATAATAATTACTGCATTCATACTGCAACAATTAAATATCTATTTAAATAAAATTTAAGTTTTCTCTGTAAGTACATTGCATAGAATCGTGAAGTTTTAGGTTATTTTTACGTTTCTGATTTTTTTTACTGGGTAAAAAACAAAAACCAGTATTTTATCTCAATCCCTGTCAGTCTGTCTGTACGTCATTGGTCGTGACGACAAAATGTCAATTTACGAGGCCTACCATTTGTGTGCCACAAGTAAAAAAAAAATTAAAGTTCTTACGACGTTTCAGGATCTGGAAACACAAAACAGTTATATGACTATGTTAAAGCAAAGACTGTCAATCACGCAACACTTTGCCGGTCCAAAAAGAGACAATGTACTGCATAGTACCCCACACTACAGTGCTGCGATCTACGGACATACCACGGACTAACTTGACTTATCCAATGTTATAGCGATGCAGTATTTTACATGTCCAAACGGTTACCAACATTTTAAGTTACCATTTTAAATTATGTAGTATTGTAGTATTACTTCAATGGAGCTATAAACTCCTCTGTCATGGGGTTAAAGTGTGTGGCTGAAGTGGGGGGGAATGTTAGTAAAACTATGCCGTTGTCCTTATTGAGATGAATCACCTTAATATTAGCGTGGTTTTCGTGATTATCAAGAATTAATGATACATTGTTTTGTCCTTTGCTAGGCTTTACATGATAAATGAAATATTGCTGTCCCTAGGTGCACTGGTCTTCCCTTTTGTTAAAAGGTTATAAAGTGTATTATTTATTATAAGACACTGTGACTAAAAAACATATGAAGGGGTGTACTCGGATTATCTTAAACATGTTTATCTTAATTAAAATCAAGGATGAAAAATTAAATTTGATATTTTTTACTTTTAGCTCATAACACTTAGCTTATACTTGTAAAATCAGATCTTTATCTTACTTATTACCTAACAATGTCAGTAAATACATTTTGAAATATTATTTACCCCCACACGAAGAGGCATACAGTAGTTAAAACTAAAATAACTCTACTTTAACATTTGATGCGATTCCTGACTATAGGTCAAACCAGCAAGGCCCATGATTGGTCCTTTCCTACCTTCAAGGCCAACAGTTGATAAGATTGTGAAAAAGAATGTATTTTGTGTACAAGAGCTTTGGAAACTATCTTACTATTAGTCTTTTATTCTTCAATCTTCTTGCTTCTATTTTCTTCCGTTAAAAGTTTCTTTATCTATGTTGTCTGTTGTAAAATTCTTACTTAGCTGGTTAAATGTTAAAACATTCGTTTTGCATTTTTTGCAATGTATTATGTGTGAATTGTTCTATAAATAAATAATTGTTCATTTCATTACATTTTCATTTCAAATGTTGGCAAATTAAGTTAGTGATTCAATTGCAATCATTTTGAAAGGAAAGATAAAAACTTTGGTCTTGTTATTTACAATTTCTAGAGTTTGGTGTATTGTTAGAAAGAATCAACGATGCATGATGCAAACTAATAAGGAATTGCAACATAGAATGAAATCTGCCATAAACATTTTTGTTATGGCTAGAACATTCCAAATACACAGAAAAGTATTAATAATTTTACTTGACTACTGTTTTAGGACTTATAATTGGTTTAGTATTTCAGCACATCTTTCATTAAATTAAACTATTCAAAAACTATATAGCTAATAATGAATGCTGAAACACATAATCAAAAAGAAAGCACTCGAGGAGAAGGAAAAATGGCTCATCGAAAATATTTGGTAAATAAATTAACGAACTCTTCAACTGATGATGATATTATAGTTTGAAGTGCATTTTAAAACTGCGGGTAAATTTTCACTACAATTATACCACACAATTTAATGTTTATTGGTATATGATAACATGGAATGGGCTTTAAACTAACAGAAAATGGCTCACAATATGACTGTGTTTTAATAAATTCTGGCCTGATTATAATACATATAAGAGTAAGGAATACATTTTATATCTAAAATAAGATACAACGGAAAATATTTATATTTTATATTTATATTATTAAAATAAATGGAGCGCTAGCCATTTATAAACTCGAATAGCATTATATTTATGACTTATTATGGTTTTTGATTTGGTTTGTAAAATTTCTCAAATCAAAGAGGCTTTAAATTTAAAGAAACATTTTTACCAATACATATTTTTTTGGATAATTTGTTTCGATAAAGTGACATTGTGTAAAATAATGGCTGGGCATTATAAATCATTAAGATGGGATTTTTTACTTACTGTACATTAGTGACAAGAAAACATTGTTCAATTTATCCTAACTAACGATTATTTTAAAACTTAACAATTATATTGAATATCTAAGTAAAAACATGTTCAATAACACAGTTTTATTTTACTAAGACATAAGCAATTGTATTAATTAAATCACATAGGAATATATTTTAGATACAAAAGACTATAACGAAACAAACATTAACATTAAAGATAGGCTATATTTTAATTTTAGAAAGTTGAATTTATATTTAAACCTGTTATTTCTTACATCACAGAACAAACCTCATCAGTCTTTATGGAAAAAATCCTAGAAAACTACTATTTAACAATTCAACTTTTTAATTACATTTTAAACTCGATATCATAAATTTTCACCTAAATCTATCATCATTTAACTATTAAAAATATATGGAATTTTTACATAACACTAAAAAGATTCAAATTACATAAAACTACTTCAAATGAGGATTTAGAATGTTATTGACATAAAAATAACTATGTAAAATTATGAGTAACAATGATAAAAATGATTAACAATTAATTAACAACAAAGGCACAGATAAATAATAAGCTGTGATAGCGAATGACTATAAGAGGTAGGTAGCTAGACACGAGTAGATTCGATGATATTGTCACGGGAGCTTTTCTTCTCCTTAGAGTTGAGCTCCATGAGAGCAGAATGGATTTGGAAATGTAGTCTGGATTCCAAGGAATATCCAGTGTAGTTCTTCCTAGAATCAAATATTCTTAATAGTTGTGTCGGTTGATATTTTGTTTTAAAGGTTCGGTTTTTGTTTTATCGGTTTTCGGTTATAAACAGATAGGCCACCGTTAAAGCCATTAATGAAAAGGAAGGAAGAATTAGATAGTGATAATACTCTCCTTGAAAAGGAACACTCCTGTTGTGCATTGAATGAATTATTAATTTACCAAGGGCTAAAAGTCATCGCACAACAAATTATGCATTAATAAAACTGACAATATAACAAGAAATGTGTGAGACTGAGAATTTTGATCAGGCCAATTGGATATTTTGTTCGAGCCGAGCTTTTGTCTATAATGTAAATATGTAGGAATTACACATAGTTTTTTTAAACATTTTTTCATAATGTTAGATGTAGGTTGGATATAATGGTAAAGTACATGCAAGCATGATTGCACAACAAACTTTGTTTAAAATAAACTTTTGCTATTTCAATTGCTTTCCAAACTTTCTAAGATAAGTAATGTCATCGACTAAGAATTTAATAAATATTCCAATAACTTGCAATAATGTACTTGCATAAAATATTTTGCGAGGAGTACAAATATTTTGCAATAAACTAAAATATTTTCCTGACGTTTTGTCAAAAAAAGAGTTTTGTTAGATTAGAGATTGTTAGAACAACTGGCAATAGAATTTTATTGCGACAAAATCACTAATATATCTGTTAGAATCACCTTTGTTCTTGGCATTGCAGCGTAGCTTTCAGTAGGTTCTATAGTGGTTAAGTGCACTTATGGAAAAAAACAAAAATACATTGGTCTCTTAGAAAGGAACTAAGATTTATGCCTTTCACAAATATCCATCAAAACTTAGCTTAAATACTTACTTGACATCTTCTAATATCTGGATAGCTTTCTGATTATGGCCCTGGTGGAAGTGAATGATGCCGAGTTGTACAAGGGCGTACGGCACAAGGTAGTGATCTTCTTTGATCTTCTTTTCCAGGGCCAGGACATTGGACAGACACTCTTCAGCTTGCAGAGGACTGTTCATCTGGTGTAGACATCCTCCTTTGAGCAGCATCAGCAGACCCCGGTTGTCTGCCTCATACGTCGTGCTGATCTTCACTGGATAACAGATTGAGCTTATAAAAGATACTAACATGATTTGAACCTTTGATTTATGGTGATGGGGAAATGCTTATGATTTATGGTGATGGGGAAATGCTTATGATTTATGGTGATGGGGAAATGCTTATGGCAGCCGTCTGACCATCGATTGATTCACCCCACTAACAATACTCATAAACCCAAAAACTATATAAGGGCTATTCAGACAGTAAGGAATGTTTTGGGAAAAATAAAAATTGTAAGACAATTTTGTTGTTGAATATAAACATTTGAAAGAGCAACTTAAATACAAATTTTCTACGTAGTCGCCAAACAAATAAGAGTTTTGACGGACTCAGAAAGGTTAGCCCGCTCTAGGCCACTTTTTGTCTCATCGGGGATCCTGACTATTGTAAACTTGTATATTTTGGAGTTATTAATGTTTGTTAAAATTAATTTAAATATATTTTCTGCCAGAGAAAAAAATACATGATTATGTGACTAGATTTAGGTATAAATTAGATTAACCAAGGTTTAGGTTAAGTAAATCAATGAATTATCATGTAAATTTAGGTCTAACATTTTTCAACAAGTTACCATTGACTTCGCAGAGTTTGCCTCAGAAAGCATTTCATAATAGATCGTATTATTGGTTACAATTGAACCCATTTTATACATTGGATGAATTTTTAAATATTGAAATTGAGTCTTCAAGCCTAGCCTAATTTTAGATTTTAAAAATTACATGATTTTTCTGTGATGTTAGCTCAATTTAATGTTGCTTAATGTGACTAATATGGCGATGTCTATTGCAAAATTTTGTAATTTTGTCGAAAAACTAATGAATGTCTTATTTGAGGATAAATTTCAATAGGTTTTAAGTTTATGGGCAACAAAACCCATATTACAGACCGCAACTTATAATTAGCAGGATTTTTAAATATCCGCACACTTAATATTGTAACAACAAGCAGCACAAGGATACTTCCGCTGTGATGACTGGACAGTCATTGTTAAGGCGAACATGTTTGATCTAGAAAATATACGATCAGCGCAAGCCTCTTGGCATTAGACATTCTTTGATTTCTAAATAGCCCTCATAGTGATTGCAGTATGTGTTAGGAACAGATTTCAGCTGCGCTTGTTGAGTTATGCTCGTATAAAAAGTAACTGAAGCTTTTGTCATGTTACCATGTTCATGACAACCGATGCATCACATATTGCTGCTTAAAATGTTAATGTGACTAGCCTTTTAGCAAATTTCCCATATAAGGAATAAGCTATTACCGTAGTACTCATGGTAAGACCTGGACCCGGGACCGATTTAATTTTTTTGTTTTGAGGTCTCTAGAGGCCAAAAACACCATCAATTCAAATTCATATATAGGCCTATATATGTGTGTCCGTTAGCACGATAACTAAAAAAAAATATGATCCGATTTTGATGAAATTTGGTATAAATGTGTAAACCTACATTTACTCAAACAAGTTCCCAAACCAGCATGTTCGGATTATGGTAACGAGGGTTTATGGGGGGTTTTATGGGGTAAAAATAGGTTTTTCCCATTTTTTACCCTAAAAACACAAAACATTATTAATGAGTAGTTCCACCTAAAATAAAATGTGAATAGTACTGAAGACCTTTACATAGTGGATAAATCCTTAGTAAGCTGACCCTCTGATCAAGTCCTATCTGTGTATGTGTCTACATGTTCATAAATTGAAGAAAAAGATCAAACAGGTGTAGTTAAATATGACCAGATATATTAATAGTATCTTACATTCATCAATTTGTTTGGAACGAACAATTTGTCCTCGTTTACACAGTTAATGATGAATTGGTTATCACAGGAAAAATATGATGACAAGATACGGTAATTTAAACATTGATTGTTATATCTGTTTACAGTGAGTCTCATCAATATGGACTTCATCAATACTTCAATACTTCATCAATACTACTGGCTGGGTAGCTGAGTGGTTATAGTGCTCGCCTACTAATCAAAAGGTTGCCGGTTCGATCCTGAGAAAAGTCCGTAGCTTTTTGATGGTTTGAAACTGGACCCAGCTGTTCCTGATCATTGGGCTTTAAATAAATGATCCTGGCTAATGAAACAGCTGATCTTAGTCAGTAACAAAGCTACACAGATCATCACACACCATTCTACACTCATCCTTCACTCATATTTGGGTTAATTAAATACGCACCTATGTGGCGTCCCCATCTTAATGATTGATAATTGATAATCAATATGGAGTTAAATTTAGAAATGGTAAAACTTTTTTCCCTCTCAAATAACATGGATAAATAATCATAACACTTACATTTCCCGGAATCCATTTGTTTGATGGTTTCATCAACAATTAAGTAGACCGCCTCAATCATTTTCCACTTTTTTCCCAAAATCTTGAACATGTTCCAAACGTAAAGCAGTTCAAACATTGGTAAAAGAAGTTTTCTGTCTTGATTCCAATATCTTTCTGCTTTCTTGATACAAAATTTCTCCATTGGTAGAGACTTTCCAGCAACTCTCTTTTTCCAGTGTGGTAACTTCCTAAACAATCAAGAATCATCCTCATCATAAAATTCTAAAGCTTCTGAATTGTTGTTGTTATTCTTTTTTTTCTACTTGGAAAACATACAGAATAGAAATAATCTATAGTAATTTATACATCTATCTGATATTATTTCTAGTTTAATCTGTTAAATTTGAAATATTTTACAGGTAAAGAAATAAAAGACAATTCAATGGTACTAAAAAATAGTGTAGATGATTTCCACAGTGGATAGTTGGAATGTCATGTGGACACCTGGCTCTTGGAAGCACTGAATGCTTTCACGCTGTTCATTTCATTTAATTTCAAACGATCTTTATTCTTTTAGAACATATTTACAGTACATTGAACAGTGTCGAAAAGTGATTTTTTATTATAACTCTTTATTATAAGTGATGTTGTAAACTACTGCTTGAGTTAATCACTGAGACAGTTTTACTTAATGAGTGACAGGTCTCTTAGGATCACTGAGACTGATCCCTGTAAATAGTAAATAGAACGTTGTAGCTCTTTCAATGAAAATTTCTCAATCACTTGAATATTTTTATTTCCGTCCCGTGGTTAAAACTACATTCTATTGGTGACTGGTGTGATTTGAACCCACACCTTCAGAACAAAAGTCCCACGCTTTAACCTAAACATCAACTGATCGCTGAAAATTCCTTAAGTAAACTTACTTCATCAGGGAATCTATGGTGTCTTGCGTTTCCTGAGGTAGAACTTGGTGTGACATGAGTTGTATGGAACATTTCTGGTAAGCGTAAGTGGTTTTGGACCATTTACTTTCCTTCATCAGCAGAGTCGCGTATACATCTGCTTGGTCCCACTCAAGAGCTAAACTTTAAAAAGAAAATTTTTTAAGAAATTTAACAGTCAAAAGGTTTTGTATTGGCTTGAACCTACTTTAAGCTTTAAGGTTACATTTTGTCAGTTACAAAGCTTATAAACTTATGATTAGCTTATGACTTTAGTGCTAATTGTGTAAATAAAAATATAAATTTCTAACAAAAAATCTGTGGTAATTTTAATTTTGGACTTCATGGAACTTTTCTAAAATATTTGCTTTCAGGACATTACGGAACTAATTGATGGCCTTGGACATAATAACACTCCTTAAATTAGTTTTCGACATAATAAACATTGTTTACATTGGCAGCCTCTTTCAACCTTGCATTTAACCTTTTTAATTTGCATTGTGAAACCTATGATATCGCTGCCCCGGAGTCAGTGACGCTTATCGACTTACGATATGTCCAGAGTGCATGGAATGGCACTTGCATTTTAAATGGATAAAATGGCTCATAGTGGCCACCGGTTGATGAGCCTGCGCGCAGGCACCTGCTTACCGGAATGAATTCTTCATTCTGGTTTCAGTTTCAGAATCAGACAGTGCTCCGAACGCACATTATTGAATTAAAAAAGGAGGTTTTTACAGTAAAATATTTAATTATTCATCCTTATCTTAGGATTACCACTTAACGTTCTTCAGGAAAAATCCTTTGTTAATGTAGGGCACACCAGTTTCTTATAATACGATGTTCAATTTTTCCCAAAATGTAGTACCGGTAATCAGCTCGTGCTCCTTTCAACAATATATAAAGAACCATGCTCAAATTTTTTTCTAGCTAGGAAAATTGATATGTAACATCATGAACACAATTTTTCACTGGTTGTAATTCACAATTCACTCTCAGAGAGAGAGAGAGGAAGATTTTGTACAGTTTAAAATGTAAATTATTTTCTTTTGTTAAAGTTTCTGTATCCATGATTTAGATTTTGTTTTTGTTGTATATTAATGTAATAGTTAAAATATATTTGTTATATTTATGACGGGTTAATTTATGTGGCCGTAACTTTGGCCTGTATAAATAAATAATATTTCATTTCATTTCAATAGTTTCAGATCATAAACTTAGACATATTAATTCCTCATCCGACAACCCCATGAGTTCGATTGACTTGCTTCTTTGCTAACTGAGCCAGCACCAACGATCACATAAGACCAATAGATGGAGCATGTTGGCCGCGACGTGAAGCCAGTACTTTTCACTAATCTACAACAAGATGGTGGCTGCCGGCTGTGATGAGCCCTAATAGCGGGCGCAACTAAGTATATCAATGATATCCGTGACAATAAGCCTTTGTTCTATTACTAACACAATGACCTTCAAAATATGCTTTTAATTTGTTTTCTATCGTTTACCGTTTCTTAGAAAAAGTTAGTTTACATAATTAACAACAAAAACTTTTTGGGTGAAAGAAAAAATCTGAAAAGCTACAAATTAATTTATAATATATGTATCTAGGCCTATATCGTATTAAAGTTTGATAAAGGTCTGGCGTTTGGTTTACAATGTACAAATTTTCAAAGTCCCAAGATAGTTTTTGAAACTCTTAATACAACTCTCCTTTATATTCTGACTGTCATATTAATTTTTATGAATGAGCTAAAAAAATTTAATTTTTAGGTAAATACAAAAAATAAAACGAAGAACATTTATATGTACTCCGTGATTTTCTAATTAGTTTAGTACCTAACTTTTCTGTATAGCTCCAAAATTGAGTATCTAAACTGTATTACAAGTGAGGTCGTAGGCAGAATCTGCCCGCATGACACAACACGGCGCGTAGGGTAGCCCCTACATTACAATTTAAATTACAACCAAATTACACCAGCTACAATTTTTTTTTAAATATGATCCAAAAAAATTCAACTCTTTAGCTACAAAATCCACCGTTTTTTAACTTATTTGAGCAAAAAATAAACAAAAGTAGCAGCTAACAAAGATGGTGGACCTGGCTTCACCTGCTTTAATGTTAGTTAGATAGGCGTGCTCCATCTATTAGTCTTATGTGATCGTTGGCCAGCACCTAGGAGGATTAATCCTTCTAAGATAGCCCAACCTAGGTCAGTAACAGTGGCGTAACTGTGGCCACCAATAACATATCTGACTCAGGTTAAACACTGAATCTGATTTTGAATCGGAGCACTCTGGACGTACCGTTTAGCCACCAATTCACTTAATAGGACTTAATTATGGACTAGTTGATGGTCTTGGACATCATGAGAAGTGTTTACCTGTGAGCCCACATGAGCTCCCAGAAGCAGAGGTGGTGGAACTGAGGCCAAACGCTCTGAGAATTCCAAGACTTGATATACCAGGAGCAGCTCTCTGACAAGTTTCCCTTCATCAACTCTAATCTTCCCTTAAAATACAGGAACCATGCACCCTCTGGATATAGCTGAAACAATCATTATTATTACACAATTTTAGGGTATAGGCCACAAAACTTATTTTAATTAACTTTTCCAACTACCCAAATTGTTGTTTCCCCTATTACTCAGATTTCCATAAAGAATATACTTTGTTCCGGAATTAAATCTGTATAAGTTATTTTAATAGTGGAAAAACATTGATAAATGATTCTTGTACAAGCACAATTTAGTTAATTGACCAGGACGGTGAAGTCGTCCTGTAATACAGTTACTAGAAGGTTACAAATTGTGGATATTTATAGACATACAATGTGGATGTGATACTCTCTGGTGTGGATTAACGTTTGCACTAGTGAGTACTTTGACTATCCACAGTACTATCCTGATAATTATACCAATTTGTTAATTACAAGGCAAAAATGTGGTTAGGATTCCACTATAAACTGTAGGTCGCTTAGTTTCCATTGGCAGTATGGGCTATTAATTAACAGCTGTGTCTAAGGAATATGTCGGCCTTAGTCACTATAAAGACTACAAGATCCCGCCACTCATCCTACACTCATCTCCATTCATACTTGGCTTGAAATACCTACATTCGTATGGTTGCCATTTCAAAGTAAAGTATGAAGTATAAAAAGTATTATTTAATTTGTATACATAAAACCATAACCATACTAATATTTTTTAAGTATTGTATAACATAGTATGCAAGAGCCATTTCACATATTTCAACAGGACATTGAACTGTCATAATTTGCATATTCAAGTTGTAATATCCATCTTTACTGAACCTAAACAAAACTAAATTTTGTAGTAAATACTGGAAACCAGAATAAAAAATTATTAAAAAGCAAATGAAAATGCTGCTCACTACACTGTATGCATAATTCTTTCAAAACTCCTGGATTTCCTCAAATCCCGGAACATCACTCCATTCGTACAAAGTTCAATAGTTGGTTATAGAATGGGTAGTGAGAGTTGGTATGACTATTAGACCCAAATAATCTTTAAAGAAGTAGTATTAACTTTTCAAGTAGTATTTAGTAGTATTAACCACTCTAGTGGTTAAGAAAGTGGCCAGTGACCACAAACGTACTTTTTATATGTGTCTCTATGAACTTATTTAAGGTTGAGCCTGCTTTCCTATCGATTACCTTAACAATTCTGACAAATTCCCTATCTTTTAATTAGATAGAATTCACTTTAAATATTTCTATATGCAATATCACATTAAAAACTTAATAACTTATTTATCATCCAGATTTTAGACTATCCAAATGGCCCAACTCATGTCCCACCTTTACAACCTAGTACCTAGTACGCTAGTTGTAACCTGTAACTGCTTTACACATTACTTCAAACGAGTCCTAGAGATTACAGCATTATCACAATTAATATTATCCACTGTTATTTATTAAATCCATTGGTGATTGGCAGGATTTGAACCCACCTTGGGAATCCAATACATGTAGAGTCTACTGTAGATTCAAAATTTTATCTTAAGCAAAAATGGCTAACCTTAAGCTGTGCTTTGAGTATTTGGTCACACAACTCCAAATCTCCATCAGAATGTCCCAAGAAGTAAACTATGATGAGGTGATAAGAGAGAAGTGTCATAACAGATAAGACATGTCTCAGCCCCTGCTTGAGCTCATACCCCATGTGTAGCTCCTTTAGCCCCACCTCCTGAAAAAAAAACACATTTGAAAATATAAGGGTATAGAATACAAGACATGTACCTAACTTGGGTTTTTGTTTTTCTTATTCTGACAAGCAAACTGACAAGAATGGAGCTCATTTACAAAAGAATAAATTGGTGAATTCAAGGGAAAGAAGGGGTTGGTTATGTTCACCAATCTCATATGTTATCATCTATATAGTAAAAAATGTTCGAATTCAACATAATACTTATAGTTTTATAATTAAACGTTGTTTATTTATTTTAGCGAATTTCCCATATAGGGAATAAGCTATTACCGTAGTACTCATGGTAAGACCTGGACCCGGGACCGATTTAATTTTTCGTTTTGAGGTCCCTAGAGGCCAAAAACACCATCCGTTCAATTCATATATATATATGTCCGTTAGCGCGATAACTCAGGCAAAAATGGTCCGATTTTGATGAAATTGGGTACAAACGTGTAAACCTACGTTTATTCAAACGAGTTCGCGAACCAGCATAATCGGACCATGTTTACTTGTTTATGGATATATATGTATTGATAAAATTTGGCAAATATATTTATTTCATCCTATACTATTGACGTACGGTCAAAAAACACTTTTTACCTTCCCCGTAGCAGCAAACCTAAGCAATCATTAAATCTAATGTTATTTAAATTGGGAATAAATATGTCTTATTTATGGAAATATTTGAGTAAAAATGTAATCAGACAGAGTTCCAAAATCATGTGAGTAAAAATGGCAAAGATGTGTTGTTGATTGCAATCAATGGTAATTGATGCTTAAAACAGGGTTAATGTTTTCAGTTTATTTTGCTAACAAACTTGTTAAACATGTTCGACAAAAGGCAGTCCATACAAAATTTGAAATAAATAGGAAAAAATGTTCAAATTTCAACAGAAAATCCTATTTCTATAAAAGTTTGGGACTAGAGTCTCACTGTGCATTCATGTCATAGGCTCACATTTTTTTAGAATTCTTTTAGCGAATTTCCCATAGGTTTAGGGAATAAGCTATTACCATAGTACTCATGGTAAGACCTGGACCCGGGACCGATTTACTTTTTCATTTTGAGGTCCCTAGAGACCAAAAATACCATCCGTTCAAATTCATATGTATATTTATATATGTGTCCGTTAGCGCGATAACTGGAGCAAAAATCATCCGATTTTGATGAAATTTGGTACAAACATGTAAACCTACGTTTATTCGAACGAGTTCCCGAACCGGCATGATCGGACTATGGGAACAGGGGTTTATGGGGGGTTTTATGGGGTAAAAATTGGTTTTCTCCATTTTTGACCCATAAAACTTAAAATTTAGCAATTTCTTTCTATACCATTTTGTAGAGCTTAAAAAAACAAATAATTTAGTATATTGAAGTGTGATTATGTGCCTAATGGTTACGGAGAAAATTTCAAAAATCTGTAAATTTAAAATTCCCATGTTATTCTTATGGAGAATAAGTAAACTGTTGTAGTTTGCTTGTTTATGAACATATTTTGATCACATTTTGAAAATGCATTCATTTCATACTAAACTATTGCATTTTACAAAAAAAATACCTTTTCACCCTCCCTGTTGCAGCAAACCTAAGTACTCGTTAAAATAATGTTATTTAAAAAGGGAATAAATGTGATATTTTTAAGGAGACATTTTAGTGTAAATCCAGTCAGACAAATGGAAATTCGCTTAGTCTGCAGGTTTGCTGCGGCGGGGGTACCTAATAATCAGAGAGTTTAGTAATTTTACTGTTTACCAACTAAACAGAGGAAATAATGGTCTTAAGGCATGTCTGTCATGTTCTTAATCATTAAAATCTAGACCAGCTGTCATTTATAAGTTTTATTTTCAATAACAATCTCAATAATTATTTAAGGCAAATATTAATATAATAAATAAAATAAATAATACGATGGACTGTGTCAACCATGATGTTTTACTTAAGAAATTAGAATTTTATGGATTACAGGGTAAGGAGCTGTCAATATTTAGTTCTTATTTAAGTAACCGCAGACAGGTTGTTGATGTAAATGGTAACCTCTCTAAAGTGTTGACTACTACCTATGGCGTCCCTCAAGGATCTGTTTTGGGGCCTATTTTATTTATTATTTTAATCAATGATCTTGATTCTAATTTACCTTGTTGTACAACCATATATGCTGACGACACCACTCTGTTAAATAATCATGAATCTGTAAATCATCTTAGTATTATCAGTAGTAATGCATTGGAAATGGCCTGTAACTGGTTCAATGTGAATGGGTTGCTTTTAAATGAAAACAAAACCAAGAACCTGATTGTTACCTTCAAAGATGTACCTAGTTCAGTATGAGAGAACAGTTCGGCTTTTAGGTATTTACATAGACTCTAAGTTTTCCTGGTCTGATCACATTGACAATGTTTATAAAAAACTATCTAGAGTCATATTTCTTTTAGTAAATATTAAGAACCAAGTAACAGACGATTTTTTGAGAATGGCTTATTTTGCTTTCTTTGAAAGCATTTTGTGATATGGTCTGATTGTTTGGGGAAATGGAGTTGGTAGGTATAGATAATGTATTTATTATACAGAAGAAAGCTCTTAGAATACTTACTAATTCCTATAGTCTGGAGCATTGTAAACGTAAACCACTTTTCATCCAAGCTGGAATCCTTACCATTGTCAACCTTTATATATTAGAAGTATTACTCCATGTCAAAATGAATTTAAGTGATTACCACCCTAGAAGTTTTATACATAACCACAACACTCGTAATAAAAATAAGCTGGACCTGCAAAGATGTAGACTCTCGAAAACTATGAATTACCATACCTACCTAGGATTAAATATGTTCAACAAGCTGCCAAATGTCTGCCAAAACATGTCTGTAACTGTTTTTAGTAAAAAGCTCCATAAATGTCTTTTAAACAACCCTTTTTATAATGTTAGTGAATTTTTTTATACTTGCCCACATGAGACTGATTTTATGTAATTTAGCTAAATGTTGTGTATGCATGGTATTGTAAATGTTTTTTCTATGTAGGCCTACATGTCAGATGTGTTTTAAAATTTTACATTTTCTTATAGTAAGACCGTTAGAAGTCTTGTAAATAAAATGTGACTAATTTGTAATGTGCTGAATGGCGGAATAAATGCCTTATTAATGCCTTATTAATGCCTTAGTTATGAATCTTCTAGTGTATAGACCAAAAGTAAATAGGCAATCAACTGTAATCCCACATTCACAGCATGTTCATGTTTAATTATATAAATGGATTTAGATCATAGACATGAAATCCAGCATCAAAATCATGCTGTAGGCAATTTCAAATCATCCAAATTAGAAACATCAATAAATTAAATTGTCTATAGTTCAAACTCTCAAGTAGTGGCTCCAAAATCTCACAAAAAAAGTGACGGCTTAAAGAAACAATGTGACAGCTGAATTTGGAAGAGTGGGACAGATGACTCATGCCTTATCGCTAAAGATAAGACTGAATTATACATGAAGTTCAATAAGCAAGCATTTTGTAGTGTTCTCATTGAGAAGTGGATATATGATATGTATTGTTCCTTAATTTAACAAATTGTGTTAGATAATCAACTAATGTTTTTTTTCTACATGGACAAATGTACTTATTCTAACTCTATCCAACTTAGCTTCAATTTAATTTAACTGTACAATGGAATTAAATGGTCTTGAATGCCTACTGGAAAATTTATTTAGTGTCTACACAGTACTAACCAAGTTTAACCAATGTAAAAGTTAGTACATGCTTTCTAGCAAACTTTATTATCATTAAGGTGTTGATTTTAAAACTATAAACTATTTCAGCTTGTAACATGTGTGTCCCTTAATTTCAATAAATATTATTGTATATTGTGCAAACTTTATCGTGAGTATTTGTAATTTATGAGATCAATCAATTAAACAATTTAGGACCTCTAATTGTTTTCTACATTGAACAGATTGAGGAAGAAATTACATTTAAATTAATTTAGCCTAACTGAAAATGTATGTTGGCTATGTAAATTACCTTTGAGTTAAACTATACTAATCACAAACTGTTATTATATTTTCTCCAATAGTCAAGCACCTTCAAGGAAAGATGACAGTGCCAGCTAATAAAAGACGAAGGGCCATGATATAGGCGCAGATTTGTCGCGGAAGCTTTTACGTCGCGTATACGTCAAGCCTACCGGGCAATAGAATTTTCTGTGTACGATCGTTTTAACTGTCAAGTCGGACCCTGAAAAGTCAGGGTGAGCGTAAATTAAGCATCCCGACCGGTAAACTGGCAGCAAACACCCAACAGCAATGACGGGTAGCTTTGACACGGCACATCTGCTACCTCACCCCCATTACCGCTTCATATTAGTGTCAGTCTTCTTAATTTCCTTGCGAAAAAGGTTAGCAGCTCATCGAAAGAAAAAACAGACATCCTGTAGTACTGGAAAAACTTATTTTCGTACCGCCTATGTAGTGTGAATTTGGTGTGAAATGTCCCAGTAGACGACTGGCTACTTAAAACATGGTGTGTGCCCCAACACCTCTCCTCCCTCCCTTTTGGTGCCACCAAGATATGTTTCCAACAAATGGTGAAAATCGACACAAGTAATTCGCACTGCATCCATCTTGAAAAGCGAATACTGTAGCAGACTGAAGAACTGATTCGCAAGGTCAGGTATATTCGGCATTCAGCAGCCTTCGAGCACCTTCGGTACCTGTTGTGGTGTTTTAGCTGCTCGTATGACAGCTCCACTACCGAGCGTGTGTGTAGAATACGCGACGTTTTTTTTCGCTTGTGTAACAGCTTGGTTATTTATGGACAGCGTGAGCGTATTATCTGCCACAGCAAAGCTTCTCATATAACAGGGCCCTAAGACGACTGGGAGGGGAAAAATGTCCACGAACGGGACACTGGGGCAATTCAAATGATGACAAAGCAAATTATCTAGCGTTCTGTGGACTACAGCAGTAATATTGTATAAGCATGAAGTCTCTAACCTCTAAGTCTTGTTTGTACATTTTTAGTCAAATATTGCAAATTAAAATAAAGATAAACAATAATAGGCTAAGGCAAATGAAGTGAAATTACATAATCTCCACTTACTTTACTTCCAGAAAATCCGATGAATTCTAGAAGCTTGATTATTCTACTAGGTAGCAATGATATCATCTGAAAAAAATAATAATTTTCATAATTTTATGAAACTACCTTACTGTACTCTAAACAAAATTTATATTCACTTGTTTCAGTAAGAATGTCTCATTAAGTGCCCACTTCTTTTTATTTAAACAGTTTCAGCTGATATTTAATCTCAAACAGGTTCTGTATAAAAAATCTCTGCAGATTCTGTTTGAAATAATAGATGAAGCAAAGCAGTAAATTGTTTATTTATTATATTATATCATGGCACTTTCTAGTGTCTTAATTCTCTATGATTTACTTTTAAATTGTATATAAAAATAAACATTAAAATTGAATGTAATTCAGTTTACAACCCATATGAACAATAGAGTAGTTTAATCAACCATTATAGTAAAATTATTTCCATCAGCAAAATTGGAAGAATTCACGAAAAGTCGCCGAGAATCACACAGAGTTATTAAATCAATTCATTGGCAATTAATTGTTGAAATGATTGTACAAATCAACAAAAACAATGGTGTTGAGTATCAAAGGTTGCTGGTTCGATCCTGTGAAAAGTCGGAACCTTTTTGATGGTTTGAAATGGACCCAGCAATCATTGGGCTATTAATTAATAAACGGTTTTGAATAAAGAAACAGCTGGTATTATTTAGCGACAAAGCTATACAAAGCACCACACTCCATTCTAGACAAATCCTTTACTCATATTTGTGTTAAAATATGACTAGTTGTGTTCCCATTTCAGTTGGTAAAACGGTAACAATAAACCTTTAAGTTTCATGATTATTACTACTACTACTAAGCATATGGAACTGGTTAGTTACTTGTAATTAGAAAATTTGTAGCCAAGTGACCAGGGTGAATCCTTAAAAATTTAATCAACGTAAACAATTTGCAGAAATGTCAGTTTTTTCGTTACAAAGCTTAATTAAAATTATCTCAAATTAACAAAAGTAGTGGTGGTAGGGAAGGATTCTTGTGCACACGAGGATCCACAATATATACCTTGGTACCACAGCTCTATATTAGTGCCTCTCTTCCAAAATATTTTTCATGGTCCTTTTTTGTAAAAAATTTGATCAAATCTACTCACCAAGTTAAAAGCTCCAATACCCATTCGCACTCCGCTTTCAAAATGAACTTTGTGAGCCTCGTCGGTCCAGTGCCTCTGGTGCAGTATATTAGCACACTCTCTAAATAAAAAGAAACATTAACTTGAAACCAAACTCCTTGCCAACAATTGAGTTAACTAATCTACTGCTAAATACATAAAACGTTTTTATTATAAAGCTAGGCTGTCAGCAGATTAAGTATCCCATTTTATCAAGTTAATTTATTCTGTTATTTTTCTTTCTGTTTTTGTGCTTCAGTTTACTTGAGTTGCCTAGTGAAACAGAAAAGCCACATCAAATGAATGAATATAAATGAATATTTCTTGTTTGTTCATTTTTCTGTTGTTGTCATTGTTATATGAACGTTATACGTTGTGAATTCCTTTGTGTATAGTATTTGCAGCTTAAATGTTCCTACTAAATCTAGTCAACCAAAAATGTTCATTCACTATGTACCTGTACTGTATGCAATATTTCAATTTGTATGTATATGTAGCCTAACTCAACAATTTGACATGGTCTATAACCGTATTTCTGTTCAATCGACCAAATAAAGAATCTTGTATCTTGTTATTATACTAGGAAAAAAAATTAAATCTGCTCTGCTTTAGTAAACAAGTGATCTGTGTTAATAAACAGTAAAAACTGTTACATTACTACCTTTATTTATATTTCTCAAATTAATCCCAACACATATGCTTAAATGTATAATACTTGGCCAAAGGTCAGGTTGAATAGATTACAAAATGTATATACTAAATCACTTGTAAAACATACATCACTATTTCCAACAGCTGTTAAAGAGATGCATTAAGTTATATTTTTATTTTGGAGAATTAATCTAATTTCCATCATGAATTATTTATTTTATTTTTATTTGTTAACACTTTGTTTAAGTCTGATATTTAATTTGTGATTTTACTATTTTTTCATATTGAAACTAAATGTCCTTATTTTTCAAACTAAAGATTTTCCAAAGATCCCTCTTCATGGACTTTGATTTGTTACATAATGTTCCTTATGGGATGGATTTGCCTGTCATTACAAAGTTATAAGCAGTAATGAAATTTTAAAAAAATCAGCCTGTACTCAGTTTATTTTCAATACAGACTAAAGAGAGATGTTCACTTTTCCAGTATAGATGCTTTCTAAAATTATTACTTTGGTTTCATAAGAGGTAAAATGTCTTTAAATTTAACTGTAGTACTTCATATGTGAGTGTGTTATGTTTTCGGTACTTCATCTGATAAAGCAATAAATGATGTAACCTATTGTGGTATTTATCTTTGTCAAAACTTCAAATATTACCCACATAACTATAACAAAATAACATTCATATACAGACTGTCCTAAAAGTCCCGGACTGGTTTAATATATTTTTAAATATTTAAAATAGAGCTACAAAACTTTGCACAAAGATACTGGACACAAAAATCTATTTTATCACATAATTAGTGATCCGCTACCTCCTCAGGGGGACGGCCCGGCTAGGAGTCAGAAGAAAATCATAAATGCAAGCATAGGTTGATATGCATATCAAATAAAAGGTCTTTATTAGTAGAATACTTTGTCGCAAACCCAATCTCAAACGGACAACCGAGTCTAAAACGACACTTATTCATTTATTCAAAGATGCATTGAATTTGCAATGATGTTATACGCTACCTCTTCAGGGGGTTCAGGGGGCCGCTACCTTTTCAGGGGGTTCAGGGGGGGGAGTCAGAAAAAAATCTTAACTGTATGCATAGGTCGATATGCACATCAAAATAAGGGGCTTTATTAGTAGAATACAATGCCACAAATTTTAGCTCAAAATAACAACTGAGTAAAAAATGGCAGTTGTTTAAAGATTCAAAATAGCAGTTTCAAGAAATCTTTAAATAGCTATCATACCCGGTAAATATAATAAATAAACGATAAATACCGGTATGGGACTTTTGGGACAGTCTGAATGTAAAACATTGAGCAATTCAAATAGTTTTACAATACTCTAAAATGTACTTACTTGTACGAATTATAACAGGAACGGATTTTTAAACTACCCTTAAGAAAGTTAACTAAGGACTCGTCTTCAATGAATGTCAGCATGGATTTCAGTAATAGAGACTCAGCATAGCACAACTCTGCATGTATTGCCTCTGAAATACAGTTACAACATTTCACAAGTCAACCACAACGAACCAGACCAAAGAAGAAATTGTTCAAGTTTAACCTGTCATATATCATAGCTGGGTAGGTTACAATGCCTAACCTAACCTAACCTAATAATTAAAGGTTCGATTCTGAGAAAGGTCCAAAGTTTTTGGTGGTTTGAAACAGACCTAGCTATCCTTGAATTTTGGGCTATTAATAAAATGTTTCTCAATAAAGAAACAGCTGTTCTTGGTCAGTTACAGCTAAACAAGGCACCTCACTTCATTCTACACAAATCCTTTTCTCATATTTGGGTAAATACGACCAGTCCCAACTCCTTCTCAGTTGGTAATACAGTAACAATAAACTTTTTAACACATTCGCTGCGGCTGTGTCCCCGGTGACGCATAGCGTGCCGTGGTGCGAGGCGGCTGCGTCACCGAGGACACAGCGCACAATGCATTGTTTGCCCAGTTAGTATGGCTCAGGATCTATCACAATTGGACTTGGTACACGTTAGTATTGTGTCTCTAATACCAGTCTATAATTGTAGTGTAGGTTGGTAGTGTTAGATAGTTAAATGTATAAGTAATTAATACATCAGCTGATTTATTATTATTAAGTTTGTTAGTAAATATTCTGCTTAGTTTGATGTGTTTAAGAACTCAATAAAATGGTTCTTTTATATTTTGAATATCATTTAGTGTAATTCTACATTGGCGACGATGAGTAAACGAACCAAAAGAAGAAATAGTTATTTCAATGAAGAAGATAAGTATGAAACTAAAGAAGACGCATTACAATCAAAGATAGAGAAGTTCAAATGTCAAAGCTATGATGAGTCTAGTAGGTGGGATGATTATGAAGCACATTTTCTATTGTTATGCAAGGTAAAAGGATTGGGAGAAGATTCTCAGAGAGCAGAGGATGCTCGAAGGGATCTTTTGCTTGCCTATGTGGGTCCTGCACCATTAAGAAAAGTTTCAAACTTTCTGCTGCCTTTAAAAGTACATCAGGCTACGTGGGCAGAACTAGTTAATGGTTTCAGGTCAGTATACAAAGCTAGTAAAACTATATTTTCCGCTAGAATGGAATTTGAAAAAAGTATCAGAGAAAATAGTGAAAGTCTTTCAGAATTTGTAATACGTTTGAAAAATTTAGCAGATTTTTGTAAGTATGAGAACAAGTTTGATGAAAGAATAAGAGATAGATTTGCTGGAGGTATAAACTTTCCAGAGTTTGAAGTAGAAATTAGACAACGATGGCCTGATGGGGTAAAAGAAAATGGTGACAAGTTAACATCTGAAGATGTTTTTGAACTGGCCACTTCAATGGAAAGAGCTCGTCATGAGATATTCAAGAATAATGATAAAGAGTTGGAAGTATCACAAGTAAGAAGAAACAATAAGGAGTTTAAAAGAGAAGTGAAATACAATGAAAAGACAAATCATCCATGTAGTAGATGTGGAACAAAGCATGAATTTGGTAAATGTCCAGCCTATCAACAAAAGTGTTTGAATTGTAAAAAAATAGGACATTTTGCAAAGGTATGTCGACAAAAACGAGTGAATAATTTGCATGAAAAGTCAGAAGATGAAGAATCTGAATCGGACTCACATGACATGAGGATAAACGATGTTAAAAAGGAAAGAAGACATATTTGTAAGGCACGTATTCATTTAAAGTTAAATAAGGTAGCTACAAACATGGAATTTGACTCTGGAGCTTGGGCCTAAATGATAGGTAAGCCTCTTTGGGAGAAAATTGGTTCACCAAGACTTGATAAGACTAATTCAAAATACGTGGCATATGGAAACAATATTTTAGATATACTTGGTGAATGTTATGTCAATGTTTCAGTAGGTGATGAGACACGTAGATTAAAAGTAGCAGTAGTAAATGGAAATGAGAAACCGCTGTTTGGTTTACCATGGATATTAGCCTGTAATATGAACCTCCCTCCTGATGTTACTATTAGTAAAGTAAAATGTAAGCAGAATCATAATCAATATAAGATGGATGATGTGAGGGTTAAGGAAGTACTAAAAGAATTTGAAGATGTGTTCTCTGAAGGACATGGGAAAATCAAGGGTTATAAAGCACAAATTCACGTTCGAGAAGATGCAAACCCTCAACATTTTTCAGCGTGCAGGGTTCCGTTTCCCTTGAAAAAACGAATTGAGAATGAACTTACAAGACTTGTAAATGAGGATATCATTGAAGAGGTAGATCCTGCTGCTACACCTATTCCCTGGGCTACCCCAACAGTTAATGTAGAGAAGAATGATGGTTCAATAAGAATTTGTGGAGATTTCCGAGTCACTTTGAATCAAAATTTGGTCCCAGAAAATGCAATTATTCCGACATTTGAGGAACTAACAAACAAAGTTGCAGGCGGACAAGAGTTTTCCAAGATAGATCTACGAGATGCATACCTACAAATGGAGGTTGCAGAAGAACACCGAAAGTATTTAGTAATAGCAACGCATAGTGGTTACTATAAATACAAACGTTTACCTTTTGGGATATCATCTAGTCCAGGTATTTTCCAAAGATATATGGAAAGACTCTTAGCTGGGATACCACAGGTTGGAGTTCTTCTGGACGATATTATAATAATTGGAAGGAATAAGAACGAGCATTTACGAAATTTGAGAGAGGTTTTGAAACGAATGAAAGAAGCTGGTATAAAAGCAAAGTCTAGTAAATGCAAATTTTTTGAAGAGTCAGTGACTTACTTGGGACATACAATCGACCGGAGTGGAATACATCCTACTGAAGAAAAAATAAAAGCCATTCGAGAAGCACGGTCACCTACTAATGTCAAGGAACTCCGATCATTTTTAGGTTCTATTAACTACTATGAACGATTCATTCCGGGACTTCATGCCATTTGCAGTGATCTCCATAAGCTGACTGGGACTAAATCACAATGGAAATGGTCCGAACAAGAAGAGGGGACATTTAAAAGAGTAAAAGAAATTCTATCAAGTAAAGACACAGTAGTACCATACGAAGAAATGAGACCATTGGTAATGGTCTGTGATGCATCAGAAAATGGATTGGGAAGTGTACTAATGCACAGATATGAAGATGGACTAGAAAGACCAATTGCTTTTGCCAGTCGTACACTATTGCCCGCTGAAAAACAATATTCAAATATCGACAGAGAAGCGCTAGCTATTATGTTTGGACTCAGGAAATTTCATCAATATGTATATGGTCGGAAGTTTACTTTAGTAACCGACCACAAACCTCTACAACGGATATTTGGAAATATGCGAGATCTCCCAAAAGTTGTAAATAGCCGTTTAGTGAGGTGGGCTCTCCAGTTGAATCAATACAACTATGACATAGAGTACAGAAAAGGAGAAGATAATGTGTGTGCTGATGTTCTATCAAGACTTCCGATTGAAGATGATCAACCTGAGGAGGCTCACATTGGTTTTTTGAATGTTGATAAGGTTAACTCTATCATGTCTTATGACCTCTTGAAACAAAATTCATTTACAGATAAAGCAATTAAAATGGCAAAAAACTTTGTATTGAGAAATACATGGCCCCCTGTTGTTCCTGAAATGTTGAAGTCATATAAACAGAGGAAAGATGAATTGAGTGTTGAAGATGACATATTATTGTGGTTTGGAAGAATTGTAGTTCCAGAATGCATGAGAACTGATGTTCTGAAGATATTGCACACAGGACATCCTGGTATTGTATCAATGAGGTCTGTAGCACGACACTATGTATGGTGGCCCAACATGGATAAAGATATCGAAGTTTATATCAAGAGGTGCACATCTTGTCAAGAGAATCGAGATAATGTGGAAGAAGTACCATTATATCCTTGGAATGTACCTGATAGAGTTTGGGAAAGGGTACACATTGATCTGGCAGGGCCAGTCAACGGATCTATGTGGTTGGTAGGTATTGATGCTTTGTCAAAGTGGGCAGAAGTGGACTGTCTCAAGACAACAAACTCTTCAACAATCATTCAACGATTGAGATCTTGGTTTAGTCGATATGGAATACCAAGTGAAATTGTGACAGACAATGGACCTCAATTTGTATCAAAGGAAATGGAAACATTTTTTGAGAAAAATTCTATCAACCACATAAAAACAACTCCTTACCATCCTAAAAGTAATGGACTTGTGGAAAGACTAATTCGTACTTTGAAAAGACGGTTCTACACAACAAAGCAGGATGTTGGAGATGGAATGCTAGCTCTTCAAAATGTTCTTTTTAGCTACAGAAACTCGCCTCAGAAAACAACTGGTAGGACTCCGGCAGAATTGTTTCTCGGTCGTAGACTACCAACAATCTTTGACAATATGAAACCTAATCTTAGGAAAAAGATGGAGATGAAGCTTTGGAAAGAACAAGAGAGAGGCAGCAAAAAATTTCGAACTTTTGAAGAAGGAGAAGATGTGTGGATTAAGAATGAACATGGGAATGGTTGGTCAGCTGGAATGGTGAAAAATAAAAATGGACTGTACTCATATGATGTACTTTGTGGAGGTGTCATAAAAAGGAAACATGCGGACCAGATGAGACAAAGAATGGGAGCTGTTGAATCCGTGTAAAAAGAAAGAGGGGAAAAGTGTTAGATAGTTAAATGTATAAGTAATTAATACATCAGCTGATTTATTATTATTAAGTTTGTTAGTAAATATTCTGCTTAGTTTGATGTGTTTAAGAATTCAATAAAATGGTTCTTTTATATTTTGAATATCATTTAGTGTAATTCTACAGGTAGTAAATTTCCCTGTAAAATCCCCATCTGACAAGCTTAGACATCAACTTGTTGTCCTGTTTTTCTCCCTCCAATTGGCAATACAATGGGACCGGCTACGTTCCAAGCAGTGCTGCTATTTGAGGGTTTTTTAGCGAACTACGTCAACTCTCGCAAGGCCACACTAAAAAATCAGGCCGTAATGCTCGTCAAGCGTGACGCAACGATAGAAGACGGCAATGACGTAGGTATTTATTTATTTATTTTCCAAGGAAAGATTAAAACAAGCAGCTGATCACCAACGGCAAACATTACGTCATTGCCGTCTTCTATCGTGACGGCATGCTTGACAAGCATTACGGCCTGTTTTTTTTATTGTGGCCTTGACTCTCGTCGTAACGCAGTACATCACCGCACATTATTTGCTATTTGTCAGACCGAAATATTTGAAAGCCAATCGCCCGGCCATCATCGGGTTTGTCTGACGCTGCGCCACCTGCCATTGACGGGCCGCAGCGAATGTGTTAAGTCCAATGGTTATTATTTCTACCATAAAACATATGGAACTGGTTACCAACAATTGTAATTAGAAAATCTGTGGCAAAGTGACCAGGGTCAATCCTTTAAAATCAACAAAAAACACATTGCAGAAATATCAGTTCTGTTGTTACAAAGGAAAATTATTTATCATTGTTAAATATCTGTTATTGTTATTTATTGCTAGCTTTGGAAATATCTATATTGTATTTTCATTTATAATTATTTTCCTTATGTATGCCTTTGGGAAATCAATAAATGCTATGAACTCTATACTAGACTATGATATGTTTAAAATATATTTATGTGTAACTAGGACAAATAAATACTTAGTATATACATTACAATTTAAATGAAAAATACTTTTATTGATTTTTTAAAGATTTTTTGACTAAACATAAAATAATTTTAGTTTTTTTCATAAGCACATTAAAGAGTTTACAAAGAATAGTAAAAATAAACTAAACGATAAAATACAAATGTACAAAACAGTTTGACACTTTTTTTAACACATACCTTCAACTTAAGTGATTAAGATTCATTTATCAATTACCTGGTGTGTAATGATCATAGTTTTGTTTTTTCACCATTTTTCCAAATGACTCGGAAAACGTATGTCTTCTTCTGTAAAAGTTGCACAGCTGTATGCTTTGTTTTAAGGCTGCTGATGCTTTTGTTATACTGTCCTGAAATATGTTATTTAATAAAAAACTAAGTTCAGAATAAGTCGATGAAGCCTTAGGTATATAATCCTTTTTTCTTAAACTAAAGTAAAGATGACAAGAGATATAAGGGTGTATAGTTAATAGGCTGATCTGGAAGCCATTAAAGTACAATTGATATTTCTTAAGTACTCTCATTTATTTGTAAATTCAATATATTTAGCCTACACAGTATTGTACAATGTCCTAAATGTCTTATATATTTGTCGGTGTTAAGAAATATGTTCCATGTTCAATATTCCAATGTTGAATCAGCAATACCAGGATAAAGCTATTGCATCATGACCTACGGCCTGTTGGCTAAGATCAAAGTGTATTATTTCCTTTTTATAATAGTAAAATATGCAACAAATATATTTGACGTTTTTGTAATGTGTCATAGACTGATCATTGGACAGTTTTAACATATAAAAAAAAATATTAGCAATTTAAAAAAAGCAAATATTTGCAATATGATTTAAGATTATAAAATATAATGCTAGCTATCATATTAACCCTTTGAGGTTAATTTTTTTTTTTCCATTTTTTGGCGAGTATGGTTTGCCATTTGAGCAGTCGAGAAAATGGCGCTTGGCAACCTATACTCACATTCGACCGCAAAGATAACTTTTTGATTTTAGATTTTTTTGTGAGTATAGCTCGTCATTTTTGAGCAGTCGGGAAAATAGGGGGCGGCGACCTGTACTCGCCATTCATCCGCAAAGGGTTCAAATAATTATTTCTTCAAGGGGAATAGTAACTACTAATCTAGAAATATTGCAATGACTATAAACCGAAACACCAAAAATTGTTGTTACGCCATTGTCTTAGTAAAACTAATCAAATCTATAATTAAGTTTTCAATAGACTCTCTATGAATACTGCACAGTATCAATTTCAAGGGATATTCTAACTTCAAGGAATTATATCACTTCCAAGAATACTGTGTCCATCAGCAACTCTAATTATGATTGTTACGACTGAGACTCATTTAGTGTTCTAGAAGACTAACACTTGATGTTTTATGGGTTGATAAATAACACACAACACAACCACTGATCTTTTGAAGTACAGGAATAACCAACACAACACATAAAATTGCCTTATCCAATAAACTGATACTTACCACTTCCAGTGTAAGAACCGCTTCTAGGAAATGGAAAACTGCATTCCCAACTGTATGGTAAACACTCGAGCCAACCCTGCAACAGTTACAATTATTTGTACACAAGTAACAAGTAATCACAGATAATATAGGCCTGTAGTGCAAGTTGTGATACAACAAGTAAATTTGAATATAAATATCTATGGTTTAAGCTCATAAAAAAAGATAAACAATAAACTAGTTACTGTTTGAATTTGCATAGAACATTTCCAGACTGCTAGTCAGCATTAAAAAACAAATTTGGAAAGATTATTTTCTGACTTCAGAGAAAACAATTAAACTGAATATTTTGCCAAATGCAGTTTAGCACTATTTGAAAAGAAGTTTACATGATTTTTTCCTTACCAAGGTCTAAGCATTTCCCATGCTTCATCAAATTTGTTGTTGAAAAAAAGATGGACAGCCACCTTAGACTCTTGCATGGCTGTTTCCAGATCCATGGAGCTAGGCCTGCAATCAAATGTATTGTCAATTTGTCTGCAGTATGAGCTAAAAAAATATAATCTAGTAAAACTGAACCAGGTCAAGAAACAACATTCACGTACCGGTAAGTGCTATTGGACAACGGGTTGATTGATGGCTTGAGGTGGCATGAACGTGTTGATGAGTTTAAGTGACATGATTGGTGTACTGCTTTGGAGAGGAGAGTGTATACTTTAATACTTTACTTTGAAATGGCGACCATACGAAAGTAGGTATTTTAAGCCAAGTATGAATGGAGATGAGTGTAGGATAAGTGGCACGATCTTGTAGTCTTGTTAGTGATTAAGGCTGACTTGTTCCTTAGACACAGCTGTTAATTAATAGCCCATACAGCCAATGGCAACTAAGGGACCTTCAGTTTATGGTGGAATCCGAACCACATTTTTGCCTTGTAATTAACGAATTGGTCTAATTATCAGGATAGTACGGCGGATAGTCGTAGTACTCACTAATGCGGATGTTAATCCACACCAGGGAGTATCGCATCCACAGTGCATGCCTATAAATATCCACAATTCGTTACCTCCTAGTAGCTGGATTACAGGACTACGCCACCGTCCCAGTGTAGCCCGATTACTACATTTAACAGCAATAACTTCAATAGAATCGTAAACTACAACCTCTTTGACACAACTCTTCTCCTTTAATTTCTCCAAGAAAGATGAAAGAGGTGACTACAAAGAAGAGTGGAATGCATTGAAAGATCCCACTACTCTACAGAAGCCATCAGATGTCAAAGTTGTGTCAAGTTGTAAGCCAAGTCAATCTAATATTAACTGTGTCAAAAATGTAGATAAAATGTCTTTTAAAATAATTCTCCATTGACCATGGTTGTTAGTTAAAATATTTCTAGGAAACTGAATTGAACTGGCAGGAATAAAAAATACAATTTTAAATTGTTGTAATGTTAAGAAATTTTTCAGTAAAACAAAAACTATATTTTCTAAAAATAAAACGTTTAATAAATCCTCAAAACTAACAATAAAAGTAAGTTTACACAACACTTTTGTTTTAGTGAGGGAAAAAGACACATATTCATCAAATTGCGTAACACCTGACGCAACAACAGGATTGGGGCTGGGGAGACCTTACTAGTGAGTAAACACCTTAAGGGAGGACAATTTCATTGTCATGACAATGATATTATGTGCCAAAAGAATAGAAAACTGGTATTTTTCGTATGGTTGTAACTTTCAAAATCAGAAGTGACGGATAAGATACATGAATATTTTGGTGTTATTGAGATATTTCTTTTTTAATATATTCTGTCTTAAAATATTTAAATCTGGTATTACAATTTAATAGGCCTTAAATAATAATTTTAAAAGTTAGACTATGTTTAAATCACCAAATCCATATCTATGGCATTTTTGATTTCACTGATGAAACCAATCTTCTGAAGGATTATTGTTGGATTATCAGGTTTACCTGATTGAGAAGGAGTTTATGCTGGCACAATTGAATTAACTCTACACACAAAAATTACATTATTAGTGTATACAGTTATGTTTGTATGATTATTCTGCCATTGTAAACTCTTTCCCATTCAGCTGAATCTGCCATCTCAACAAAAATCCATAAAACCCTACTCTTGTTATCTATGTTACATACTTAGTTTATTAAAGTTTTGCTATAAATGTTCAAGACCATTTGAAAACCCAAACCTTGGTTACAACACTGTGGGAACTATGCTATAAGTACACTATACTTTTATATGGAAATGTATGTATTTACTCACTCAATAACATCTTCAATATCAGATACCGAATCATCTTCCACTACCTGGGCTTCTGCCATCTCGCTAGCACTGATTGAGATTCCTCTCCAATCAGTCTTTTTATTAATCCCTCGTCAATTGATGACCCCACTTTGATTTGAGGTACTTAGGGTTTAATTACCTTCAATTATACATAGTCTATTCTGATGCAACTATAATTTTTATTTTTAAATCTTAAAACTAAGTATTTCAATGAGAAACCAAATTACTATGAAATGATATGAGCCTAAAAACAGCTTATTCCTTATATGGGACATTTGCTAACAGGTTCCGAAGAAAAATTATTTAATTAATTAATTTGAGCTTGCTTAGGGATAAAAGTAATATAACATACTAATTTTTAATCAAAAACATTTGAGCCGTATTTTCAATCCAATTATCCGTTGTTTTATCCCCAAAGCAGAACTACAGGTGCCAGTGCGACATTGTTGCAGAAAGACGAGGAGGGCTGCAGAAAGCCCAGCCTGCCCAACTGGTTGTTTTTCATAATTTTTTGGTTTTAGCGAATTTCCCTATAGGGAAGTAGCTATTACCGTAGGTCTCATGGTAAGACTTAGGCCCGGGACCGAATTACTTTTTCATTTTAATGTCCCCAGAGGCCAAAAACACCATTCGTTCAAATTTTTATATATGTATATATATATATAGATTTATATATATATATATGTGTCCGTGAACACGATAACTTGAGTAATTTTTATCCGATTTTGATGAAATTTGGTTTGAAGGTGTAAGGCGGGATAAACTTGAATGAGTTCGCGATCCAGCATGATCGGTCCATGGGAACAGGGTTTTATGGGGGGTTTTATGGGGTAAAAATTGGTTTTTCTCACTTTTTACCCTCAAAACACAAAATTTCCCAATTTTTCTCTAAACCTTATTAAAGAGCTTAAAAAAACAAACAATTCAGTACGGTATATTAAAGTGTTTTTGTACGGTTATTGGTTACGGAGAAAACTAAAAAAATGGTAAATTTAAAATTCCCATGTTATTCTTATGGAGAATATTGTAAAATGTTGTAGTTTGCTTGTTTATGGATATATTTTGATCAAACTTGGCAAATTTATTTATTTGATAGTAAGCTATCAATATTTTACTAAAAACACACTACTTTATTAGTTTCCTTGTAGCAGCAAACCTAGGTACTCGTTAAACCTAATGTTATTTAAATAGATCAATTGAAAATCAATTCGGCCAAATGGAAATTCGCTTAGACGACAGGTTTGCTGCGGCGGGGGTATTTTGGTTTTCTTACACTAAACCTGTATAAGTTTCTGTAGAAAATGTGACATAACAATTTAATAACATTTTTTTGCAGAAAATATTTTTATAGAAAGTCGACAACTTTATTTTCTGCAGAAAAATTCTCCATTCTGCAAACAGTAACACTACAAAACGTCATGCATTATATAAACGAAAGCTGGGACGTCAATATCCAGTGCATCTATCGTGAGGAAGAACGCATAGAATAACTGAATTACCAAAACGATTTAATGTAATACCAAAACGCTTGGTTTGGTGGTTAATGTAGTGGCATTTTCAAACCGATTTGAAAACTTGTTTATTCCCAAAATCCAAAACTATCACACATGGGTTCATTTACATGCAACTTGGGCATATTTGCAGAAAATTTTGGGATTTTACCAAGTTCGATGCAGAAAGTTTAAAAACGTTCTGCTTTGAGTTGTTTTATTGGTTTTAAGATAAAATCACCATTAAAATTTCATATCAAAAAATTTGGAGATGATATTATTTGGTACCCTGACACCAAATTTCATCAAAATCGGACCACAGGTATAGTCTGTAGCTGTGTACACATCCACAAACATACATCTAAACACATACAGACATCGCTTCGAAAACCTCTCTTTTGGATTCAGACCTAACATATATTTTCACCCGAAACTCAAAGTCAAAATTTTTATGAAAACAATAATTTGAAATTGGAAGGTGAAGCAAACAAATTTGAACTATCAAGAGTTTTAAATTATTAAATGGGTTTGATTTATTGGGAATGACGTTAATTTGTTTTAAAGATGAAAGGTTCCTTTTGTTACTTTGTATGATGCCTTGTCAAGCAGCTGCATCTTTGATGTCGTGTTTGGCAGAAAAAATTGATGTCTAGGAACAAGATAAATTTACAATTTTGGCGTTTCATATCAGTATATATAATGATGAATGGGTATCATTGAAAAATCAGTTCTTATCCAAGCCTTTTTTTGTTTGACCGATAAGTTACAGAGATGCCTTTAAAACACCTGGGCTTTTAGCTTTTACAACGAGCAAACACTGGTAACGGATGACAATTACTGCTCTAACTAAACACCGAAGCTACTGTGCCAACAGGAAGTATAGTTTCCTGTTATGACACGAATGAATCTATAAGTTCACCTGTGTCCTTTTGAATTGAATTTGAATAGAGAGTTCTATCAACGAAACTTTGAATTACTAGGTGTGTTCAAAATCGGCCTGCTATCATTCTTGTTTATTCCATGTCAATGTTATCCCATCAAACAAATGGCCTTGATATGATATTGAAAACATCTTACTTTAAAGAAAAGTCAATATGTCAAGGCCAGATTTGGCCAATGATACTTTTGGCTAGAGGACAAAATTAAATGCGTAAATCAGAGATAAAATAGAAAGCCAAAATTTACATTTGTTGAACAATTTTATTTACAAAGAGTTATTGGAGAATCTACATTTTATATCAAAGTTGCTGATAGATATGCAGAAAGTAAATAAAATAAAATTGTTGGTGTATATTGTACATTACCTTACTTTCTCCAACCTCTTGTTGTTTAGGTCAAACACAATTCAGTTTTAAATCATAAATGTACACCATTAACAAGAACAAGTACCGGTAATTAAGTTTTAAGTCTTAATTACTAATTATAGGAGTATTGTTAAGGATTTACTGCGTCTTAAATACAAATACCCCCGCCGCAGCAAACCTGCCGACTGAGCGAATTTCTATTTGTCTGAATTGATTTTCAATAAAATCTATTTAAATAACATTAGGTTTAACGAGTATCTAGGTTTGCTGCTACAATGAAACGAATAAGGTGTGTTTTTAGTAAAATATTAATAGCTTAGTATAAAATAAATAAATAGATCACAATATATCCATAAACAAGCAAACTACAACATTTTACAATATTCTCCATAAGAATAACGTGGGAATATTAAATTTAAATTTTTTAGAATTTTCTCCGTTATCAATAACCGAACAAAAACAATTTGATATACTATTTTTTTTTTTTTTTTTTTTTTTTTTTAGCTCTTTAAAAAGGTCGAGAGAGATATTGGGAAATTTTGTGTTTTGAGGGTCAAAAATGAGAAAAACCAATTTATACCTTATAAAACCTCCTGTAAAACCCCGTTCCCATGGTCCGTTCATGCTGTTTCGCGAACTCATTCAAGTTTATCCCGCCTTACACCTTTAAACCAAATTCCATCAGAATAGGACAAAAATTACTCAAGTTATTGTGTTCACGAACGTATAAAACGTACGTATATATATACATATATATACAAATTTGAACTAATGGTGTTTTTGGCCTCTGGGGACATTAAAATGAAAGAGTAAATCGGTACAGGGCCTAGGACTTACCGTGCCACCTATGGTAATAGCTACCGACTATAGGGAAATTCGCTAAAAAACAATAATCTAAAATGTACAAATTAAACTGTATTTTTACTTACATTGGCTGTGTTTCGTATGCATCTTCAAACTGAAACACACATATAAAAGTCAAACAAATTTAGTATAATCTATATAAAAGATGGATATAATTTTGTAAAAAATATTGTTGGCCAGCTTTAATTTTTATTATTATGCTGACATTTAGTAAACCAGCACTAAACCAAGTAAACAAACTTCAAGTAACAGTGTTTACAGCAAATTGAAATCATTAAGCAAATTTTGTACTAAAACATTGGTGTTTTATTACACTCAATTGACTTTGTATTTTTCTATCTTATCCTCAAATGTGTATAAGCTTTTGAATAATAACCATGTCTCAAAAAGTTTTTGCTGTAAAATAAATTAATGTAAAATAAATAAAGTAAATAAGGTAATGTATAAAATAATCTCTTGTGCAATAAAAGGTATATTTCATGAGAGTGAACTTGACTATATCACTTGTTAACCAATCATTATCTTGTATCTTATGAGGATGAAATTGATAAAATCCAATTTCAAAGGTACCTTATCAGTTTTGGAGTCATATTTTCCTTGTACTGAACCTAAATGTGACTGAACTGATATTGTCAAGTCTCAAAAATGTTAGTTAACTAGTTCAAGTAAGGTATGATTAGTTAAAAATCCTATTTGAGTGATTTTGAATTTGATGGTTAAAACAATTTGAAAATACAAACAGTTGAAATATGGTATGCTTAGCATAAAGATTATTGACCAATTCCTGAGTGGGACCTCAACCAAGTGTTGTTGATGTATAATGGACTACTAGGAATACCAAAATTATTCCATACCTGTTTACGTAATGATTACCCATGGGTTTTCCACTTACACAATTGTGTAGTGAAATAAGTACACAAAATATCTAATTTTTATTGGCATGAGGTAACTTAAGTAAAACTTGGAAATCTAATGGTAGGTATCGGTTATTCAATAGAGAAAACACTGTTTTAACGACGAAACATGCTAAATTAAAAAAAGTTTCTATGTGAGTTTAACAAGCAATTAGCAATCCTCTAATCAACTGATTATTGATATTTGTTGTTAATTACTTGTCAAGCCGTGTTTGTTTGGTTTGTATTGATAAATAAATAATATTACAAAATTAGAAAGGAGATTTGTCAACAATAATCTAATGAACCTGAGGAACTAGTCAAACTTTCAGTGACTTCAGAACCACTTCAAAAGCTGGTTACAAATCATTGAAATGCAATTAATTACTGTAATGTAAACTCCAAGGGATGCAACTCATGCTTTGCCATAAAAGAAAACACCTTTAAGTTCTCAAAATCATGAAACCACCATTCCATGTCAATTCAAAGCCATTACAGAATACCTTCATGCAATAATGCAGCTTTTTCAAGACCAAGAACAGGAAGACCTAGAATCATCCTTAACCATAGATGTTGAAGTTGGTAATGCTCTACTTACAGAAAATAATAAATAAAAACAAGAACTGCATGATTTGACGATACATAATGCTAAACTAGCCCGGTCACGTCACCTGTCTCGTGTCCTCGTATCTCGTGTAGTTTTTAAATGTTAATTGTTTGTCAATCAATGTGCGTGATCATGTGTGTTTTATGTACTTATATTTTTAATGACGACCGTATTTAATTTATATTTGACAATGTAGATCATATGGTATTGCTAAACAAGCTTAAGATAATGGGCATTAAGGGTGTTGCACATAAATGGTTCACTTCATATTTGGAGGATTGCTATCAATTAGTAGAACTCTCTTATTTATCGAAAAACAAATGGATACAGAAGACAAAATCAGATTTACTACAAATCCATCTAGGGGTCCCTCAGGGTTCTATTTTGGGCCCTATTTTATTTAAATGCTACATTAAAAACCTCCCAAATGCATTGACTGAGTCAGCCAGTACATTAAGTATATATGCTGATGATATAAATCTTAAAACTTCGGGTAATTCAATTACTGATATTAAAAATTCTACTGAATTGGAGCTCAAAAATTTTGAACAATTCTTAACAAACTAAACACTAACTCTTGTATTTAACACTAAATACAAACAAGACAAATTTTGTTCTCTTTCATACAAATAAGATAAAAAAAAGATCAAATCCCTAAAATTACTCTAAATAATAAACCGATCAATCAAGTGAAATCAACCAAATTTTTAGGCTTGATAATTGATGAACATCTAAATTGGAATGAACATATTCAATATTTGATTGGTAAAATTTATTCAGGCTTGTTTGTTTTAAGATCAATGGCTTATCTCTTATAAAGCTTTGTTAAAATTGATATACCACTCGCTTATAGAATGTCATATTGGCTACGGAATCGAAATTTATGGTGGGACAGCACAAACAAATTTGAAAAAAGTTTTAAAACTACAAAAACAGGCCATTAGACTTATTGAAAAATTTAAGGATAAGAAGTCGGTGAAAAAGCACTTTAAAGAAATGAAAATTTATGAAAAATTTCATTAATAAATTTTTCATTCATAAATTTTTATTTATGAAAAAGTATATGGTTTGTATATTTTTAAAACTATTCGGTATGTTTATAAAGATAAAAACACTGAAGTATCCCATAAATACAATACAAGGCGGAAAAATCTTACTGTAAAAAGTCATCATCGGCTGAAACTTTCAAAAATGAAGCCTTCGTATATCGGCAATTTATTTATAAGAAGTTTGCCTGCCTTACTAAAAAAAGATCAAAACAAACCCAATTTTTTTAAGAAGCTAAAATCATTCAGAATTAGCTGTCCGTTCTAAACTAATTGTCAAATTTATGGTTAGGTCTTTTAGATAAAAATTGTATATCCAATGTTGTATGCTTTGACACTATCCATGTATATAAAATGTATAAAGTGAATAAAGATAATTTGATTTGATTTGATTTTGACTTGACCTTCATATACGGAGGTAAATAAAGACACCTTGTACACCTGAAGATGGTTCCTAGCTGAACCGAAACTATAGTTGCCACAAGCAGCAGTTTGGATTATTGAATGCAGGTATTTAAACTTTTATAAATAGCCCATTAGGCTTTTAACAAAAATAATTCTCTTGAAATGAGTTATGAACCTAAAATTGAAGGATTAGAACAAGAGAAAGAATTTCTATTAAATTGAATAACATCCGTAATAGCAATTTCAAATAAACCCGAGCAACAGCTAACTAAAGAGATACAACTCTGATCTGAATTAATGACAATACTTGAAGACCAAGACAAGGATAAAGATCAAACAATTTGAAATCTTAAAAGATAAGTCCAACAAGAAGAAGTAGAAGTTGGTTTGAGACCGTGGTAATCAATCAGGATAATGTTGTGACAGCGGGAGACTGTAGTAAATTCTACGTAATCGCAGAAGGTATTCAGGATTTTGCCACAATCAAAAGACGATTAAGAGGTTTCCGAGATCACGATAGGTAATCAAGATTTTGACATGATTGTGGGAGATGATGGTGATGTCCACAATACCGTTGAAAATGTTCAATATTTAGCTGCAGTCTCGCATTGTTTGGATGAAACATTTTAAGCAACATCTACTTCAATTAAACAAACCAACTTGTTCAGATCATGGAAATAGGAGTATATACCCAACCATCTAGTTGTTCTTATGCCTGCAGTACACTATCGCCGAATGTAGGCGAACTAAGACGAGCGCGATAGTGTACTCGGTGTGCTCGTGTACATTCGGGGTAGTTCGCATCGCCAACATTCTTGTTCGGGTGCGTTCCCTTTTTTGGCGGTCTCCCGTCATGAATCAAAGGAGACGAACTAGGACGAATGCCGAGCGCAGACGGGCACGAACATAGCCAGCACACACTCGCTGTCATTCGTAGTAACGGACGCTCTCTTTCTACAGTATTTACTTCAGTGGTTGTGTAGTTTGAGTTACTTTTAGTTTTTGTTATTTAATTATTTACTACTAGATGTTATAGAGATAAATTGTATAAAGTATGGGGTATTCTAATGAGGAAACACTGTTATTTTTGGAACTATACCATAGTGAGCCTGTTCTGTGGCCGTGGGATAGTTTAATTGTACATATACATATACTGTATAAAGTATCGCTTAAGAAAACCAACATTTTAATAATAATAATTAAGCATTAATTTTAAATTATTAAGCCACAGAGAAGTAAGAAACATAGGATACATTCAAGTAGTGTCTAACACCAAACGAAGTTTATAGAATTTCCTCTAGCATTTTCTAGAATAGTCTTCGACATTAGCGTCCATGTTGCAAAACGTTTGGTGCGAATGTTTTGCTGCAATATTGGGTTCAACACAGTTCGGCCGAAGTTAGCCGATAGTGTACTTGGTTAGTTCGGGATGGTTCGGGCTGCACATTCGTCAACATTCGTGGTCGCAATCCGGCCCTAACATTTGGCGAAACGTTCGGGCGAATGTTCGACGATAGTGTACTGGTAGCTTTACTGGTTCACCCGTTTACTTTAATTTTGGAATTTTGAAAATATTTTACCAATCTAACAAGTTTTAAAATAAAAAAAATTTGCACAGCCTTTTACATTCTTATTCTACACCTATTGGTTACTACAGTGTTAGCAAAACGGGAATGCCGATGGAGACCAGGTCAAGTCCCTTCAAACGCAGGCACCCCCACAGGTCTCCATCGGCACTCCCGATTTCCTAACACTATAAGATATTCTAAGTATTACACACAGCCTCCTTTTATATATTATGGAGAATAAAAACTAAAAATGTAATTTATGTATAGCTTGTTTATATCTTGAAAATACAAGTTTCTTTACTTCATTTCACACTTCTAAAATTTAACAAAACACATTTTTTTACTTGTGACCAACACTAATTTACTTGTGACTAAGTCCACACATTAGCCTATTCATATTAGATTAGAATGCAAGCAAAAATGTCACTTAATTTTCAAACTTTTAGGATAAAAAATCAAACACAACTGAAAATTTACTAAGTGCAGGTTTGATGCATCAGATAATTGTTTGTGTCTACATTTTTTTCAGTATCAACATTATAATGTGCCATTATTTAATATAAATATCAGATATGTTTAAAAATGAATAGAATTTATCTATTTAACTTATATTAGTAAATTGTTTAAACATGAACCGTAAAATTAGAATATTCAATGTAATAGTCATGAGGATTAGGATCTTGATTAAGTAAACAGGTTATGTACACAATAATTAGGACAACCCTGTTAGATGGGGAAACAACACTAACAGAATAACAGGAGCAATTTTAACACCCAAGACATCAACAGAAGGATCTTGTCTCCAGTTTAATCTGACCTTCGTATTTGACCCTGAAGCTGAGGTAGCAGCTTTCCTCAATTATTAATCCCAACAGTGATTATATAAATTGTAACTGTCTTATGTTTTCAATAATAGTAATCAAAGTCAATTTGTTTTCCAGGACACAACTTCAATTGATCAACTGATTTTTAAAGAGGTTTCAAATACTTTTAAATATCTTTAAAATTGCCGTTTTAGTCAATAACTAAGACTAAATAATGAGAGATTTTCACAAAATTATTAATTTATATTTTTGTAGAAGGTACTTATTGCATCTAGTTCAGATTTTTTTCAATTTAACTTGTTCATGCAAAGGTGTGAATCAATTCTACTGTCTTATGCCCTTGGACAGGCAGTAAAATACTGGACTCCCAAGTAAGTAGGTCAAATGGGTGGTCACAGACTTCAAAATTATGCACTATTATTGTAAGGTCAAGGGTATCAAGATTAGAACCTAGAAGTGTGCGGTTTGGGTTAGCAGATAAATTCTTCACTGTCTGCATTCACAGTTTTTTTTTTTTTTTAGATAGATAAATTACATTATATACAAAATTTAAAAGTTCCAGTTAGTTTTAAAAACAAATAGATGGGGACTTTATTGTTATGGACTCCCATATAAACTGTATTTTTACATATTTAAAGTTTAGGATCCAAGTTTTCAGTTAAATGATACTAAAAGCAAAATAACTGTTTTCAACACTTTTTCAAATGTTTTATAACATATTACTAAACTGTTGTTTGTATGAAACATTGTTTTGCATTTGTAAACAAATAAAGGTGTTTTTAAACTTAAAATAAATCTCAGAAATATGTTTGGCTATGATCCATGAAAACTCTTCATAACAATATTGAACCCAAAAGTAATATGCAAAAATAAATTGTAAATATTTGAGCAGTGGTACTATTTTCTACTTTTATGGTATAGGTCTATAGAGTACTGGCCAAGTTGGAGTAGGTTTATCTATATTTTTTTGTTTACTTTCTAGTTATGTGTATTGTGTAATTGATTTGGTCGGTTTTGGCTTAGAGTGCTGCTGACTAAAGGAGATTTTGGACTTTGGGGTTTTCACATGAACACAGCTATAGATAATGTCCAAGCTTTAAAACTAAGTGGCAAGACTCCAGAGAAAAGTTAGATTTTTAAAAAGATTTTTAAACTGAAACATTACACCAAGTCCAAAAAGTTAGCAAATTTTTAAAATGTAAATATATAAAACTGTGACTGAATTGGAGAAAATATTATTCACAACACCACTTCAGAATATATTGCATTCATTTTTAAACCCAGCTGTTTTTTTGTTTCATAAGATAACTCTTGCGTTCACATCATTAATGGACAGTGACGAGGCCTAAACCACAGCTGATTAGACTAACAACTGATGAAACATCTAAATCATTCAGAACTGACTTGATCATTAAAGAGTTACTGGTACTTGCCTCATCATCAGCTTCAATGTCATTTGGGTCTTCAGCTAACGACATGTTTATCCTGTAACAAACCATAATTAAAAGGTATTGTGAATTTACCTGCGCGGTGTAGTTGCTAAGATCACTTGCCCCTAAAGAAACAAGTCATATCAAGCTACCAAGTACACATCATATTATGATTCATTTAATAGCACACTCAATTTCATAACCTTACTTATTGCGAAAATGTCATAAAATTAGCAAGAGCCCCTCATACTCATACTCTACCAGGGATGAAACAAACATTAGGCAAGGTGGAATCGTTTTTAAACCATTTAAAAAGAAGATTCAGATCATTTTAAATTTAAGGTTGTATTGGATATGTTTAAATATATCATTATGTCTGGAAATCTCGAGTTGAAATATTTTTTGGGGTTGCGGGTCTTACTGGCCTTTTGTAATAAGTTATATATTTAGTCATAGTCCTCCAGAATGATAGCTCGATCAATTGTATGAAATAAAAGTGTCAGATAGGCATACCAATTTTAAGAAGATTAAGAAATAAACAAATATATATATTTTTTTGCATAAATAAAGAAGTAGGCCTACTCATTTTTTAGGAATTAAGTCTCCCTCAACTGCTAAATTAAATTAGTATTAAATACCTGGTGATTCAAAGTTACATAATCTTTTTTTTTGTAGTTTTGTTTAGGTGTATATAAACAAAGTATTCTTACATTGTGATTGTCATAATTAATTTTCCTATTTCATTTACAGACATGTTTAAAATAATAATTTAAAATATACAAGAACGTAGTGCATATTATGTTAGTAGCTTTTTTGTATACAGACCCATAACAATTTAAGAATGGAAATGTGTCATAAAAAATCTTTGACGAGAGGAGAAATGTTTTTGACTGTTTTGACGTGTTTGGCACTGAAGGTACGAATGTGTAAGCTAATGCACTGTAATTATTTTGTACATCCTGTTTAACCCATTAGCGAAGGAATTAATTCGCTGCCCGCAGTGCCCTCTGTTAGCAATTAATTTTACTGAATTTGTAGACTTTTACTCTAATTGTTAAGGTATAGAAAGAAAACCTTAGGTAGTAAATTAATAATTCTTCGCCATTTGTTTATAATAAAATTGCAACTGGATTATCAAAGTGTAAAATTTAAAAAATTAAACTATAAAAAATAGAAATTTTTTAAATATTTTTTTAAAGGAAACTTAATTTATTAATTCCAAGATTAATCCAGACACCAAATGACACTGTTATCATAAAGTTCAATTGATTCCCTACGCAGAAAAATTACAAGTTGTTTACTTTTAAGCAATAATATGGAAAAACATTGTTTGTTTTACCTTACCACAGCTCATTTTGGGTGATATCTGGTTTCCATGGCAACACAACATTTTTATCCCCGAAAATAAATGGTTACATACGCAAAACAAGAAGCAAGATATTTAAAAACCTTAAAAAAAAATAAAAAACTTAAAAGATTTAAAAAAAACCAGCTAGGCTTGTAAGTAGGATTTTGGGCCTGAAGCGGCCAGACGAATAACGTTCGTAAGTCAGCGCCAATGGGTTAACACCTTCAAGCGGTCAGTTTTTTTTTTAGCTTTAGGAATTTGCTTGGCTTTAATAAAAACTAAGATTTATAAAGTCTTTTGGTGAAATATACTACAGAGGAGTCTCTTTTATCCAAGCCTTCCGGAGAACAACTGAGTATATTAAAATCCCATGCTATTTCCATGTGTTATCACTGTACACTAAAGACAATCCTTTTTCCATCCTTGTCTGTAGTAATTGGAATATTCATCTCCAATCTACAGGCTTCATGAGCCTGTAATTTCTGATTGTTTTAGCACAATTCATACCACACAGTTTTTCAAGTCCTCGTACCTGCATACTTCCCTGCTAACCTTAATAATGGCTTTGAAACGGAGAAAGTTAGTGGTTAAAAATATACAAAATTAAAGCCTTGATAGGTTTGCCAATAGAGAAAAGACATCTTTAACATACGATAGGTTTTTCATTGTTTCCTGTTATTCGACCTTGCTGTGACTGGTTTAGGTCTCGTTATCGAGACTTTTTTATATTTTAAGAATTATATTTAAAACGTTTAAGGCCGCTACACACTAGGAACACGGTCACTTATCAACCGGCGATCTGGTTGACGAGCGACAAAATTGCACAAATATCGCCGTGTGTGTTGGGGTCTGTCAATTTGATTGACCGCGATTTGCAGTTTGCCAGGCGACATTTTGGTTTTCGTTTTAGTCATTTACCGAAACCTAGTGGTTTCCGATCAACCATTTTATCACCGGGCAATGAGATTTCTCAAAAAACTAGAGTGTGAAGGGTTCAGCCACTAAGTTGATCAACCAAATACGGCTTGGGCATGCGCAATACCACTAAAAAAACACTGGTTGCTAAGTAGGACGTAAACTGTCATTTGACATCTGTGGATTTTAGTTCTTAAAATCCTGAGGATTTTCAAGTCACAAAGCTCGTAGACGTGGCTGTAACTATTTCTACGTTGAAGCCACCCTTTAGGCCAAAATCTTACCGTATAAACAATTTATTTCTTCCTTCTCTGCTTCTCACAATTAAATATAATCATAACTTTGGCAGCTAATTCCTCTTCGTCGGTGGGCATGGTGTTGTCACTTAGGTACACACTTAGATAGGCCCAAGTGCAACTAAGCTCGAACCAGAACGAAACACATCTTATCAATCTCCACCAAATTATTTTAGATTTCCTCCTTGATTGAATGTGCTAGGGATCCTAGTCTGTGGCCTCCAGCAATAAAACGTTCAATCATCAACTTAGTCGCTCGTTAACCAGATCGCCGGTTGATAAGCAACCGGGTGTCCTAGTGTGTAGCGGCCTTTATAGCCGCGTCTCTGCAGGACAATGTTTGCAAAAATAAACGGACAAATCTCATGATCCCCCGCCACGGCTCTTTTTCTCGCTTGTTCCCATCCTAGAAGACATAGTTGCACTCTTTATCACCCTTCCTTATTGGGCAAGAAAACTTTATAATTTCTTCTTTACCTCAATTGTTTGTTATTAAACTCAATCTCTGTTGAATCACTCATTTCTGTTCATTTAACAATACTGAAACTGATTTAACAATCAATAAAAATATTTAAAAAAAACTACCTAGAGCCTAGGTCTTATAAAAAAATCACTAGCAATTAGCAAATGACAAAGGTCACTAAAATAGTGAAAACTGCTACAAGCTGTATGAGGAGAAACGTGATTTCGACTAAAATGAACGGTTTGGGAGCAAACTTTAACAGCCAACAACCGGTACCCGCACTACCCCCACCATGACGCTCATAATGTTCGAGAATGCATCTCTACCAAATCAAAACTGAACAATGTTTGGCGGACTTCACAAATGTCTGTCGAAGACTGTTTGACGAACATGTTCGGTTGGTGGAGACGCGGCTTATAAAGTATATTAACTTGATAAGCAGGACAAGAAAATATCCTGTAAAGTACAAAAAATTAAGGACATAGTTTTCCCACAATTTAAAACTAGTGGTAAGTTAACTTATAATCTTGAAAAAAGACTATAAGTTATGTAGACTAGTTAGAAAAATTTCATTGAAGCAGTTAGCAAATTGTGCAGGTATTTTCGTAGGAATAGGAAGTTTTAACAGTTGAAGGCAGCAAAGTTTAATAAAATTCTGCATAGGCTATTTATATACCTAGCCCATAATATAAGAAGGGAATAGCAATAGTTTTTCCCCATGAATAAATGACAACATATCAAATAGGCTTATTGCACGTACAGTTTACTATCATGCAAGAAATTAGACATTATTTGCATGGAACTGTTGTTGGGCAAGGTTTTCTAATTTAATAGACTACGGTAGGCTACTGGAAGTTGATTATGTACGTTTTATGTTTTATTACATACAGAACAAAGAGCAGACAAAAAATTAAGTTAAATGGGCTTGTCAACAAAAGCTTTCTAGGTGGGCCTAAAATAAAAAAATAAATTAGGATAGCCTAATGTTTAGTTTTAATTTAAAAGGACTTTTTGACTAATTATCAATCTATCACCTAGTAGTCTATCAATAATAAGAATGAGGATCCTTTTTGAGGTAAATACTGTTAAATATTTATTTAAGATTCAATCTAACGTACCTTACCGTAGGTAGTAGATTACAATATAACTCACTTTGGTTGGGATTTAAGTTAAGTTAGGCTACTTAACTAACTAAAACTTCAAATGTTAAGGCTTAGCCCAACAATTACCGTGATTATATCTATAAATAGAATTTAATAGAAACATTTCCATTCACTTGTAAACAACGTAAAATGTCCTGTGGTAAAAGTGTACAACAGAAAAAGTGGGCTATGTCAAATTGAATACAATAGGTTCTAGTAAATTTCTCTTCCACTTAACCTAGCAATTTAAAAGAAGTGTGACAAATAGAAATAGATGGTTTACATGATTGTAACTTACCTAAATTTAAATTGTAAAAATAAATATCACTTAGCTTTTAAAATTCATTCTAAATAACATTCGAGGATAACCTAGATTTAGATATCCAGGGAAACACTAATGATGATAACAAATGTTTATAAGTACTGTAAGCAATGGCCGTAGCCGTAGCCTTCCTTCCTCCTGTCAGTGTCAACTGTCAAATCAAAAATGCATGAGCACGACGACGCGACGAACATCTGCTTTAGAGCTTTCTGCTAGAAAAAAAGCAAGTCACTACTGCCAACCCAACAAACGTCATCACAAATAATTGTTAACAACTGATGAAATTCATTATATTTAAATGTAATGAAATTTCATAGCTAGCTCTTGATCTTATATCATAAAAATATAGACCCAGAGAACAGAGAGATTTTTAAAAACAATTTTTAGAATTTGACAACAAAGACAATTTTACCTCTGCTCTGAAGAAAGCCGTTGGAGAAAATGTAACGGTCAAGAACCTAGAACCGAGCGAATCTCTCTGGAAATTAGGAATCTTGACAGTTTCACCTCCGAAAAAGAAGTGAAGGAGGCCATCGAAAGAGATCTTGGAGCTCAAGCGGGGGGGGGATAAAGTATCTTTAACCCAACCCAACATCAGAGAGCTGAAGCCATATATAGTCTCTCTGTCAGAACGTGGAGCAAATGAACTCATTCCTTTTCCTTAAGGCGGCAAGGATAAAGGTAGGCTGGGTATTCTGGGGGGCCAGAGATAGTCTTGGAAAAAGATCGACCTGCTTATTATTATAGCGAGCAGTACCGTGACAGGGAGGGACCCAATTGGTACCCGGACACAATTGGGACTGCTGCCATCTGGACCCCAAATACAAATGTATTTTTTAGAAGTCACGGTAGGGGAAATGGATTCGTTTGGGTAACTACCAACCATACAAATTTGTTAGCTTCTACATTTGACCCAACGAGTACGTGGCTGCTTTTCAGGACTGTCTGGATCGGCTTGAGGACCTTCTTCGCTTTCTCAGTGGACACCTGCAATCAGTTCCACCTGATCGTAGGCTGCGATTTTAATGCCCGAGCCATAGATTGGGATATGCAAAGAACAAGAACTGACGTTGAGGACAAAGGATTTTGGAGATGGCGGTTTTGGATTGGCCTGGTTGTCCCGAACGTCGGAGAATCACCCACCTGCAGGGACCGAGGTTACTGTACAATACCAGATGTGGCCTTTACCATGGACAACATCTCGAGGCGAATCTCAGACTGGAAGGTGATCGAAGACTATACAGGCTCCAATCACCAGTACACACATTTTCAGTCTTGCTAACAGCAACTATATATGAGTCAAGAAACCTTATAATTGGACGCCTGGCTGGAACGTTTCAAGGTTCGATGTAGTGCTGGTGTCCTCGGTAATCGACGAGGCGAAGAACACTGTTTTGGAATCTTTGGAAACCACGAGGGACATTGTGGAGGCCACAATTGGGCTAATCGAGCGTGGTTGTGACGCCGATATGCCACGGAAAGTGCAACCACATGGATACCGAAAATCCACATACTGGTGGACGGAGGGCATCGCTTTGTGGTGGAGAGAACGCCTTAAATTGTGCTGATTTTAAATTCTAATGTTAAAAATCCGCGCCAAGGCAACGGACAACTCCATCCAACTATGGCGTAACGCGGAGTGATACGTGCACAAAGACCAAAACCAAACCAGTGCAATCATCAGCGTCACTTGGAGTAACGCCGTCAACTTCGAAGGTCGTGTGTCGCCGGTGTTGGGACAATTCTATCAATGTCTTATTCGTAGCGTAGCTTGGAAAATTGCGTTCGGGTGAAACTTGTACGTGCGTTAAAATGTAGTACAAGTTTTAGATTGTTATCATTATTGTACATTTAATTGTAAAGTATGGCAAGAATAATATGTTTTAATATTAAAGCACACTTTGGTATATTTCTCATTTTCATCAATGATTATTCATCTATGAGTGCATTGAGAAAATGCATGATTCAATCTCTTGCATAGATAAAACATAGTCCCTTATACAGTAGATTTTCCATCCTTATGGACCAGCTGAAGCCAATTTTATTGTTAGTTCTGTCCGATTTTCTGTAGATGTCGTGTTTTGTTTACAATTTGTTTCTTGTTATTTCCGTAATTTAAAACCTCGTTTAACCAAATAAAACTATCTAATCGCATAAACAATAACTCGTCCACTAGCTATATAACCACAGTATAATGAGACACAAATAATAAGAAACTAACCCTAAAATAATATAAACAAACTGTAAACAAAACCCGACATCTACAGAAAACCAGACAGAACTAACAATAAAATTGGCTTCATCTGTTCCATAAGGATGGGAAATCTACTAAGGGGACTATGTTTTATCTATGTCTCTTGCCTGCTGGTAATTCAAAAAGAAGAACAGAACAAGAACTGAGTAATTAAATATTTAAATTCGTCTAAAGCTAACATTCTGTCTCTTAAAATACGAACATAATCATACATTACCTACTTGGAAAACCTAACGCAATCGTCTTCCTTGCTTTGATTCAAAACGGGTTATCCATAAAATTTTAGGAGTTGAAAATGGCTTTTTGCTTAATTTTACATTTTATAATTTTTTTTTCTCTACTGTTATTCGGACCCTATGTATGCACCCTCTTCAAAATGGTTCCATAGGGCCTTGAGTGTTAAAAAAATTAATAAGATGATCAATTAATTATTCTTATAAAAACACTCAACAGTAAACAATTGTGTATTATTACAGTAATGTCACACAGCACGGTCGAGTTCTGCCACTCTCGGTGCCTGTACGTCACAAGATGCATCCTCAACACATAGCTGTGTGCACTCGTATGACACAACACGTTGCTTATGGCCATCACACGCTCCATAATTCGTTGATTTGACCAATTTATGTGAATTGGGCATAAATGTACCATTCTTGGTCTTACTTAGTCATAGTTAATTCAATCATTGTGTTGTTTCCCCTCACTCTGATGATATACAGGGTGTCCCGTTCTCGTAAGTTAACAGCCAAACTCCATAAATGGTTTTATGGGTAAAATTAAAACAAAAATCACGAATAAATTTTTTTTTCTCAAAATGCCTCGTTATGAGATATTGCCATTTTGCCTTTTAGTATCTAAAATTTATACCTCTACAACTGTTGAAAGATATCTTTATACAATTTGGTATTAAATTTAAGACAGTAAATAGAATTCATGTTAAGATAGTAATAAACTGTTTGCAAAAAATAATCACTAAAAAATATTATTTAATTTCAAAACTAAGGACATTTCAACTTTTAAAACTTAAAATACTTTTTAGGTTTTGCCTGAAGTTTTTGGCCATAAGAACCCATATTACACCTTCTAGTCCAGTGCAATACCAACGTTGGAGCCTGTAGTCGCTCCAGCGGTTAAGACTGCTGGACTGTACCCAGCTGGACTGCTGTCTCTCTCAGTGTCCCTTGGCTGATGTGTTAACAAACGTTATAGACGGCAGTCCCAACACCTTTGGGCCGGTAAACACACACCGACTTTTGTCACCTTTGGACCGGTATACACACACCGACTTTTGTCGTGCCCCTGTACGACTCAAGAAATCGTATATCTGCCCGACAAGTAGAGAAACAAAGTAGGCAATGGAAGTCGCATGGGGGTGTACACACTAGTGCGACAGCAGTCGTGGAGGTGTCAAAGTCGTGGACGACAAATTTCAAGTCGCACCCTACACCGCCTGGGGGTCCGACAGGCAAGTCGTGTCGTATGGGCTCACGACTGTTTTGAGTCATAGCGGGACATGGCGTTATATGGCTGTCGCGTCGGTGTATACACACTAGTGCGTCTCGGGACACGACTACCAACATTTTGGGCTTATTATAGTAATTGTTGAAACTGTTTTTATTACTGTTGACACTGTCTACTTCACTGTACCTGAAAACCCTTACATTTTTATCAAGATACCTTATTGAATCCATGAACATTTTAATAGTTAGAAATAAGATATTAATATAATATTTAGTCAACGCGTAATTAATTACCTCAATGTCAATACAAGCCTCTCCTCAGGAGGTATAGCCAATCTCATTTACGTGTTTAATTTTCTTATTTTGTCCCTAAAAGTATCCAGCATGATGTCAAATGACATTGGCGACATTCTGAAATATCCAAAAAACTTTTTCCCATCACTTTTCAATTCGTCAAACGATACACTAAACAGTCCTTTCGTCCTTCTATCAAGTAAAAAAGGATCTGTTTGGATACATCTTCTTTTACGTCGACGTTTTCTCCTTAACAGGAGAAGGAGAACCTCTTCCTCCGGCGACATCCTCACAAATGAGTAGTCCTAAAGCCAGTAAAGTTCGCTGTTGCGTTTGCTGAGTCGTATACCGACACGACAACTGTTGTAAGGTAACACGACTTTGTTGTATGCCAGCACGACACGAACACTCGTACTCACATGCATCCAACTCAGTGTTTGTGTATCGGCCCTAGACTTTATTCAGAAGGCAGAGCTGGACCCTGATGTAGCAGTTGTGCCGAGTGCTCTGCCCATCCCTACCCATACCTTCACCATGCCAACATTGCGCCCCCCACCCAAGGTGTTGAAAACTCCAATGATGGTTTCCAGACATGGTCCAGAGATGGTCGTGGAGGTGGCAGAGGAGGCCGAGGGAGAGGTGGAGGCTCAGAAAGAGGGAGAGGAGGTCCTAAAGGAGGGATGGGAGGATACCAGAACTAAAAGAGGTTTAAATGATCTCTTTTACCATGACGAAAATGTAAACCATGCTGACTGCTATTTCTATTTTTGAGCAGTCTAATTAGTCTTATTAGTCTAATAGTTTTGGTTAGTCAACTAAGCACATCACTAAGTAAAATGGCATATATATACGATTTAAAAAATTGTTTCCTCTTATAATTTAAAATAGGCTGTTAAGAAATCCTACTCTACACAATAGGCAAATATGATGATTCTTTAAAAGAGACCTCCATCGTAGATTAGTACATACCAAATTTCATCAAAATCGGACCATTGATGTGGTCTGTAGCTCTGTACACTCCACACACAAATGAATAGTGTGATTTTATCTAAGCTGTTTACAATCCCACCAGAGTGATATTCAAAAACAACATTTTTAAAAGAAATTTAAAATTTCCTATTTGTTTTAGTTTAATTTCCTATTTGTTAAGTTGACAATTTATTGTAGAGCTTTGCCAACCTTCTATATGCTGGGGCCCTCTAGCAACCAGTTCTGTAGTAGATCAATTACCAGCCTCTACAGAAGCAGAATTGCAGCAGTTAACTTTTGGTTGTCGCTAGTTTCATTGATACAAAATTAAAGTGAAAATACAGAGGCAATGTTTGATTAATTAATCAAAACTGGTCGTAATTTTTTTTGTTTTTGTTTTTAGAAATTTGTTTAAATGATTACAGGTACTTGGAGTAGTGATTATGTTATATAGCGTACATAACCTAATATTAGGGTCTCTTGTTTTAACTTTTTTGACATCATTATATATGTAATTAATGTAATTGGGCATTAGTTTGTTTCTTGCATATTTCAGTGGTATATATCTGGTTGAACGCTATTTTTGAACAACATTACTATGAGTGATATATAGTAGACTGTTTTTGACAAGAAACTTCATTGTCTGTAGTGTGATGAAAATAATAATTGTCACATTAAATTTTGAGATGAAATAAAAAAAACTGCTCTGCAATGATCTCGACAGCTTCTAGTAAAAAAATCAACTGTAACTTAGATGATTTTGAATCGGGCTCTCTCTATCCTTCATAAAATTGTCGTTTGGTCATAGAATCGACAAAAGGTGACTTGAATCACATTTAATTCAACATTACCTCTAATATTCAAATGTCCATAATACAAATTATTTTTTTAAATATTTATTTTAAAAAATTATCAGAAGATAGGGCCTAATGAAAATGTTTCTAAAGCAATGTTAACGCTTAGTCATACACTGTGCAAGCTAATGGTAGAATATTGGTTACAATATTTTTTGTTAATATTGAAATATATTTGTACAGGTATTTACTTTTTGGGTACTATTATACAGGTGTTATTATACGGAGGCCACCCTTATACAGCGCACTGCAGTGGTTATGTTAGGTTGGGTTATCGTTATCATAAATAGAAAGTATGACTCATCTGGTATCATTCGATTCATGACAAAACGAGGAAAGAGTACAAACATATTTATGATAACCCAACCTAACATAACTGTCGAAGCAGCGCGCTGTGAAATAGGTGACCTCCGTTTCTCACAATGGCTTAATACTGACAGTGTTTTTATGACAACAACTGACTTTTGCGGTAACATTGTACTTTAAAAAGTGCACCTCATTTGTTAAGTAGACCTACCAGGTCAGTGTTCAGAGCTCAGTATTAGACCGAAGCTTGTTTTAATCAAAGTGATTTAAAAATAATAACAATACATTGTATGGGTCCTGATTGGAGTGAAATATAAAAACAATGGTTATCTTAAAATAACAAGATATTTATTTAAATATGTTACAATACTATCTGTAGTTTTTAACTAATGACACATATTACATTCAAATGATCGTCTTATGATCAATAAAAAAAAAACTCAAGACTTGTTAAAATGACTATTTCATAAATATTTTATACAAACAAACTGTTAAAATAAATTAAATGAAGGATACATACACACTGTAAAATTTTCCTACGCCTATCTTAAGCCATTGAAAAATTTCTTAGTACACGACTATAAAAATAAAATCTGCCATAGGTACATACAGGTCTAACAAATGGTAAGGAAATGTAAATGAAGGCAAAAATAAATTACACAGCCAATTAATAACAAGAACATTTATAGACAAACCTAAACAATATAATAAATACAATAAGATAAGGGTTATTGTACCACCATAATTGTTTAACCCATTGCAGGTGAAAATGTTCACTATAGCTTAGTGGCAAGAACATTCTAATACACTAGCCAAGTTTAGAGTTTGGGATGTGTGGAGGAGGGTTACACAAAGCAAAAAGAGTCAGTGTATGGAAATAGTGATTTACTTTGCGCTCACATTACACATTATATTTTTCCTACAGTGACTATAAAGCATATAAATGATTATTCTTTCAAACACTGAACAACACGTTTATAGGTTAGGTTATATCCAAACATTGAACGAAATGGGAAATCCCACCAGCTGATCGTAGTCGTAATATCTTTAAGTGTTGCCAACTTATTTTCAAGCGTACACGTATTGCGTGCCTAATAAAAGCACACTGTTTTGTGTTTTTTGGTTGGAATACTGGAGTATGAATTTCAGGGTACTCTGGTTTTTATTATTTTGCTTATTAACTATATATATATATATATATTTACTACTAGTTCGGGTTAGTTAGCGAATTTCCCTATAGGGAAGTAGCTATTGCCGTAGGTCGCACGGTAAGACCTAGGCCCGGGACCGAATTACTTTTTCATTTTGATGTCCCCAGAGGCCAAAAACACAATTTGTTCAAATTTATATATATAAATTTGAACAAATTGTGTTTTATATATATAAATTTATATATATAAATTTGAACAAATTGTGTTTTTGGCCTCTGGGGACATCAAAATGAAAAAGTAAATCGGTCCCGGGCCTAGGTCTTACCGTGCGACCTACGGCAATAGCTACTTCCCTATAGGGAAATTCGCTAACTAACCCGAACTAGTAGTAAATACAGTATATTAGATTTATATTGTATTTTTTACCTGCAATGGGTTCTTTTCATTGTAAATTATCAAGTTCAGTATAGATTAAAACATGGGTATAACATATTACATCAATATATAATTTAATAAAAATATGTTTTGAAACAAAAAAAATTGTTGTATGAAAAATAATTAATGACATACCTTTTTAGTATACAGTATACAATGCTAACTGTTTTAAAATATGAGATGTACTCTTAATTGAGTTATTTCAACCTTTATTAAAATTAAAATGAAAGTTAAAATAAATCTTATAAATGCCCTAAATATATACTGTTTAACTAATATACTACTTTAAAGATGGAAGTATTGAGACAAATTTGAATAACTCGCCGATCTATTTGATTTACAAAATAATCTTGATTTGTTTTGTAATTTGAACCGTTAGACTGATTTAGTCTGGTAAATGATCTATTTTAGTTGCTTGCCTACTTTTTATTTGCAATTGTATTTGCAATCCTATAAAAAAAATACAAATTGATTTTCATGCTGTGTTGGTTCTACATAAACTACTTTACTTATACCCTTCCTTTACTTTAGTTATAGGGACGGATTTCAATAAAATAATACTTTGTATTTTTGGTTTCAATATTCACCTTAAGATTTAATATTTATAAGAAAAGTTTCTAAACATAAAGAAAAATATTCAACTGATCAATAACCATAGCTTTATAGGTGTAAAGAAGCTTGAATATTATTTTAAATAACTAAAAAAATAACAAAGGTCGCAAAAAAATGTAAATAATAATGTATTCCTATTTATTCCTATTTTTGCTCATTTTTAGTGCTATTTAGAGCGAGACCTTGGGCACCTTGATTCTCCACTAAAAGAAAACACAAATTAAACATTATTTACTTGTAAAAACTGTCTAGAAGTTCTTTGTTAAAGTGTGAAAATCCCTGACTAAACTATAGAAATTGATTTAATAACAAATCTCAGATGTGTTTCATAACTAAAGCCTAGCTAACAAGAATCTATCAACTTATTTGGAATATATAATATATAATTAATCTGATAAATGATGGGTTATTGGAATAGTAGGGCTAGGAATTTCACTCTAAGTTCTCAATTAAATTAGGATTATAACATGACATAATTTAGCTATGCAATAGCATAAGTAGGCAAGTATTTAATAAAAACTCCTGCCTAAACAACCATAATATTTTTAAAATATAACTTATTTAAAAAATATTTATATAAGTGCTATTATAGAAATGTACAATATATTTCGGGCTCAACCAAAAAAGTGTAAAAAAATATAATGAAACTAATAATGATTTAAAAGTTTAAGAAAGCATTGATTAAAATTCCAAAACTTGTTTCTTTCCAAGACTTTTCACTGAGTAAACATTAAAATTAAGCTTTAGAGTACGTTGCTAGTTAGCTTAACTTAGGTTGCAAAGTGACTTAATTAGTTCTCAGTTGGTAATCTCCATTTTGAGTTATGTATCGAACCCACGGTAGAGCTTGGTACCCGCTCTTCTCAATGATTTTCAGATAGCGGACCTAAAACCATACAAAATACCAGACAATAAAATGCATTCATATTCTATTAATGTACATTTTTTAAAGAAAAACATTTGTCAAAGAAATACTTTAAGGATAAATGGATAAGACTACCTCATATGAGGGAAAAGTTTCTGATAGTTGATAGCACACAAACAAATATTAACAACATACTTGATACTTTGCCCCTCCAAGCGGGCTTCTTCAGAGGAATGTAATAAATGTTCTGCTATGTTCCATAGCAGAAGGTTGCTTAGATAGCCAAAATATCAATTTAAATCTTGTCTTTGGTGAGTATACCTACCTTACTTACAAAATTAATTAAAATACACAACAAAATATAGAATTTTCAAATCTAAGAGCTCCTTCTTCATTACTAGACTTTGTTCTTGTAGTAGGTATTTGGGTTTATTATTTTAGCTTGGTGTAATAGCTACTTCAAGCACGTTTGATAAACTAATAACTAAAAAAAACTAACTTGTCACAATGTGGTTTCTTACATCAAAGTTGATCAAAATTTTCAATATTAAAAAATTAATACCGTGTCACATACCTGGATGCCAGAAGTGGTGAAGTAAGGAATTTCAAATTTGACCTGGATGGGAGGTTTCCCCTCACTGTCTTCACATTCGACACTGGGTAGTCCAAAATGGGCTCGCATCAAATACTCCTTTCCGCCCTAAAAATGTACAAATATAATATTACAACAGAAAACCTAATTACTGGTAAGTAACATTTATTTGAAAAAAATTTATTGCGGGCTAAATAATATCTTTCTACTTTTGTTTTAACACCCTAAAATAGAGTATATAACCTATGTGCCTGACTCTTAATAACAAGTAGGCCTAATTAAATAATAACATTTGAACAAAACATTTACATTAGTATAACAGCATGACCCATAAAAAAGCACATAAGCAGAAAGCACATCACAGTTTTTGTTATTTATTCCTTAGCCTTATCTGCCTAAAACTGTTGATAGGTGCCACTTATTGAATTTATATTCTGATCTGTTTCTTTCTAAACTGTCCTTGGTAGAATTTGAGCCAGATACAGTTATTTGTTCGAAGTTCATTGTTGGTGATGGTGAGTTAATGTTTAAAGGTTTATTGAGGATATTTTCCAAGAGACAGCACTATAGTTTGAGGGTTCAGATCCCATTTTTTAAGAGGCTAGCGGCCTCTTTCAAACTTTCATTTGACCGTCCAAATAGGCCTTAGTCCCACGTGTGGAACTTACTCAGCAAAGCAACGGGTGAGCCGTTACAGTACAGGGTGAAGAGTACTGATAAAATTTAGTGGCGGGCACCAGGATCCGAACCCTTGAAATCACTTCCTGACTTCAAAGTCCACTGCGCTACCAACTGAGCCACAGACTCACTGACGAAATATTGGTTGTGTCTTATGGTGTGTTACACCTCAAATCAGACATTCCCTACTGTTTATGCTTACTCAACACGTTTCTACTCAAAACTGATTATTTCTAATTTCAATTTTATTCATAAGATGGAAGGAAGGTAAACAATAAAATAGGTGTAATTCGATCAACAAATAATCCCCATACACAAAGGTTGAATATTTACCGGGAATGACTTGATTGTCCATGTAATAGCGTTTTGCTCAGGAGCGTACTTCACACTCCCCACAGTGGTCTTGAACTTTGGCGAGTCCGCGTCAGCTGGCACCGGGATCACTACTTCCACATTGTTGGCCGTAGATCTACGCTTGAACTGTGACTTGGCTTTGATCATGTACTCTACTCTACTGTGTACATGTCGCTCAATCACCGACTCTATCCAAATAAGGGGTTTCACCTGTGAACATAGTTGTCTTGTTATTTGATCCAAATGTGTAAATGCTGTGAATTAAATAGCAGTTATGCATAAAGTCAACTGTCAAATGAAGTTGTTTGCCATTTCTCTTTCAATCCATGTGTAAAATTATGTTTTTTAAATTTTGTTGGAATCCTGAAAAAGCTTTCCATAATTTTCTCCATTAGTACATCGAATAGGATGTTTTTATACGCTAGACAAAGCCATTAATCTACCCTATATCAAGAAAGCACACGGGGTGATGCCAAGAATATTAGGGAGTTAATTTGTTGGTCAATCATGTTCATTGTATCTCTGCTGGTCCACAGTTTAATTTTATGTCTCAATGTAGAATAAACTCAACAAAAATTATAAGAAAAAATTAACTTAAGCGTAGATAAAATAAACACAGGTAGAACATCGTAAAAAGTAACAGTATGGCTAATGTAATATTGTACTAATCTTTTGTGGACATATTTACTATGCTGCTACAATTTACACAAAAACTCAGGATAAAGCAGTGATGCTTGTAAATAATTATATAAATAACATCAGTTACATGTAAAATTCTTAGCACTACAATGCAAAACAAAAATTTCTACTAAAAACGTTAGTTAACGTAGGTGCACTAGTGAAAAAAGAACAGTCACATACTGCATGTGACTGTTCTATTTATTGTTTTAGTGTGCTACGTACCACACAGTTTGTCAACTCCAGTCATATCTTGTGGCATCAACATACAGAGGAACCTTGATAACAAGAGCATAGACAACAAGTGAACCTTGATAACAAGTGTCATTTTCAAATCCCCCAGAATTTATTTTACCCCTAATCACATGTGTAACCTGAGAGTCTTGTTATCAAGGTTCTACTGTACTTGCACTATCTCATATCTTGGTCATAGAGGGGACATAGACATTACTTTTTACCAATTTTTACACCCTTGCTGCATCAAAAATTACTTACATGGGTGTTCAGACGGTAAGACATGAGTTCAAACTCGCCATCTGGTGGAATGAAGGAGATGGTACGATCGTTTTCAAACCTGAGGAATGTAGAATTAAAATGAATGATTGTTTGAGACAGTTATTAGACAAATAAACTACCGCTAAGCCTATAGCGAAATATTTAAGAAATGTCGATTGCAGATCTATACCATAAAGAATAATTAACCTTCCTTAATTAGGCAACAGTTAGCAGTAAAAGCAGCCCATTTAAAATCAATTCTCATAATCTATTTTGTCTCGTTTACAATCGGACTCAGTGGCGGTTCTAGGACCTTGTACCTTTGACTATTAATACAACAACTAGACATTCCATCCCCATGTTAAAGTTGTAGCCAGGTTTTTAATAAAATTTGTCTTAGTTGATGTGAACCACCTACTGATTGCGCTGATCTAAATTACTGATTTCTGCCGATAACATGATGGTTTTTACCAAGTCAAACTGATGGAATGTCTTATTATGAGCTATAGCAACTGTTGTGACCCAGCAACTATGTCAGTAACAAAAAATAAGGTACAAAATAGAGTTTTAGACACTAGCCCAATCTGTGACTGGGCGACAGCTGATCCATATAGATGGGATGTCTTCTTCTGTATCCAATAGTCAATGCTTGTACGTACAGGGGGGAGCTCAGGGCTGATCCACACCAGAAGGGGGGGGGGGGTTCCGCCCCAGAAAATTTGCCATTTTTAAAGCCGTTTGGTGACTTTTAAAGCCATTTTTAATGTCTAGAACTGTGTCTAAAAACTTAGTTACGTTTTTATGACGAAATGTACATTTACATTCACAATTTCAGGGACCATTGGGGGTAGGGCTTTAGCCTCTATAGCCCCCTCTTGGAATCACTACTGATCAGACTATAGTTTGATTCATTCAACTGAAGATAATCCGATGTTAAATTACAATCCACATTTTAAAAGGTTATAAAGCAAGATGCAAGGTCCTAAAGCAAGCATCGGACCTGTGAAAACGCCCTCTGGAAGTAAATTTAAGGCAAGGGGGTAAAGCCCTACACGAAGTAGTCCATTTTAATTACCATTCATCCCTATGCTACATCATATGCGCTTCAAAATGACACCTTATTCATTCAAATCATATGGTAGGACGGGTGAAAAAGATGTTACAGAAACCCCTTATTGAATTAACAAACCGAGAAAGATAATTCATTACATACTGGCAAAAAAATCATTCAAGTGATTTGCCTATTTGTGCATTATATTTAAAATCTATATAGGCCTATTTCAAATAAAAAAACATTATTCAGCACCGTTTCTATATTTTAATCATGTATAAAACATTGTAAAAAATGTATAGGTAGGCATTTATTAAATAAAAGTTTGCAAAAAACAAAATTACATTAACCAGAAACATAACCTCACCTAGACAATCTGACGCACTGATGAAACTTGACATCTTCAAGTTCAACAGATTTTGACTTTCCTCGACCTGTGCTCTCGAACAGAACTTTGTCGTTGAGGCCTAGTCTCAACTCAGGCATTCCAGACAGGTAAACCCTCATCTTTATAGCTCCTACGATCTCACTACGCAGCACGTTGCCATTTGCATTTGCCTAAAAAATAGACCTTGCAAACATATCGTAATGACAAAGGTTGGACAGGTTAAGTACAAAAGTATCATATTTGGGTTTTATAATTCAGCCTTGTTGCAGCAGCAAATAATAAAAATTGGGTATTTTATTTGATTTCAAAGTATATGGATCCAACTAAGTGCACTTCAATGTGGTCCCGCTAAACGCACACTTTTTGGCGTCTATCTGTTGTTAAAAAAAAAAAATTATATTAAAATTCATGATGTGGCCCCTGGACTGTTTAATTAGACTAATATGAGGTACATACCTTTACGTCAACAGTTTGATTGTAGTAAGTAGAACTCACAACATGTTTCGCCTATTCAGGATGAAGACAAAGCATTCTTGCTAGGATATCACCTGATGATGCCTGAATAGGCGAAACATGTTGTGAGTTCTACTTACTACAATTGAACTGTTGACGTAAAGGTATGTACCTCATATTAGAAAAATTATACCCTTGAATGGTCATTTTACCTTTACTCCATATTATATCATATCTTACCTCTTACTTAAGCACCTATTGTTGACTGTATTGTGCTGCTTATTTGAGTTTTAACTACTACACTTTGGAACAAAAAATACTAGTTTTAAGGATTTTCAAGATAGCCTGCTGTATTGACTGCAGTCTTACAACACAGTAGTTTGGATCAGTTCCACATTGGTTGTCCAATAATGTAACTAAAATGATTGTCTAGAGTTTGAAACTAAAATAATTCTGAGCTGTTGGGAAGAAGCCGCCGTGATAGTTTCCAAAGTGATAAACAGAGAAGCACTGGCCACAGGATCGGCAGAGACAGCTGTTGCTGAAACAATTCTGCGCCTTTTACATCAATAGGTAAGTTGGTGCAATGTAGTCAAATAAAGCATACAGGGTTAACATAAAAAGCATAGAATGTTTTTAACTAGTTTCCTTATCAAACATTACTTATTATTGAAGTAACTTACTAGTAAATTTACAGACTCGATGACATCTAGAAACACTTCATTTTTCCTATACTTGATTCCTTCTGATCTCCACGAAACAGCATTTGTCACAGCCATTGGTATTCTCGGCTGAATTTCTAGCTTGTGTCCTTCCTGGGTAATGTACCTAAAATCATTTAAAAGTAATGTTAAGTATTCTACAAAAAATGTACAGTTTACTTTTGTGATCAGAAATCAAACTGTACAAATCAACAGTATCTGCTCACTCATAAAACATATGATGAGCCATCAACGTTATGGTTTGAGAGGAGAAATTACAAATATTTTGTAAACAGTTAATAATAATGCAGTTCAACCATTGACTATTGGATACTACTGAAGTAGACATTCTATCTAAATGGACCAGCTGTTGCCAATCTTTAATTAAAAAAGAAAATAGTTGTGAGCCTGTCACAGAATTCGCTAGTGTCTAAAATTATATTTTATAACTTATTTTTTGTTGCCGACCATGTTGATGGGTCATAACAGTTGCTATAGCTCACCATAAGTCATTCCCTAAGTTTGACTTGGTAAAAAGTTTGTGTATTCAAAAGAATTTAGTAATTAAAATCAGCGCAATCTGTAGGTGGCTTACATCAACTACGACAATTTAAAAAAAAAAATCTGGCTACAAATTTAACATGGGTATTATTATTAATCAAAGGTTCAACTAAGTGAGTCAGTTGTAATACCAATATACAGCATTACCCAGAAATCAAACCTGTCGCACTGAAGCCTGATATGATAAAACTAGGTTAATGCTAACTAGGTATGCTAGAGCTAGGCTAACTAGGTTTATAAACAGTCTTGTTAGTGTGGTAGTCTGTGCCAGACTCCCACAAGGACACTAGTGAAAAAAAAACATACAACCGTGTTAGTTAGTAACCAGAATACTTACTCTTGCAATATTTTGCTATCTGTCGTTTGAGGGTATCCAAAATCTATAAGTTCATCGAGTAATTCGTATATTACTACAAAATTGTCACGTATACTCTCTTCTTCAATTTCTTTGAAGTATTCAGTCATTACCTACAAACAAAAGATACATTTAATACAACATACATGTTGTACTACTCGAGCTGTCAATCTTACAGGCAAAAATATTAAATAAGCTTTAAAGTGTTTTTATTTTCATTATGTTTTTCTAAGGTAGGTGGTTGGTTGATATTTCCTTATATTGGTTGGCTTTCCTGATATTTCTTGGCCATTTTACGGCCAACTCAAAGAGGCTTTGTATCTGCCGTTACTACTTAATTATTACGCTATAGTCTGTGATATTGCTATTAATACAACTAAATTTATAAATATAGCTGTTATATACATCCTTTTATGGTAAATCCAAGCATTTAAAATTTGAATCGTAAGAATAGATTTATCCGGGAAAGTAGGACTTCTTCTAGAGTATTCAATTATAAACTCATGATAACAGAATATCCCTGGATGGTTTAGGCTCTTCCAAGACTTTGCACATTTTCCAGCAAGTGTATTCTGTTCCAAGATGAGTCAGCTGGAAAATAGGCTAAACCAGGGGTCTCCAACCTACGGCCCACAGATTTTATCCAGCCCGCGAAGGCCTACTGGGAAATAATTATTTTTATATTATTGGTATAAATATTTCGCCTTCTCAAAAATACCGTTGTCGTCACTCACAGGAGCGGAAACACTCATAAGTAAATCTTGCTGTCTCGGTATTAACATAATCGCCATTCGCGATCGCAGCAACACTCGCGAGCATTTTTTGCGGTCTTGGCAATACCGGGGTTGTCATTCACGGTAGCGACAACACCCGTAAGTAAATGTTGCTGTCTCGGCAATAATGTGATCGTCATTTGCGATCACAGTAACACCCGTAAGTAAATATTGTGGTCTCAGTGATAACACAATTGTTATTTGCGATCGCGGCAACATTTGCCAGCATATTTTGCAGTCTCCGCGATACTACAATCGTCATTCATGATCGCGGCAATACTCACGAGAATATTTTGCTGTCTCGTCGATACCGTGATCGTCTCCCACGATCGCGACTGAACTGTAAACATCTCTCACGGTATCAGTAAAATTCCAGTGATCGTGATTTATTTATGACAAAGTATAAGACAAACACGGTTTATATACCCATAAATAATTTAAGGTAGGGTCAATTATTTTGTTTGGTCACAGTATCATTCGCAGAAATGTGTAGAATTTTAGTTAGTCAAAAGGTTAAATAGCAACAAAAAATCAGCAAGAAATGTAAAACTTAATTGCTGAGCTCTTAATTAGAAAACTGCCTCTTTGTGGGTTATTTGGAGGGGGCTACCTTTCTACACTGAAATGTTGACGGGTCTTTCCTCCAAAAATTGACAATGTGGCCCTTGAGTAAAAAGGTTGGAGACCACTGGGCTAAACTAACTTTATAAACCTTCATATATTAAAACACTACTAATTTCTTGTGTTTAAAATAAACGTGAATGGATACCTGTACAATTTTATGAAGAAACACAAATACAAGTGCAATATTTGCATTTTTCTTGGTGGTAGAAACAATGTACAGATTGTTGTATTTGATGTAAGCGAAAGTGCATTCTGTTGTTTGCAGCATCGGTGTTAGCATCCCTTCTTCCTCTTTCTCCATCAGAAGAGGCATGAACTTCTCAATTACTCCAAGGTCTATATCTCCTCTGTAGTTGCGAGATATCAGAACCTGAAAATAAGCATTGACATTACTCAATTAGGTTGGCACCATACATGCTTCCGTGTTTAGTTTTCAATTCACACCACAGACTGCGCCATCTGCAATCTTTTTAATCACATGATGCGGACAAGATATGTGCATAAAGTCTTGTGAAACAGCTGTAAAATACACATACAAGACATAGTTCTTGGACCACTATCATAACACATAAATTTATATAAACCCAATGAACGTGTTAAATGATAATACGGGTGGAAGTAACAACATGTCCTCGGTTCAAAAGATCAATAGTACCTTACTTAACTATTGTAACGAGCCGTTGTTCCAGGTTGGTATGATATTGTTATCTGCCTGCAAGACTATTGTGGAGGTAGTTGAACGGCAGCGGCGTGAAACGAGCCAGCGCCATTTGACCCGGCTTATCAGTGTCGGAAAGCCTTGGGTATCATGGATCTTCAGGACAGGCAGTCTACAGTCAGTATAGAGGAGTGAGTGAGTCTAGAGCAGACGGTAAATGCATGTACAAGAAGTGTGATTGGGTGGTGAGTGTCTCAAAGTCTTGAGTTGGAGTTACAGGTAGGGGAGTCTCTCACTAGTGGTGAGTAAAATTTGTCTAAGTATTTCATATAAGGTCTGAGAAATATCTGGAAAATAATTATTCTCCCATTTTATTTGACGAATACGAGATGTCACCATACTGGTATAATTCTGAAGCTAGGTTTTTCAGTGTCAGGAATAATGTTGAAGTAGATTCCAGACAGATTTGGGCAAGCTTTGTAGCGCAAATTTTTAGTGATTTTGAAAAATTTTTATTTTGTATTAAACTACGAACTTATTATTTTAATGATAGCTTTGAGGCTATACAAATTGTTTGACTGCACTTGGCCAGTAAGTTACTAGTTAACTCCTAATAGCCTACAAAATATAGGCCCAGCTTACAGCAGGTTGATTGTGGTGGTTGGTTTTTAATCGTTATTAACTTTATGATCATAACTTAATTAAACGTCCAGTTGGTAGTTCTGGCACTTTATCTCAGTAGCTTGAATAGCATAGTACCAACTATAAGATATTTAGTGCTTGGAAAATATTTGTATTCAAGAACATTTATCACACTAACCACTAAGTAGTTTAATAATATTATCAATAGTGCAACTGGAATTTAGTTTAAGCTGGGTGTGAGTTGTAGGGACCAGCTACTAAGGGTTTAGTTACATAACTTGTACTTTGATTTGAATGTTGAATTGTCGTGTTTTGAGTGAACTGCTGTTGGATTGCTAGCTTGGGCATAATAGTGAGTGTACAGAATATAAGTGGCCGAGTAGACCACGCCTGGTGATAACATGTGTCATGTGTCAAGGTTATTGTTGTCAATTTACCGATTCACTCACTTTGTTTTAGGCATTCTGGGCTGAACTGTTGTTTAGTGGGGGAGAATCCCGAGTTGCGATTTCAGAAACGACCAAATAGGGGAGTAGAAAATTGGTGTAGGTCTGGTGATGATTATTGCATGACTGTTGGATGACTTGTCTTGAGCAGTTCATAATGCCTGTGTATGAACAAGTCCTACACCAGTTAGACCTGGATTTTAGTCTGGTGATTCCCTCATTGCAGACCCTGGAATTTCACCCAGCCATTGAAAGCTGAGCTATCTTGGCAACATTCACGATTATTATTCTCCTCAAGAAAACTACGTTGCACAATCAAGAGTTGAATTTTTCTTCCACAAATAAATATGAAAATTTAATAACATAAGATTTAGGCAAATATAAAACTTATTTTTCTGCTTAAAAGTAGGGGTCTGCGGTGCACAGAAAAAGTTGGTACGGTACGGTTCTGGCCTAATTACCACCATCGGTTCGGTACAGCATTTTACTCGGTACAAATTCAGTTTGATACAGCCTATAGTAAATTAATTACTTTTAATTCACTATCCCAGTCTAAAAGTTGTTTTCCTCAAGTCAAACGGTAAAATTAATGAGGCAAGCCAGATTGCACAATGGATTTACGTAGTTGTCACACAATGTGAGCAGATGGAATGCAGCCGCGAAGTAAGCAAGAGTTGTTTGGATGGGTTATCACAGGAATACTAAATATAAATACATTCACAGTATTATTATGTATTTGTTTCATTATACTCCCTTGTTCCTTTTTGTTATTTTGGTTTATATGTGAATCAAATCATCGTCATATATTATTAGACAACCTATAAATGTAATAAGAAACAGGGACACGATCAATTTGCAGATTGCAAAACGCAGTAGCCAAGCAGCCGACAAAGTCAAAAGGAGGTTAGAACTGCACTTCACAGTCCAAGGAGGAGTGTCACATTCGTCATAAACCTATCTGTTATAATTCTCTTTACATGAATAACAATGTATTAAGTTCAGATGTAAACTTTTTTGCCTCAATACTTTTAAAACATGCTAAGTTATAAGTTTATAACCGGAAAGTATTATTGTAGAAATTGTGGAACATTTGCAATTGATATTATTATAAATTATAGATACAAGTTTTGATGTTATGTATTTTTCCTCTTTGCCTTTACTTCATCATAACCTCCAGTCTTTCATTGTCGTCTGTTGAATGTGAACATCTGGCAACGACGATTACCATTGTCTTTTTACTGAATGCATTGATATGTTTTTAAAAGTTTAAATTAAACATCCAGTCGTTAGTTTGAAAAATGTAACCAGTTGTGTTAAATTATCTTGTAGAATTGATGCTTCAAACATGTTTATTCCTAAAAATTCTTGGCCTAGTTTTAAAACCACTTTATCATGGCTATGACATATCTTAGTAGTAAAATAGGTAAAGCCTTTACCTCAACTATGTTAGCCGCAAACCATACCGATTTTCGATTTTGTACCAAGAACCAAGATACAAAATACAGTATTGTACTTTACCGAACCCTACCGACCTTAAATTTTCTGTACCGCAAACCCCTACTTTAAAGTTACCTAGATAAATGTTAAGTCTACCTACCTAATAATGTGTATCATCTATAGTTGAACGAAATACAAATTAAATTCAATCATGATAAGATTAATCTTTAATTACAAAATTTTTACCTGGATACTCAGCAGGAAATATTTGTTAAAAAAAGGAGATCTAAATGATTTTGAACTACTGACAGAACGGTAATTTAAGGGTGATATGTCATCGAACGGACTAATCACAGAGACGCTTCTACATAGACCGTGAGGTACAAAAAATCTTCAGTTCCCATTGGCCACACACTATACCTCTATGTAAGCCATACAGTACATCCCTATTGAAACCTCCTCACTGCATAAAGCTCCCATTAGTTAGGGGTGTGAGAGTAGTAAATTTTTTAGTCGAGTACTCCATAAATTTTGCGAGCTTCGAACTTTTTCAAGTCATTATTATTATTACCCTAAGGTATTTACAATTTACAAAATAAATTTACATTTAAGTTTAGATTTTATAGAAGTTTACGGAACAAAAGAAAGTGTTAACAACACGAGTTGAAAATTTAAGTTACGAGCATTAGGGAGTGCCTTAAACTTCTATGATTGTCCTTAGGACTATTTACATGAGTTGCGTACACTACTTTACCTACGACTGTTTTTAATTACTAACAAACACTACTCATAATTTCTAAGAGAGGTTTTTTTTTAGTTCATAATCTCTCATTTCCACTAACAGTTATGCAACGACTCATTGTACAAACCACTAATTGCACCAATCATCACAAATATATTGGTAAACAGCTGATTAGTTGAAGATCCAAGCATTACAATTTTACTTATTTTCTCTCAATCTTTGAACCTCATTGGTCCACTGGGCATGTTGTTAAGTAAAAAAACAATGCTGGTAAGTGAATATTTTCAATTCTAAGAACTGAAACGGCTAGTTTAAAAAATGGTCGTAGGTCAAGTTACAATTACAATATTACTTGGAGACACTTCATGAATAATGTACAACACATCTGGTGTGTTCTTCAAAGCATGAACCACTCTTTTATCTTTAATCAAAATCATAAATAACTCTTTTACTATTGACCAGTAATGCTTTCTAAGAACTGGTTGCTAGAAAGACCATGTTAAAAAAAAACCAGGGTGTAGACTATGTATTTAAAATTGTTTTTAATGCTACTGGCATGTGCCTGGAGTGAAGCCCAGCTTAAAAAAACTCGAGACAAGGCGAGAACTGAAATACTCACTCGACTCAACCACTGAAGTACTCGCACACCCCTAGTTACAATGTATTTGTTTTACGTAGAGGTCTACATTTACCTTTCCGTGACTCCCCTTAGGAAACCATTTTTACTGGGGAATTAAAATGCCCGTTTACTCATGTAGCTTTTCCAACTGAACAAGAAATTGTCTTGTACAGGAGTCTTGTATCTTTGTATCTTTGTATCTTGGATGTCTTTGTCTTGTATCTTGCGCTCACGGGTAACAAGAAATGTCTTATCATTTAATTTGTTTAGAAACAATTTGGTCATTCAGCCCTAATCTAACGGCCATGGCCATATATATCACAAAACATAACCATACACAATCTATACTATAATATGATTAACGTTTGCACACAATGATTTCAAAAACAGCTCCTACGATTTCCTCCAAAATGTTAGAAATATCTTAGAGAAACAGGTCCACGACGTAGGAGTAGGAAGTGGTAAGGGAAGGGGTAATGGCGAGGAGCAGTGCAGAGTGAGGGAACCTTCTGTGGCAGTTTGGTTAATGTACATGCACTACTTAAATGCTATGGGAAGGGAGGCAAACAGGTCTACGACGTAGGAAGTGGTAGGCCTACAACTGTTTTCAATGACTTGAGATGACAGAGTCATGCACAGAATGTTGTGCAAATAGCACCAATACGTGAGCATGATAAAATGTTATTATATAATTTGTTTTATTAAATATTTTAGACTGTATTTTATAATATCATGGAAACTGTACATGTAGTCCTATGTTTATTTTTTTAACAACTTCTAAAAATTAAACACCTTGAGCAATGCTCGGTCCCCTGGTTCTAATAATTAATATACAAATTGTCTTACCTTTCCTTTCACATCAAGAATGTAGATAGCCGAAGCCGACATGTTGCTGAGCAAATGACAGAGCACTATGAAACCTAAAAAAAAACGTGAAAAGGTTAAAAGAATTAAGAAGTGACAGTTAAAAAAAATTCCACTTAGACCACTTCCAGTGCACTCTAAATATTATAAATTGTAAAGTACAAATATATTTGTCTATTCTTGTTACTGTAGAAATTTTACAAATTTTGTCTTTGTAGCCTACAGCTTATGTACTATACAACAATACAAACTAAACTAAAACACTATAGTGATGTTTAATCTGAATGAAATAATATCACCACTATATGAACAATTTTATAAGTTTTATTTACAAACGAATGAAGAAGTGTGTGTTGAATCATAACATGGTCAAAACTGAACATTTTTAACAATCTAGCAACAGCTGTAACACAATAAATATTAAATTTAAAATAAAGTGAAGACCAAAGGCTTCGCTTAGTCACTTAGCTGTGGCTAAGTTGACGCCACATCAGCCCCCCTCAGAGACTGGAAATCCAGGAAGCTTTACATTTCGACCAGATCAAGTTGTAAAGTTTCTGAACAATGATGCCGGGTTTGGAGGTTTGAGGGATGTGTTTGATGATTGTATATTTTGAGGCTCTTTGATTGTTGGATGATTACATTTGTCAGGTAACACATATGCAGGCTTCACCCTGTCTAAGCTCACTTGCACTTGTTTGCCATTCTGTGATATTACCAAGGATTTTTCATCACGAGAAATTACAGGACATGGTCCGTTGTAGGGAGGCTGTAGAGCACGTTTCACAGAGTCATCTCTTAGGAAAACATCGGTGCACTTTCTAAGATCCTGAAATATAAAAGTTTTGGGTTTGACGTGGCGTGAAGCTTGGACAGGTCTGATTGAAGACATGTGTTGATGGAGTCGTACAACATAATCAGTAGGATCTTCGTGCCTGGGTCTGTCAACAGGGAGATCAAACAATTCTCCTGGAAGTCTCAACCGTTGTCCGAAAACAATTTCTGCCGTTGATGCTTGAAGATCCTCACGGTACGCACTTCTTATACCTAGGACAATTAGAAGAGCTTCCAGCCAGGATGAATCATGATGACACATCAGTGAAGCTTTAAGATGACGATGGAATCTCTCCACCAATCCATTTGCACAGGGATGGTAACTGCAAGTCCTGATTCTTTCAGAGCCGAAAGTTTTTCCAAGGGACTTGAAGAGGGATGATTCAAATTGGCGGCCTCGATCAGTAGTTATTCTTGAAGGAGCGCCATAACGAGAAAACCAGCACGAGACTAGACCTTCGGCGACTTTTTCTGCAGTAATCCCCTTTAAAGGATGAACCTCAGGCCACCTAGTGTAACGGTCTATGACTGTAAGACAGTATTTGTATGGTCCTGCTGGTGGTAAAGGCCCAATTATGTCAACATGGATGTGCTCAAAACGTAATGATGGCAAAGAAAATGTCCCTAGAGGAGCATGAACATGTCGCGTTACCTTGCAACGTTGGCATCGCTCACAAGTATGAGCCCAGTTACAACAATCTTTTTGAATACTTGGCCAGACAAATCGATCTGATACAAGCTTTGCAGTAGCTTTAATGCCTGGGTGGCTGAGGTCATGTAGCGAATGAAATAATGTCACCACTATATGAACGAATATTTAATAAGTTTTATTTACAAACGAATGAATAAGTGTGTGTGTTGAATCATAACATAGTCAAAACTGAACATTTTTAACAATCTAGCAACAGCTGTAACATAATAAATATTAAAATAAAGTGAAGACCAAAGGCATCACAGCTGTGGCTAAGTTGACGCCACAACACATTCCAAGAGAATTTTCTAAGAAGGTGGCGGCCTTGCATTAGTGACATTAGGCCCCGGGTCTGTGTTGAATGTTTTAGCAAAGCAAGGGGCGAGCTGGTGAACTGCAAGAATTAACAAACAATAATCAGTTTTTGCTATTTGAAGTGGTCCTAAAACATATTTTTGGATAGACACATACTAGAAATGAACATTCTAGTGATTGTTGCAACATCAACTTAGTAGTAGGATAGCTGTACTTTACTTTTAGATAGGCTTATAGGATTGCTAAACTTACTCCGATTTTAAATAAATAAATAAATAAAAACGTCTTTATTAGCCAGCGTTTCCCTGATGCATATCAGTTTTTCAGAACAACTTTTGTCATTAAACTACTGTACTTACAACTAAACATTTATATTTTTTAAAAACTTTTTAAACTTAATCTTAAAGGTATTGTTGGATGAAACGGTTTTTAGGCTCTTGGGTGGTCCGTTGTACAATGTGGGTCCGAAATATGAGAAACTTTTCTTTCCCAATTCCAAGGTGACCCTTGGAAAGTGAAGCCTCCCACCATGACGTGTCCTACGTTGTATGATCTCATCGCGGACAGAAAGCCTCTGGCAAAGATAGTCGGGCTCACAGAGAGTCAGTACCCTGTGAGTCATGCAGCACGTCAACAACCTGCACATGGCTTCCATGGGTAACATCCCGGCTGCTTCACGGAAAGGGGAAACATGGTCAATTTTTTTAAGGCAGAATACAAATCTGATTGCTGAGCTTTGAATTCGCTGTATTCTGCACATGTCTTACTTAGTGATACTATTGCCATATGCAGGGAAGCAGTAGTAGACTACTGACAATATCAGTGACTGCATGAGTTGAAGCTTTGCAGCCTCAGGCAGCATACCTCTGAACATGTACAGACCTCTCACTCTTCCTATTGCTCGTTGGGAGACATGCGTGATGTGATCTTTAAAATTCAAATTTCTGTCTTTTTAGTTTAGAACAGTTTCATTTCATAATAAACAATTACTTTTTCCTCATGAAATCATACAGCAAGTTTGGTTGGTTTGGTTAGTTTAGAACAGTTTCATTTCATAATAAACAATAATTTTTTCTCGTGAAATCATACAGCAAGTTTGGTTGGTTTAGAGTAGTTTTTAATTTCATAATGAACAATTATTTTTCCCTCATAAAATCATACGGCAAGTTTGGTTGGTTTGGTTAGTTTAGAACAGTTTCATTTTATAATCAATAATAATTTTTTTTCTCAACAAGTGAGAGTGTTCATAAGATCTACATGTTGAAATCTTAACTGCCGTACTTTGCTATTGAAACCAGGATTTTACGAGAAATGCAGAGGGAATTCAGGTTAAATTAAGGGAATTCTAGGGGTAATTGTGGTACAGTGACCTGTCACTGCAACTGCATTGCTATTGTTTGTGGTTTGTGGTAAAACAGATCAACAGATGATATAATTGTGCAGATTTCTGATTGGCTGATGGTTTCGTTCATGCAGTAATCTGATTAGCTGGTGGATTCTTTGTTAGTTGTTGGTTTAGAACTGTCTCCATGACTCCATGTTGTTAGTTCAAAGTGAGTTGGGACAAAGGAGGACGTAGCTCAAATTTGTGATTAATTTTCATTCTGATTGTGTCGGAAAATCGCGTTCGGACATTATGTAGAAAACAGGGTGAATCCTGGTGAAATAATTGGATATCTAACAATATGTATTTGTTGGACAAAGTGATTTTAATTTTTGTTGTAAGCTAGTTGCTGGTTGGCTATCGGCAAACCAAAGACATGGTGCTCTCCGTGCGTGCCGGTTTTGGTTATCTTAGAGTGTAAATTATATAAATAACAGTAAATTATATGTCGAGTGCATATTCCTTGTGAATTTTTCTCGTCGATATAGTGAATCCAACATCATTGAAGTGTGGAATTGTGTAAAAATGGTGTATATAGAGGTTGAACTGTTGTTAGGGTCGGTTTTATTAAATTCCAGTCAATATTTGGGACTGGAATTGCTTTTCCCCCATTTATTATCCTCCAAAACTTCATTTTATACACTTTTTACACAATTTCACTCTTCAGGAAGTGTTTTTAAGCTGGGGTCTGGGTCTTAAATTTTTACCATGTTTTATAAACGTGATTTCCAGTTTTTGAATTATTGAAGGATGTATGTTTGAAAGGTGTTTACAGTAGTAAATTTTGGTGACACTTGGTGCGCTGGTGTCTACAAAATCAGATTTATTAGTTTAGGGTCATTTATTTGTTATTTAGTTTCATGGTTTGTACTTAACTGTTTGGTTGTATATCTGGGTAACGAGTTCTCTTATCTCATGAAATCATACAGCAAGTTTGGTTGGTTTGGTTAGTTTAGAACATTTAAACCCACGGTTTCAATAGCAAAGTACGGCAGTTAAGATTTCAACATGTAGATCTTGTGAACACTCACTTGTTGAGAAAAAAATAATTATTGATTATGAAATGAAACTGTTCTAAACTAACCAAACCAACCAAACTTGCTGTATGATTTTATGAGGAAAAAATAATTGTTCATTATGAAATGAAAAACTGTTCTAAACTAACCAAAGCAACCAAACTTGCTGTATGATTTTATGAGGAAAAAATAATTGTTCATTATGAAATTAAAAACTACTCTAAACCAACCAAACTTGCTGTATGATTTCACGAGAAAAAAATAATGATTCTTTATGAAATGAAACTGTTCTAAACTAACCAAACCAACCAAACTTGCTGTATGATTTCATGAGGAAAAAATTATTGTTCATTATGAAATGAAACTGTTCTAAACTAACCAAACCAACCAAACTTGCTGTATGAATTCATAAATTGGTTTTATAAGAGAACTCGTTACCCAGATATACAACCAAACAGTAAAGTACAAACCATGAAACTAAATAACAAATAAATAACCCTAAACTAATAAATCTGATTTTGTAGACACCAGCGCACCCAGTTTCACCAAAATTTACTACTGTAAACAGGATAAACGAGTAACAACTTGTGTTGGTTAATTCCATAGATATGTTTATTTATTTATTAATTCCATACTCATTGAGGAGTTTGTTTTCTCTATGTATTCGTGACATATGTCTGCAGAAATATCGATATAGATTCGGTTTGATATATCGTTTCTAAAATATTTTTATTTTCAATGTAAGCAAACATGGAAATAGGTTATGACCTGATAATATGTTTTATTGATGTTTTGAATGTAAGAATTCAGTTAAGATCGGTGTACGTTTTTAATGAACTTGAATAAATAAAACTATCAATATTCAAACAAAAGAAGACTGAAAACTTAACTTCACGTTTTTAGAGGTAACTTAAGGATAGGCTATTCACACAGGTGATAGATGTCACACCACTTTTTATTGACCTGTTTAAATGTTTTTAAAGCCATTTTTTGACTAAATAGATAGGATAAAATAAACAAACAACTTTATTTTTACTTTGATATTGTTTTATTGTTATTGTTGTGTTTGACCTAAAATGTCTAGATGTCAACCTGTGCTCCGAACTCTTTTACAAAAACCTTGAATTTTTCTATAAAAATGAAAAAAAAAAACAATAACTACAAGATTGTCTGGACGTAAGAGAATTAAACCGTGGATTACAGACAGTTTGGTCAAATCAATACGTACTAGAGATAAATTAAGTAAAGCTGAACGCCGTCAACCATTTAATGATAATCTATAAACTTATTAGCGGAATTACAGACAAAACCTAAGCAGTCTATTAAAAAGAGCCAAAAGAAATTTTTACAGGGAAAGACTCAACCATTACAGTCAAAGTCCTAAATTATTTTGGGGACTGATCCATGATCTTGCTGGAAGATCATGTAATAAAAACTCATTTCCAATTGAAAAGTTCATCCCTAACACGTCTGATCATACGCAAGCCACAAAACATGTGATTGCAGATGATTTTAACAACTTCTTTGCTTCTGTTGGAGAAAATTTATCAAATCAGATAGATGTGGGTGGGACCCCGGTGGTTGCTGACTCTGACTACAGACTGGACTCTACTTTTACATTGAAAACTGTTTCTGCAAAAGACGTACTACGACATATTTCTGGGCTGCGTGGTGGCTCAGCTCCCGGTCAGGACGAGGTCTCGGCTGATTTACTCAAACAAAACGCACTCATAATTAACATTCCGCTGCTACACCTAATCAATTTATCTCTACTGACTGGTATATTCCCGGCTCAATTTAAAACAGCAAAAGTTATTCCTTTATTCAAATCAGGTGATCCAAAAGATAAAAACAATTTTAGGCCAATCTCATTGTTAAGCTATTTTTAATATTGCGTATTTTCCAAGGTTTTGGAGCGTATTGTTAAGTAACAGCTAGTGGAGTACCTTCAAAGTAACAATATACTATCTAATTCACAATTTGGGTTCAGAAAAGATAAAAACATCTCTGATGCCCTTTTTGAAGTTTGTAAATCTATTCAATGATTAATAACAATCGATCTATGTTAATGTTTTTAAATCTAAAAAAAGCATTCGACTCAATTGACAGAAATTTATTGCTCACAAAATTGGAACAGATTGATGTCAGAGGCACTGCTCTCACATGGTTCAAAAACTATTTATCCGACAGACATCAAGTGGTTTCCATCTGCGGTGTGAATAGTGATGCAAATTCAATTGAGTATGGGGTTATTCAGGGAAGTACTCTGGGGCCTATACTTTTTCTAATTCATATAAACAACATTTCTAAACTCAACCTAAATAGTGAACTGTTTTTATTTGCTGACGACACTTTATTTTTGTTAAAGGGTTGTTCATGGGAGGATGTCAGGTCCAAAGCTCTTGGTGACCTCTCAATTCTAAAGAAATGGTTAGATCAAAATGTGCTCTCACTTAATGTAACCAAGACTAAATTCCTTCCCATATCACTCAGTATCAGCACTGATTATAGTCTAGACAAATTGAAGATTCATTGCTGCGGCAACCATAACAGTTTATCTTGTAATTGTGAGTACATTGAAAGGGTAGATTATTATAAATATTTGGGTGTTTATTTTGACTACCGAATGAAATGGACAGAGCATGTAGATTTCTTGAAGAAAAAGATTCGTAAATATATCCATGCTTTTAACCAATTGAGTGAAATTTTAGACGAGGATGACGTAAAGCGAGCTTATTTCGCTTATGTGCAATCCTTGATTTCATTTGGAATTATTTGCTGGGGAGCACGCTATCACACCACACTTGGAACCCTTGAATGTAATTCAAAGATCAATTTTGAAAGTTGCTTTTAGAAAAAATAAAAGGTACTCACTCTACTGATGCTCTATTCCGTGAGACGGGAATACTACCGGTCAGACATCTTTTCATCCAGTTCCTTCTTAATCACACATTCAAAAACTCAAACACGATTCTTACAGCACTCACACATCAGCACTTCACAGGATACTCCCACAATGTTAGAATATCTGTTCCTCAGCTACATAAATCAGTTCTAACTACCAACTGTTTTTATGTTGCTCAGATGCTCTGTCGAAATTTAATTAAAAAATATGATATTCAACGCGTTTTTAGTTTACCCTCATTACAGAAATTCAAGAGTCATATTCTTGTTTTACTGCACTCCATTACCAAAGAGGCCGATACTTTGATTAGGCCAAACCATACTTGACTCTGACTAAAAATCCTTGACCCTTAGACCCCCTCACCCTCCAAATGCCTTTTTTTGATTGAACTGGCTTTGGTTGTCGTCGCCGACATTCTCAACCGCATTTCAGTTTTCTTTTAAATAATTAAGGAAAAAATCTCCCATTTTCAGTTTTTACCCTTAAAATTTCGCAGACTGATAACAACCAGGCTTACGCACAGGCACCTACCCATGTAGGCCTATCCCATAAGTATGGCAGATTCATCTAACTATTAATAGTTGTACTACTGTAGTTAATCTTGCTCTCTGTTTTTATTTATCTTTATCTTTCTGTAATAATACTGGGATAAATAAACGTATTTCATTTCATTTTATTTATATCATATGGTACAATACAATTCTAATGGTCTTACTGTCTCTGCTGGCTCTGCTTCGTCGTCGGCAGCGGCAAAGGAAAGTACCAATTTATACAGACTAATTTCCCATTCTTGCTGGGTAATTACCTATAAATTACCCTTTTCTTCCCATGATTAACCACGTTTGATCCCCCCCACCCAAAACCCTGAATTCCCAACGGCCCCCTAGTAAGTTGGGATTATTGTTTATATATTCAAATAATAATAAAAGGAGGTCTCGGCACCAAAAATTCTTTAATAAAGTTGTAGTATTGATGACCTACAATAGTTTAAAAGTGATTTTAGAACGTTTAAGCTGGGGTCTGGGTCCTAAATAAGTACCTAAAACATTTTGACTGTAGGCCTAAGTTATTGGTTGGTTTAGCTTTTTTATTTGTGCTGCCTGTAAACAGGGCATAGGCTATTCTTAAACAGCCCAAATACACAGTTTGGCACAAAATATTTTCATTGGGATTATGGCCTGTGCAAGCGATATCTAAGTAAACCAAGTCAAGTTTTAAACAACCAAATCCAGGTCTACAATATCATCAAAAGAAGAGAATTAAAAATTAATGACAATAGGCCTATCCTGGAATTAAGGGGTAGACTTCCGTATCTGTTGGCACAAACAACCGAATGAAAATATTGATCGATACATCAAATGAAACAATCGAATGATCAATATTTTCATTCGGTTAAGTTTGTGCCAACAGATACGGAAGTCTAACTGAAATAAGTTATCCATTGATAATTTTGGTAGCCTACACAAATAAACATACATTAAACTTTATGGACCAAAAGATGTGAGGAATGAGTAAGTTACGGTAACATTTACAGGTAAATAAATTAGCCTTACTCCTAACAGTATGTCATGGGGTTCTTGAGTCCATTGCCTACAAAATACTGCTTTCCTTCATATCCTTCATCACCAAATTAAGACAAAAATCTCATATTTAAATTGTAAAGCCTTCCAATGGAAGTAAATTTAGAAGTTATAAGTTACTATCGACTAGGCCTAATTTAAAACGTGAATAAGGTTTTGAAAGGTTAGGTTATGGCAAGTATCAATAGGCTAAATCTGTGTAATTTCAACATAGGCCTACTATTGGCATAATTTTAAGCGTTCATTCAACATTCAATGCAGATTAATCCAGGTGTTAAATAATAAAAACTAATATTAAATTAATACCTTAGCCGATAATTTCAAATCCTCCAAAAAATAACACTTACCTAGAATTGATGAAGATGGTTACTTTTTAGACTAATCTCAGACACTAGCATACCTTAAAATAAAACACAAAAAATTCAGTTTATTTTAAAAAAGCATTGTTACGTTAACTACAAACAGCATTGTGAACGATTAAAATAAACTTGTTAAAACTCACAAGTGTAATTATTACTTTTATCTTACAATGCTATTTTACAATGTCGTATCCTCGTATGTTGACGTTGACGTGCCCATCACGATTCACGAAACGAATGTCATATGGATGGATATGATAACCAAAAACATTCGAAAATATCATCTGGTGCTATGTTCATAGACTTCGGAATACAGTACATATCTTTTAGCTTTGATTCACTAAGCTATAACTATACTGAGTTATAGCTCAGTTTGATTACGTTGTTATTATTAGACCAACAACTATGCCTGCAGTGATCAAAATATTATATGTATGTTTAATACATATGTAATGTCGAAGTGGCAACGTCACAAGTAGGGTTGTAACAGCTGTTTTGTTTGGAAGAAGCTAATGGCATTTGTGGATCTACGAAAGCTTGGTTACTGGGCTATGAAAATATTGACTACTAAATGTACAGATATAGATTTTCAATTATGTATGTTTCATTTTAAATATTTTTATACATTTATGTTCATAAATTTAAATAAATAAAGTGTGAATTAATTAGCTGATGTTACCTGTCTGCCATGTTATTAAATGGGACGTCTATTGTCGAATGAGAGTGAGGTTTTTTGCGGAGTGCCCCAGGGCTCGGTGTTAGGCCCTGTTCTTTTCCTTATACAGTAATGATTAATGATTTGGATAAATGTATGTCCTGTACCTCTGTGATTAATGCGGATGACTCCACTTTCTTAAATAGTCAAGGTACCTTTAGTGAACTCATGGTGCTGTCCAAACTTTCCCTCAATGAAGCTATAGGAACTGGTTCAGTGTCAATGGGTTTTTTATGAATCCTGAAAAGACTCAAACTTTTGTATTTAGGTTAGGGCGCACACCTGAGGAAGAAAAGAATTGTTGGTCAAGTGTAAATTTATTAGGCATAGATTTGGATAGTGACTTAAGCTGGTCGCCCATTTATATAACTTAAGTAAGAAACTGTCAAGAGTTTTATTTTTAATTAGACGTCTTAGAGATTTTGCTCCTCCTTTGTATATATGTTAGATCTGCATATTATGTTTTTTTTTAGTCTGTTAAAGTATGGTCTGTGTTACTGTGGTGTAACTCCACCCACATTCTAATAATTTTAAAGCTTCAAAAAAAAAAAGGTTGTGATACTCTGTTGACCAATTCAGGGTTAAGGGACCATTGTAAACCTCTTTTTAAAGCAACAGGTATCCTGACAACTGTAAATTTTGTATATATATTAGAGTGTGTTATTTTTTTAAAACAAAATCATCATTTATTTAGCTCTAGAAGTAATTTTCACTCATATTGCACAAAGGGGAAGATCTGCTTTGGATAGGCCCTACACCAGACTAGCAACAGTACAGCAAAGTTTTGCTAGTATATCAGTAAAAGTAGTGAATTGCTTTGCAAGTGAATGAAATACTTGTCATTCCTTGTATTCAGCTAAAACAAAAGTTTATAGTTTGGCTTGCCGACCACCCTTTTTACAGTTTAAATGATTTTTTTGCAGAAGACAATTGTAGTGGTAAAATTGTTATCTAGTTCTTATTTAGTCCCTAGTCAATTGTTACCCAGTCTTTCAAACACTTTGTTTAAGTGTACCTTACATTTTGTTTCTGTATATAGTTCTGTGTCTTTCAAATGATTTTTACTATTTATTTCTTGTTATCTTTTTATATTTAGTGTAGGTTCTCCTGTACATTTCAGGCTACGTCAGTGACATTAGATAGGATAGACATTACTAAGGTTCTACTAAAGGAGTAAGTTTAATCTATGGTTATACTTGCCTTTCACTGTTTTAAGTGGGCAAATCACGACCACCTTTAACTCCGGGCCACGGCCTGGTAGAATTGGCAACGTCACAATTAGGGTTGTTTAGTGTCAAATACCAGCAAAATCAACCTGCTGCCTGCGGTCTGATAAGTAAGACTTAAAAAGATATGATATCACAAACAAATATATTAGAAAATTAATGTAAATATATATAAGTAAAGAATCCTCGAAAAGTATTTTCACCAGCGTTTCGTTTTTAAACCATTGCAGATAATGCAACAAATCTTTGTAAATTAGTAGTACTATATACCTAAAAACTATATTTTTAATGAAAATATGATTTTTTTTCATCATACTGGGAACGGTCCACAAGGAGTCTGAAAGAAATCTTAAATGAGGGCATAGGTTTATTTATTTATTCAAACACAAGGTGCCATTTTTACAAATTACTCAACATGAACAGGCAAAATAAATAAGATACTTAGACTAGCATGTGGTATTACAAAAGGCTTTGACGTATATGAATTATTTCAAAATAAATTACAATAAATAATAGCAGAATACATACAACAAAAGACAGAATATATATAAGACAAAAGACTAACATATTTGTCACAGAAACAAAGGTACAATGCTTAAATGTTACAGGACACATACAGCAACTTTGTGAGGATTCAAACAGATAGAAGCTCAAGGAGCACACGTTTGAATCCGTTGAAGACTGTCGAAGAACTGGTGGCACTCGCACGCCACTTGGTTCCCCTGCCTTAAAGTAACGAGCCAGAGGACTGTAGAAGGCATAGTTGGTAAAGTGGTGACGGCGACTTAGGAGCTCACGGGATCTGTTATTTGATGGTACTTTTTGAAGAAAATTTCTGCCAAGAGATGAACACCGTACTTAACAGTTCAGGACATTCAGGATATACACCACATCTGTCATGTCACGTCTCAGGGCAAGGGGATGAAGTTTTAAAGTCTCGGACAGATCATCAACATACACCTCCAGCAAATACTCATGGCCAAGCCGAACCCCCACCACACGAATGAAGTACTGCTGCAGAGACTCCAATCCGTTTTTGGTACCAGCCGTATATAAGGGGACCAGACAGAGCTGACGTATTCTAGGAGTTGACAAAATGCACTTTTTATCACACTTTATCAAAGTGCATTTGCATTGCTTATTAATATAAACGTGTGATAAAGCCTATAATTTTGCTGGCCTTACTACATACTCTGTCAATATGGCTTGAGAAGCTCATGTCGCTATCAAAGTAAACACCCAATTTGAACATCGTTGCTACCAGGACTGATGTACAAATGATATGATAGGTTGCGTACCTTTTTATTCCATCTCCAGTCCTTAATATAGTCAAGGGTGACTAGTTTCGGGTCAGAAATGACCCATTTTTAAACCCATGTCATCAAATTGGTTGGTCCATAAGTCTGTCATGTAGTGTCCGCCGTGCTACTTGTGTTAGTGTGTGTCCCTTGTAATTGTGGCCGGCTAACATAATTAAATGTCTTTTGTGTTAAAAAATGTGTCAACGTTTATTTATATGTTATAACGATGACTTCTGTCGGATTTATGGACCAACCAGTTTGACGACATGGGTAAAAAAATGGGTCATTTCTGACCCGAAACTATAGTAGGTATAGAGCATCTAAAACAACCCCCCACAACCTCCTGAATGATTAAAGTACACTACAATCCAACATATTATTCGAAGCATTTTTAAAGTTGAATGAAACGCCACCTGTAGCTACAAAGGACAGACACAGGACAATGGTCAACTCTGCAAGTAACGTCTGACCCCAGTCGACACACGACCGACGCGCGTCTACATGTCCGTAATAACTAAAATAAAAGTAGGCCTACCCTGTATTTGTATGTTTTATTCGTGATTTATATAAGTGTAAAGTTCGTGTACATGTTTCAAAACTTCAAGACGCACCCAATGGGGAAGATCAAGAACTTATATTAGGACTGATGATGGCAATTTATTCTGCCGAAATGCATCTCCTGTAATAGGATACAGCTTTATTAGGATCGACCGGCGGACACAGGTAATTTAAACTTTTATTGAGTATCATCATCTGAAAATTGTAGAGCATCGACATAAATCAAGTCCAGGAGGTCGTTGATAAAGACATTAAAGAGACATGGGCCCAGCAATGAACCTTGTGGGACCCCAGAAGATGGAGAGAACTGGAGGTGATCTTGATGGGCCAATTTTCACTGTTAACATACAACCCTGCAGGATAGCTGGAAAAGATGACCAACGGCACCATAGATAAATTAAATAGTTTATGTATATGATTCTTTATGGTTTAGTATTAAATTACAGTAAATGTTTCTACAGTATTGGGAAAATACACTGGTGCAAACCCGACCTCAAAAGGTTTTATCCAAAACAAAACAGCGGCAGTTTAAAATTACAAACTTGAACTTGTTGTTCAAAGCTAAGCTGCTATTCCTTGTAGCATTAAACTACCACAATTTTGGCTAGAATGAACCCTTTTTGGGAGGTTTTGAGGATTTGCGGCACTGTTTTCTCCTAAGAGTCCTAAGAGACACAGTTTTATGTAACACTCAACCCATGCTGTCATTTAAGTCATTTTCCTTTCGACTCCTTTGTTGCATTATTTACATTGGTTTCAAATATAAAATGTCATTTTCAAAATTTTTAAGGACACTGTATAATCCCACAGACCCTTTTTTATGAATTTTGGGTGTCATACATATTTTATTTACCCTCTGTTAAACTGTACATTAAATTACACAATGGTGCTTGTTACTGAATGAGACTAATGAAACTGCATACGAAGCGAATTTCCATCGGTCTGATTGGATTTTTAACCAAAAATGTTACTGAAACATGTCAGATTTATCCCTATATATTCAAATCACTTATTCTCTACAACTTTACTTATTCTCTATAAAAATAAAATGGCGATTAGAAATATATACAGTTTTTGGAATTTCCTCTCGAACCTCTAATCATAAATGAGCACTTCAAATGTACAGAATATTTTGAAGTTGTGAGCTCTACATGATGGCTGCAGTGAAAATGTTAATTTTTAAAAAAAGGTTCATAGGTTGGGTAAAAATGTTTAAACCAACATATGAAAATTTAAAAAAACCCAAGAAAACCTAATTCCCATGACCCAATCTTGCTGGTTCACGAACTCATTAGAGTTTATCCAGTTTTACACATTCAAGCCAAATTGATTTAAATTGGACCAATATTATTACTTTAGTAAACGTGTTTACCGACAAACAAATAAAACTCATAAATAACAATTTTAATTAAAGGTGTTTTTGGACTTTGTATGGACATCAAATAAAGGTTAATTAATCTTACCTTGTCACTAAAGGTTATATAGCTTACTCCCAATACATATGGGGAATTCAAAAAAATTACAAGTACAGCCAGGTCCAGTTTTATAACTTCAAAATTACATACATTTTTCTCTGTTCTTTTGGCTCTAAACTCAAAACGCTCAGCTTTGCAAACAAAGTGGTACAAATATACAAGACATAATGTATGAAAGCCTACGATATAGTGAAAGCTGCAACTTAGTTCACCTACATCATTGTATTGTGACAAATTACATGTAAATATAATTAAATACTGTTCATCAGTTACCACCAACTGCAATTACAAATATAAGCACCTCAGGTTTGCATAGCAGTACATCAAACTACCCAATATTTGACAAACCTATGGTACAAAATGTTCACCATGGATAACTGAACTCCACATTTATACGTACTTCCCAAGTCCTCCAAACAAACCAAATCCTCACACATAAAGTTGGATTGTGTACGAGTGGTTTTAAGGCATGGGTAATAAATTGAACGAGTAACCAAATTTTGAATCTTTTATTAGAAACATACATTAAGAACAACCCTTTGATAAATATGAAAAGGCACTTTGTTAAATAAGCAGGAACTTATTGGTTATGGAGAACCTATTTCTTGTTGCTTTAATACTGGAAAGTTAAAATAGAATAATAATTTAACCACAGAGGAAATGATTTCAATAGGCTAGAAGATTTTAGGACTAATTTGCAACAATTTTTGATTTGCTCATTGTCAGCGCGGATTTGCACGAGATGTAGTCCTGCCCGAAAGTTGTGTGTAAGGTTTGGTTGTTAGATTGAATTGTTTGAAATTATATTTTATCCATACAATGTCAACACATCAGGGTTCTAGTTTTGAATGAATGAGATGATTGATTTAGTATTAAGATCCGCTCAGCTGGTTATACAACTAAAATTAAAACTAAATGTTTTGGAAAAATTGCTTATTTTTGTCTTTAAACTGTTGACCATCGAGTTACACAGACTGTCAAGTTAATGAGGTTCTACTGTATAATATACAGTGTTGCAAAACTAAGCAATTTTCCCAGAAAATATAGTTTTAATTTCAGCTCAACATTTAATATTCAACATTTCTTTGAAGATTGTTTACTCAGTATGTTAAAATACTCATGAATTTATTCATTAAAAACCATTAAAAATATCAATGTTCTCTATAACTCGACAACCCTAAACTCGACAACCTCTAAGTTCACAATTGGTCGAATTAATGAGGTTTTACTCTACAACCAGAATCATTTATTGAAAACCAAATGATTAATGACAGTTGTGTTCAGTTTCGGACATTGCAAAGCTAAAAATTTCTCTCGGGATCTGATAGGTGGCCATCTTCTAGGTGAGCACTATAAACACTTGCCCCCACCCTTCCTGCCAAATCTGATAATTTAATAAAATCTATAAACAAAACCTTGCTTCAATCGTTTGGCATAAGTAAAATGTTACCTTATGATTGTCAAAGTTACCAGTTACATTACCACGATAAACTAGTTTAACTTTTCCTGTCACAGTGCACTAAAGAAAACAGTAGGTAGGCCTTCTCCTTAAAACCAATAAGTTCATATAAGCAAAAGCTAATTTATTTAGCATCTAAATACACGTAACATTATCTGTTTAACTTTATATTCTATCAGCTATCCTCAAAAGTTCATCAGTTTAATGATCACAACAAACCAATAAAGCTTTGGGCATAAAGACGTACATCTTTCACCATTCCTAAAAATGTACAAACTTGACAAAAAATGAACACATCACTATGAACATTGGTGAAATAAATAAATTTTATTTTACAGAATGTGGGGCTTTAAACACGAATACAACCCGTTGCTGTAAACCTGTACACTAAGCAAATCTTTGGTTGCTTTATAGATTGTTAATTAAGACATGTTCAAAACAGAATGATCCACACCCAGGATAAAATAAAAATACCCCCACCGCAGCACACCTGCAGACTATGCGGATTTCCATTTGCTTGATTGGATTTACACTAATATACGAGCTTCTTCAAAATATCACAAAATTATTCCCTATTTAAATAACATTAGTTTAACAAGTACTTAGGTTTGCTGCAACAGGGAGGGTTTAAAAGTGTTTTTTTATGTGTGAAATGTTAATAGTTTAGTATGAAATAAATATATTTTCTAAAAGTGATTAAAATATGTTCATAAACAAGCAAATTACAACCGTTTACTTATTCTCCATAAGAATAACATGGGAATTTTTAATTTACAATTTTTTGGAATTTTCTCCATAACCATTAGGCGCATAATAATGCTTCGATATACTAAATAGTTTGTTTTGGGTTTGGAAAGAAATTGCAAAATTTTAAGTTTTTAGGGAAAAAATGGGAAAAACCAATTTTTACCCTATAAAACCCTTGATAAACCCCCATTCTGATGGTTCGATCATGCTGGTTCGCGAAGTCGTTATAATAAATGTAGGTTTACACGTTTATACCAAATTCATCAAAATCGGATCATTTTTTATCCGATTTTGGGTTATTTCTTTGGTCCTCAGGTCTTACCATGAGTACTACGGAAATAACTCACTCCCAAACTTTTGCCTGTATAAATAAATAATATTTCATCTCATTTCATTCCCTATATGGGAAATTCGCTAACATTGGCTCAATGAGTATTTAGGTTTGCTACAAGGAGGAACAACAAAACTGGTTGGCATACACCAAAATTAACAACTTTCCAAAATTGTACACAAAGAAGCAATCTACAGGACTAATTTATTCTATGTAAGGATAACATGGAGACAATGTACTGTATTTAACAATTTTATATCTTAGTAAATAATATGCATAGGGTAGAAGTATAGACTACTAAATTTCTATTTTTTAACTGTTGTATATCATGTATTTTTTTCTTTACTGAAAAAGGTCAGAAAAACAAAACACAATAGTTATTTGTTTAACTAGTGCACTTTACGCTCGCGTTACACATTATATTTTGCCTACAGTTACTATAAAGCATATAAATACTGTAATTAGTCTTTCTAACACTAAACAACACTTTTTGGTTAGGAAATCCAAGCGTTGAACAAAAACAGAATGTTAAAACGAAACAATAACATCTTAAATAATTTATTTAATAACAACAGGTTGTCGTAGTATAAAAATTAAAAAGGCTGTGAAACGCTGTACCAGCTGATTGTAATCGTAGTATCTTTAAGTGTTGCCAACCTATTTCCAAGCGTGCACGTATTACGTGCTGAATAAAAGCACACTGCTTTGAAATGAGTGCAGAAAAAAATGAGTGCGGCCAAAGTATATTAGCTAATTTGCGTGCTATAATCAGTGCAAGGAAGCCTGCTTTGTCAGGTAACTGTGGGAAAAATATATTTTGGGTCCTTCAAACATGGACAAATAATGCTAATTGCAATCTTGTTCTCCTAAGTGTTAGTTTACCCAGCTGATTCCAAATTAGATAATTTTTACAAGTATAATTGTTAGCTATAAACCTATAACATATATTAATTGCCTATATATATATATATATATATATATAGGTTTCAGGGGACCCTAAAATGGACCAGTACATTGGTCCTAGACCTAGCTTTCACCATGAAAACTATGGTAATAATAGCTCCCAATAGGAAGTTTACTAAAAGCAAAGGGACAAAATATAATTGTATTTAAACACTTCTTATTTAACAAGGTGGTAAAACTATACATAAGGTTCATGACTAGTGTAATAAATTTGTCATAAACAGGTAATCAGAACACATGTTTTTTTTTTAGAACATAAACAACTAAGGTACATCCAGTCTGAAAAGAAACCTGTTAACAATCGTCTTAGCTCATAAGAGACGCTCCCCAAAAATATGAATGATGACTTGTTCCATATTAACCAAACAAATCCGTTTAAACACTGTAAAAGGTTGTAGGAGGAATTTTATATACATAAAAGAAACTACTTAAATTAAACTGTAAAAGGATCATTTTCCTATGGAAAATCATATTGTTAAGATTTGGATAAAGCATTTTTCTCAATACAATGCAATTGTAAAAAAAATACCCTATCAATTGTAAATAAAATATTAAAAAAAAAAAAAAAATACTATACTGTAACTAGATGTATGCCAGCTTGAGATTTTGTGGCCCGCGGTTGCGGAGTCATCATCGTCTCCCGCATTCACTGCAAAATCCTGAATTTCTTCCTAAGTCACGGAAACATCAACACTGTCTTCCGCTATCGCGGCAAAATTCTGATCATCTTCTGCGGTGATGTAGACATCAACTCCGTCTTCCACAATTGCGGTAATTTTACAATCACATGATCTTCACAGACGTGTCAGGTATCAGTATGAACGGTATGACGATCAATTCTCAAAACCGATGCCAAAGTATCAGTCTCTTTTGAAAACTAAAATTAATACTAATAATGCTCTGTGAAATAATGCTATCAATTTCCTTTTGTCCTTTGATTTTCAATTAAACAAGAATGAATAAGAAGATTAAATTATTCTTTAAATTTATAATGTTTGGGAGTATTTTTGTCCTCTGTGAGATTATAAGTGTTTTCAACTAAATCATAACTTTTTACAAATTTTTGTTTAAAGGAATACCTCAGTTAGAAATACAATAGAATGCAATAAAAAATCTCTTAGTGTCTTATTAGAGAGCAAAGATTTCAGTTAGATGCATCTTTGATACATTACGAGTTTGAGTTTAGTAATTTAACAATAGTTAGCAGCAAACTATAGTAGTATAAAACAACAAAATAAATACATTAAATGATTTGGTAAAAACTTGCTAAGAGCGGTTGTAGCGTAAGAAAATTTAAAAATTACAGAATATTTTATGGTACAGACGAGCAGGCCTAGTAAAAAACATTATTGCGCTTGTATTTCACGCACAAGAAGCTTGCTGATTTCGTAGCTCCGACAAAAAAAATGCTAACTAGGGTAGGTGTATTTTATGTTTTTGTGTGGGCAGTAAATAATTAATTTTGCAATAGTGAAATTTATTTTAGCTCAACATGTTTACAAGTCAGAATTATTTTTCAGTTCAATTGTTGCAGGACTATTCCCATTATTTTTGGTTAGTTTAGTTTGGGTACTTTGGTATGATAACGGCCACACATAAAATTAGGAAGATTTTGTTATTCTAACTAATTAAATTCTTATTTGGAAGTGGATTTATCGGTCTGGTCGGTATAATACCAAAGTACCTAAGTTTGTATACATACTACATACTTTTATGTAGTAAGAGAGCAACGTAAATGACAAGAAAAGAGCAACAAATGTGTTAATGTTTTTCCTACCACTGGATAGCAATGATCAGATTGATAAACCTGTCAACAGTGCGCAAAATGGCTCATTTTCGCTTTATTCATTCTCACTCGCATTTGCGAGCAGGAATGACCAATACCGCTTGCTAAATCAGCTGATTTCACTGTTAAGGCCCGTTTTGCCAGAAGCGTCTGGTGCGTCCGACGCTCAGCGATGATCGCTAGAGCGATAATCGCTCAGCGTCTATCGCTCGGGCCTATTTTGCCAGAAGCGTCTGTTCCTTGCGATTATTTGATCAGTAAGTGGTTTACTTTGGTGGCAAAAAGAGTGTTTCTGAAAATGACCTGTAAAAAGCAAATAGTAAAGTATTTGTTAGCTGAGGAGATGAGATATTAGAAATGTTGTGCAAACCTAGGGAAGAAGTGCGTACTATGTTTTTAAAGAGGCCCGAAGAGGGATATTTTAAATTGTTAATTGAAAATCAATTAACAATTGACTTAACAGTCGTGTGCTGAAATGGCTTCAATCGGTTTTTCATCTTCTTCACTATTGAATCCCCACTTTGTTTGTGACATGTCACTAAACTTGAAAACCCAACTTATTTAAGGAAACAAAAGTTAAGTCAACAACTAAACACGTGCTTATTCCAGTAATAATCGCTAGCGACTGCGTCTCCGTCTGCTCCAGGAGCAGTGGTCCGCGTCAGACGCTGGCGGCTGTAGCGATAGACGCTTCTGGCAAAATAGAGTAACCTAAAACAATGCAAAGCAGTGGGCAGCGATTGACGCGGAGCGATAGACGCTGAGCGTCAGACGCACGAGACGCTTCTGGCAAAACGGGCCTTTAGCATTTCAATTTCAATAAAACAATAATATCTGGTAAGCAAATAACACAACCTAAAAAAGCAAACATACCCTCAATTATTATATAAACAACTTCTCAAAATTAAAGTATTTGTAAACAGTTCATATTTATTTGTTTTGTTCATCTTTACATTTTTCATTCTCTTTGCTTGAAAACGTTTGTATTAAACGAAAATTTGCAATGTTTCATGTTTCATTCATCATAAACTCTATCAAGATCTCCACAAGAATATATATAAACAACAAAATAGTTAATCTGTGTATTATGATAAGTTAATTGTGATTGTATGAAAAATCAATTATGAGCTTTAAAACCACCCTAGTTAAGTTTTGTAAGTGGCTGTGCCATGGGACCAAACCTTCCTTACTATTTAACATTGACCTGTTGTTAAAAAGCATAATTACCACATTTCCTAAGACAACTGGGTCTTGATCTTTTTCAGTATAGAGTAGCAAGCCTTTGGATTCAAAGGTTAGCACGCTGACTATTCTGCTACCATTTTATTCTAATTTTAAAATTATGATGACAAAAAGACCTTAGACAAACACAGTTTTTTAGAAAATCTGTGCAAAAGATGGTGAATTATTTGAAGAAGTAAACGTAACACTTGTAAATGCTACTTACTTAAGTAACATGCCTCATACAAATGTCTGTGTCTGTAAACAAAAATCTCAAATAAAAAGAAAAATTCTTAAAAAGATAAACAAATGTCCCAAACGGCTCAAAAAATAAATCACACATATTAAAAAAATATTTATTAATAAATAATTGTAACCGGAGAACAAAGAATTTTTCTTTATATTAGAGATAAAAATAATATATAAGTTGTTGATCACAGTATAAATATTCAAAATAATTTATCATAAAAAATGTAGGTAGAAAAATAGCACTGTCAGTCTTGCATTTTTCAATTTGACTTTCAGATTTTATAACCGATTCTAAGACTCATTGCCATCCGAGATTCCTTGCTTTTCTTCCGTTGTTGCTGTGGGACTAGGATCGACCTTCCTCAAAAATTCCTGATCAGCCTCGGAAAAGCCTAGATTTTGAAAATCATCATCTGACTTTTCACCATTCAAGTCGTCTGTTTCCTCACTGATTTTCAGATCTGTAATTACAAACTTGCTTTTAAAATGTCCACATTGCTCTACATATAATAAGTTAAAGTATTTTGAATTTATGCTAATGAAAAAAGAAATATTTATAAACTTTAAGCTTTAAAATTTGAAGATCGAACCTTTAAACTCCATTGATTATTAAGTGATTTGATTAAGCCTATTACTATATATTATATTTCATCCCTTATCTCAAGAACAAAAAAATCCACATGATTTCAAAACATTTGTTTGGTGATACAGAGTAAGGTTGGACATTAAATTGCAAAATGTCTGATTTGAGGTATGATTTTTGTTAACTACCATTAAAGCCATCTACCGTTTCGACAGGTGAAGCTTTAGACACACCTCTTCAGGCAGTTATTAAGAGTCATTGAAGGCTAACATCCATCTGTGATGATTTCAAACAGCTGCTAAAGAGTTATTTATTGTTCAAAAATATTTGTTTAAGCATCAAAGTGATTATAATTTAAATATCTAGTATACTGTGAGATTAGAAATGATCTTTATAGTTTTGAATTGTTCTACAATGGAGTCCATGGAAGCTAACGGCCATCTTGGATTTGCCCGCCATAAGGGCAATGATAATTTTGTTTATTTCAAACAGCCGCTGAAGAGTTATCTACCATCTCAAAATATTTGTTCAGACACCAGAGTGATTGTAATTTAAATGTCTAGTAAACTGTAAGATTAGAAATTTTCTTTGTAGTTCTTTAATTGTTTTACGAGTTAGAACGTCTTGGCTCCATTGACTCTTAAATACGGATCTGACGATGGCAAAGCACAGAAATGCGCATAATCCAGTAGGATAAATTTGGACCATAAGGCAACAACAGGTGACGTATCCTTTTTATTTGTTAAAAACCCAAGCATAATTCAGTAGTTCTAAACTTGACTCCCGGGTTTCGTAGGTTTGGCAACAGCAGTGATGGTGATCAGGAATGCATTCAATGCTACCAAATAACATGGTGTGGTTATTTTTAAGTAAAAGTAAATGGGGTTGTAATTGCTTTTATGTATGTATCTATGTAATAAAAGGTGATATTTTTAATTTTGGAAGGGGCCGTTTGGTGTGATTTACGTTGATTTGGTACACGCAAAGGCAGCAGCTAACGCTGGATCCAATCTTGCCGTTGTGGAGGGAACGACTGAAGTTCTCCACCTCGATGCTAGGGGCGGTACGAGAGAGCCGCTCAAGAAGCACCCCTGGCAGGCAGTCGTACTTCATCCACCAAATGTACACTAGACAAACTTCCACGCAAGAATATCTAGTGATTGGTGATATTAAAAATACGAAACGATTCTAATACTAGTAAGTCTGGAGCATCCCTGGTAGGTATGTTTATTGTTTAATGTATTTTAGGTCATATATTTTTTTTTATCACGCACGTTCAAGGCAGGATGCGCGCACGAATAAGTGTGGATTCTGTCTTACACGAGGCTTTGGTGGTTTGGAGCACTATGAACGTTTGATTATTCAGTTTTGTGTAATACACAACGATAGATTTAATAGATTACTAACTATTGTTCTCATAAGTGTGCAAATTCCAAATTCGGGCAAATATTAGTTATGAACGACTCTGGCCATTGACTGAGTAATAAGGACCCGTTTTACTTTGGTGTTAACCAAGTACGACAAACGATTCTCTATTTAAAGCTTGAAAATTATTCTGTTATATTCATATTCGCTATATACTATTGGAAATTCTATCCCAATGCATATTTTGAGTGGCTGTGATGATTACTTTCTGAAAGTAAGCTAATATAGTTAGCATTATTTTATTTAATATTCTGAGCCAATAAACTCGATAAGATAATTGTGTTTTTTGCAGGCCCTAAACAGTGAACATGAGCGGACGGAATGACTTAGTTAAATCTAGTCCGTTTTCTTTGCCAAAGCCCTGTCAAACCACATACAAATAGTGGAGTGTCGTCACTTTGAAGGATGATATAACAAAAAACAGTAATGACATTTGTTCACACTAAACCCTTCAGATGACTGACTCCTACGTTTAAGATGACTGGAGTTTAAAGGGTTAAGGAAATATTACTTAGAAATTTACTTAAAAGCTATCCTAAAATCAGTATTAATAAAAATAAAAACACAGAATATTTATATAGAATCATTAGAACATTTACAAAGCTATCTTCTTTGTAGCAATCCTCACTTGACAAACTAGGAACAATCAAAACTAAAAACTGTTTCTCATTTTCCTATTAGTAGTTAAGGTTTTTGGGAGATAGCGGATTTACTACAAAAATTTAGAATATAGGCAAGATTGCATCAATATCAACAATATTTATTCCATCAAGTTTATCGGTCAATAGTGTGTTAAGTTTTTTTTATTTTAAATTTTAAACAAATCCATTTTTTTATTTAATTTCATTCATTACTTATCTGACATGTAGCTACTAATGTTTTGAGTATTGTTAGTGCATGGAATATTCCTTTGTGGACTAACCATAAAAAAAAGATTAATCTGAAACAGACAACAGGTCCCCATCAACTTACCTCCGCTTGTACTTTCAGGTAAACTTCCATCTTCTTTCTCGGAACTTTCAACTTTACTTTCTTCGTCATCTGAAATCAACAGATTCATTAGGTACTACTAGAGCAACAACTGTTAATAATTATTTAAAAATTTCTTTGATACAATTGAACAAACAATAAACAAAAACAACAAACTATAAAACTGAACAATATAGAAGCAAGCAGGGTACTGAAACAGTTTTTTTAGTCTAACGTTGAATTTTTTTTTAGAATCTGTAATAATCGTTCTACTCTGTAATATCTACAAAATCACAAAATAGTTACACTTTGGAATCTTTCAAAGCATAGCACTTTTTTAAACCTGAGTTTTAAGTATGAAACAATTCTCTTAGAGTATTCCATAATACCCCCGCTGCAGCAAACCTGCAGACTAAGCGAATTTCCATTTGACTGATTGGATTTACACTGAAATGTCTACTTAAAAATATAACATTTATTCTTGATTTAAATAGAATTAGTTTAACAAGTACTTAGGTTTGCTGCATCAGGGAGGGTAAAACTGTTTTTTTTTTTGTAAAATGTGAATAGTTAGTAAGAAATAAAAACATTTTCCAAATTTGATCAAAATATGTTCACAAACAAGCAAACTACAACAGTTTACTTATTCTCCATAAGAATAACATGGGAATTTTAAATTTACAATTTTTTTGAATTTTCTCCGTAACCATTAGGCGCATAGTAACGCTTCAATATACTAAATTATTTGTTTTTTTAAGCTCTACAAAATGGTTTGGAAAGAAATTGCTAAATCTTATGTTTTTTGGGTCAAAAATGGGAAAAACCTATTTTTACCCCATAAAACCCCCCGTAAACCCCCGTTCCCATGGTCCGATCATGCTGGATCGCGAACTCGTTCGAATAAACGTACTTTTACACGTTTGTACCAAATTTCATCAAAATCGGATCATTTTTGCTCGAGTTATCGTGCTGACGGACACATATATATATATATATATATATAAATATATAAATATATAAATATATATATATATATATATATGAATTTGAACGGATGGTGTTTTTGGCCTCTAGGGACCTCAAATCGAAAAAAAAAATCGGTCCCGCGTCCAGGTCTTACCATGAGTACTACGGTAATAGCTTATTCCCTATATGGGAAATTCGCTAAAAGATAATGAGGTGCTGGTCAAATTTATTATTTAAAAAAAAATACCTCTAGAGGTGTTCATACTTGCTGCCCTATCACAACCAAAAAATCAATTGTTACAAACTATTCAAAACAAGTTTAAAAATGGTGTATATTTATGCTATAAGGGTGCAATGTATGTCAGGGTTTAAAGAATGAGTCAGCTCTCAATGCAGCCCTTCCTTACTTCCTAAATTAAAATTAGATCACTAAATGACCTAACCTAAATTACCATGAGACCAAAGTATCAATGCAACGATGTGAACTCATTCAAACCCAATAACCATACCATGACTGAGTAGATGGGAATCCAGCACAGAAGTAGGTATAACCAAGACTTGGGGAGTTCAGTATAGACAGAACTATACCGAGTTGCAGGCCAGAGTGAGGCAGAACCAGGCAGGGCCGCCCCGAGGGTAGTAGACGCTCGGGGCGAGATGTAAATTTTCGCCCCCTCCCAAACAAGGTATTTGGGGGGTTTGTGTCAATAGACCCAACGTCCGATATATCGATATCAAACGTTTTGCAAGTATTTTTTTATAAACGTAACAACTACACTGAACTAAATTACTAAAAACATTGAATTTACGACTCACAACGGACATGACAAAAAGACTATGAGTAGAAAAGTATGTAGGAGTTTGAGCTTTGAGGTTACAAACAAGCAAGTGTAGGTGGGACGTGCGAATACACACGCAGTGTGTGTGTCTCGGACTCGCAGTATTGCCAACAAGTCACAAGCCAGACGTAAAAGTAGCAATAGTACGAGTTGTATGTTAAATAACATGGTATTTATTTTATGACTAAAACAAAAGTTATAGATTGGTTTTTTTTAGAATAGTCATTGATTACATGTTTACGAGTTTCCCGTAAAATATTCATTTGCGGTTTGACGCAACGACCAATGCTGTTACCTTTTAACGTTGTTAACTTTTTTACCTTCCAAAGCCACGGCGCCCCCCTAGCCGCAGCGCCCCACCCTGGAAACAGGGGTGAACCAGTCAACCGCACTAATAGTTTTATCCCTTGAGTCCATTGTGCGTGTTTGGAGCTGCTCGGGCAGCCGGTGACCTGGCCGGTGAGTCATACTTCTGGCTCCACTATATCTGAGCAATATTTTTTAATTGAAGAAAACATACAAATATGATGCTATGAATGGATGTATTTTAATCTACTGATAATTTTGATACCAAATTTAAATGGTGTTAAATGGTGTGGTTTGTGGTGTGTGGTTTAAATGGTTAATGGTGTCTTTTAAAATTACTGTACACTAAACTTAGAATGTAACCTCTTAAGATTTAACTAAACCAAAGTTTAGGTTTCACAAGCTCTGTATTTGGTCATGTAGACAAATTTATTGTAAAAATAACATCAAAATAACATTCAATTGAATTTATTTACATAAGCAATACACAGCATGAGTAAATATGGAAATCTTAACACCAGAATATCCAGTGACACGGGAACCCAATGTATCAAATATTTCAAATATTAACTAACTATTCATTCCTTGAATCCATTGTATTAGCCCAGAAGTTTTACTCATCATGTATAGCCTAAAACCTTCACCAGTTCTACCCTATCAAGAAATATTACAACATTGTAATTATAAAAAAAAATTATACAGACAATACTAAATTAAACTAATTTACTCACATTTTAAGAATAGCAGTTTCGCTATTATATATTTAACTATAATTTCTGTGAAGTCATGTCCAGTGATTACCACGTAGCAAATAATTGAAAATTTATTTAGTAAAAGAACAATTGTTAAGATTGTTCAGGTTTGTTCGGTACTGAAATGTACCGATCCAGGAACATCGGTACATTTTGGAACTAGTTACTTTGGACTAGTTCCTAGTGTACTGACCCATCCCTATGGTCCACACGGATGGAATGTCTACTCCAGTATCTAATAGCCAGCAACATTGCAATAATAACTAACCTTACACCAACTATACAAAAGTGGTGCTCTATAGAACCCATAAGTACTGTTAAATACTTTGATGGTATTTGTACTAAGTGTGTGAAAGATTGAAACAGTTAGGCCCCTATTAGCCGTGAGCAACATGTGGCGCAGCTAGTGGTGCATGGAGTCAAATGGTGCCTATTAGCCGTGGGGAGACGCCAAAAAAGCTGCCCGAGATGTTGCCGGGAGTGATTTTACCCGACAACATGTGTCGTGGCCGTTTTAGTGTCCAGGTAGTCGGGGGGCATTGCAGTCTATGGAGCCTATTAGCCGTGGGCAACATGCGTCGCTACTGACTGCGCGCACATGCGCTAATAACGTGAACAAGAAGCCTGTCACACAGTCTACCTGTCTAAATCGTGGTTTGAGTCGATTGAGACGTGCCTCGCCATATTGCTGTTCTATTCATTAGTGACTTCTGTTCACTTTGTTTACCAGTGATAAACAAAGGTGGTTTATCACTGAGTGAGATTTGTTTACCTCAACTCGTCGAATGAGGCCCTAGACATCCTGAAGTAGTTGAAAAACTTACTAGGGTGAGCACAAAGATCTTCGAACAGAGTGTAATAAATGCCTTTGCTGAGCCTAGGCACTAGAATGGGATGTCTCCTAAACTGCCTGACTCTTCGCCTCCTTTTTTTAACAGGAGAAGAAGAAGAAGGAGCTCCGAAATGCTCAACCTCATGTTTGACACTAGAGTGTTGTGGTGAATTTCGCGATTTGAGCGAGCTACGAATGTGTCGCGCGACTAGTGTCCAGGTTCCAAAACGCTATGGGTCTCCTCTAGCTGTGCCACATGTTGCTCACGGCACGGTTAATAGGGGCCTTAGATTACAAGGTGAGAAAAATGTTGGTGGACTGTGTACCATTCTTTGATGCTCTTCTGATTCTGGGAAGAGGTTGTAAGCATGATTCCAAATGCCTTGTGGGTGCTGAAAAACAAAGGAAACTTATTTCAATATTAAACCTAGCAAAGGCATTAAATTATATGATTACACTTAAAACTTACCATATAGTCGACAGTAGAGTCTAAAGATTTTTATTCAAACACAAAAAACTCAAATGGATTAGGAACAAAAAATAATGTAAAATTAATGAGTTAAAAGGCTGCAAGCAAAATTACGGTACTCTAAATCAAGCTCCCATCTCAACTCCATACCAAAACAACTCATAGTGGATAAAAACATTACATTCAGTATTAGTCATTAGTTGTAGTGTTAAATTTAGCAAATACTAATATGAAATTTTAATATTACGAGCATTTAATTCCACACCTTTACAAATTTACTTAGCGATTGCTTGTATTTTTTTTGCCTGTGCCTACCTTTACGGTTGAGCGCTATTAAATTGAGTTGGGTCTCATCATAAGTCATACCTGGCAAGGCTGGAGTAGTAGATGATGCTTGGGGCAACTTAGGCGGGACAGGTCTCTTGCTGCGAGCTGGATTGTACTGGAAGCAATAGCAGCAGTTGAAAGCTGAAACAAGAGAGAAGGCAAATAAATGAAGCACATGTATACGGGATCAGCATCTGTAGGGATTAAGATTATATTTTTATATTACTAGGCGCAACTTATAAAAAGAACAAAAGAACCCTTTGTTTAGCTAAATAACATAATTTTGTCTTAGGGTACCACCAGACCCCCACCCCCCAGATACCTAATTAATCATACACCTCTGCTAACCACAACACCATAAGAAAAGATCTGGCTAAAAATGACGTTTATGCTTCATTTAGAACTAACAACAGACTTAATTCCGTATTAAAAATCGTAACAGTAACAGATCTATTATCGAATGATTAAGCCTAAAGGACTGGAGTAGGGTGTCCCAGACCACCTGGCCGGCTTCCATAGCTGCAATATGAAAGCAAATAGAAACCTAATTGCAACTGGAACCCCCTATTTTAACCCCAAGAAATTCAGTCAAATTATTTTAAAACCCAAAAATAGCACCCAAAAGGGCAGATTTTGGTAGGTGGGGATGGTTTTTGGGAAATTTTCAAATGTAAAGGAGGGTTGTGTTATATCTATTTTTAAAGGTCTTTGAGCCCTGAGTATTTTGGTGGAAAAGGTTTTAAACTAGTTTTATCCCTACTTACTTTGTTCAAAAACAAAAAAATACCAAAAATAGACCTTTGAACTACTTTTCACTGCAAAGAGCTGAAATTTCATGGGGGTTGTCATTTTTAAAACACTTTAACTGCTAAATGAGCAAAAAAAATTCTGGTTTCAATCCTTTTCCTAACTTTTTTACTTATGTTACACATTTTCAAACTTTTTGAAGTTTCAAAAGCTGTTATCTAAATAATGTCAAATGGCTATATGGGTCGAATATCACATTATAGCCCTTAAAATTAGCTACACTTTTTCTATTTAATGTTTTTTGGTATCTTATTGGTTAAAGAGCTATAGCGAAATTAGTTATTTTAATGGTTTGTTAAATGGTATTCAAAGTGTTTGCTGTTTGTAAATGTACACGTCTAGGTATCAATTAAAAATAAATTATGTAAAAAAAACAAAAAACTATTTTTTTAACGATTTTGATAATCTTTAGGAGAAACATTACAGTTTAAAATTTAGAAATGTGAAATGAACGACCTATTCATAAATAACCTAACATTTAGGCTAACTAATTCGTGAAAATACCTGGATGGTAACAGTTAGTGGGTTTTGACGGTTAAAAGATTAACAGTTATTATAGCCTACTTTGGTACTGAACTAATCACGTTCACCCAAAATTACTAATTAGTACTGTAATCTCAGAAATATTCTATAAACTGACAATCACAATACAAATACTGACCCATGTAAGGGAACTCTTCCTTGAGAGCCATGCCGTTGTGGCCCCGGCAGTGACTGCAGATAAGCGCGTATCTGTAGCTGGGTCCGTCTCCGATCATGAACTCTATCAATTTGTCAGTCACTCCTCGCTCCTTGGGGAACACAGGCTGCGGCAGTCTCTGCCTCGGAGCTGTACCTGAGGGGAAAACTCTAATATTTAGAAAGACAATCCTGATAGAACACTTGTTGAGTAGAAAGGTTGTTGAGTTTAGAATGTCATCACAATTTTTAATCAGCCTTACTAACAAAGCTATCAATTTTTTTGCTTTTGTTTTTAACAACTACATAGGGGTTTTAGTAAGCTGTAAATAAATGTTAAGCTATATTAATTTTTATGAACACGTTTCACATGTCTAGGAAATAACTGGGAACCAAGCATTGGACACTAAAAACATTGGAGTAGTATTAATGTCTCCAAAACGAGAAGTTAGGAGAAAAGTTTAGAAATTTGTTCAAACAATTTAAGTCCCAAGTTTACTCTGTGAAGGTTTGCTTGTGTCACTATTCAATATTACAGGGTGTTTACAAAAGAATCTAGGTATTTTGAACGGTCGTTGCTCGGAGACTATTAAAATTAATTAAACGATTTAAACGTCAAATTGAAGATAAAAGAACAAAATATTTTTCTCATACTTTGATAAAATTTGGAACCATTTAATAAATTTTATATTTCTCATCTACCTAATATGAGTGTAAAGCTAGCAAGGTCTGTACGGTTAGGGCGATCGGCAGGTTTATGTGATGCCTTAACTGAATTTTGTAGGCACAAAGACTCAATCTTTTACGGATAACATCATGGAGTGTTGATTTATGTATGTTCAACTGAAGACTTCGTTGGGCAATAGATTTTTTCGGGCTTCTGGTGCAGAATATTCTGATTTCTTCGACGTTATCACTTGTTTTCAGCCAGCCATGTGAATGTCCTTTCAAAACACAACGGTGCTACAAAACTCATTAAACTAGAGTTAAATTTCTTTATCATCAATTAGATTTTAATTTACTTTAATTTAACAATCAATTTAGACTCTACGAAGCACGAATTATACTCTGAGCCTTCTGTTGCGCCGTAAACATTGTACTGGAGAGTGGAGACTCATGTCAGCATGTGAGTCACACTGGCGGCCTATCACCGCACACCTGTTTTGTGCATGCCAAGGTCATAGTTTCCTCCCTTGCTACACGGGAAACAAAACTTAGTTACTTTAGCTTCAATTTTAGGTTTAAAACGTTTTGTTACCTAATAGTACCCAAGCAATTACCATTTAATAATCTGGCATTCTTTTGTAAACACCCTGTATTTTGGTAACCCATGACCTTTGTTAATGAGAAAACAAATCACTAAAATTTGTTGACCCTTTTTTGGTAAAATTAAATGTATACCAATTTAAACTGTTAACTGACCCAAAGAGGGAGATAACTCGCGCCGAGGTAGTGTGGCAAGGGTGGTAACAGGTTCAGGCCTTATCCCAGGCTGAACCTTGGACCCCGTCACTTCAGACTTGACCACCTGAGACGTGTTTCTCTTACGCAGATCTGTAGAAGCATTCAGCCCCGGGGATCGTGCCAGCTGTTGTTGGTCCTGTCAATGAAACAATAAATGAAAATGAAGACACAATCAAAAAGTAATTATATACAGTGGAATTTAAATACTTCAAACATCAAGGAACCAGTAAAATTTTTTAGTTACAAGTTTGGTAATAAAACAAGTTTAAAACTAGTTTTAAACCCAAGAGCTTAAAATGGGGTTCTCAAAAATCTTATACAAATAATTAAATTAAATTTTTTTCAACATTTTTAGCGAATTTCCCATATAGTGAATACAATATTACCATAGGTGTTATGGTAAAACCTGAACTCAGGACTGATTTACTCCGACCGATTGTCTTGATGTCCCCAGAGGCCAAAAACAACTGAGGTATAAATATATATATATATATATAGTGTGTGTGTGTGTGTGTGTCCGTCACTGTAGCCAGAGTAAAACTAACCAATTTTGATTAAATTTGGCACAAACGTGTAAACCTACGTTTATTTAAACAAGTTTGCGAACCATCATGATCAGACTATGTGAACAAGGTTTTTGGGATGAAAATTGGTTTTTCTCATTTTTTGCCTTCAAAACATAGAATTCTCCAATTCTTCTTTAACCAATTTTGTTGGGCTTAAAAAATCAATTCAATATTTTAGTATCTTTAAGTTTTTTTGTACAGTAAATGGTTACAGGGAAAATTAAAAAATGCCATGTTACTGTATTCTTATGGAAAATAAGGAGTAAACTGTTATAGTTTGCTCGCTTATGGATATACATAAAATGTTAATTAAGTTTGAAAGCTGATTTTTTCCCATGTAGTGGAGAGCGCTTCTAGATGGGTCTACATGATCCAGGCTGGGTGGAAGAGGGTCTCAGGTAAGCGACCAAATCCTCGCCAGTTGCCGACGAGACTCTGGAGTGCAACACCTCGAGAGTAAAAATAAAATCCTTTAAGCAGCAGTGTTATTCTATAAAACTCTGTGTCATACTGGGCAAGAAGAGCATGGAAGCGCTTAAGCTGCTTAAACAGGCCTACATTAAAACAAGAAGCAATGTCACGTGCCATGGGTTTCATGTGGGCCAAGCGATTTAATGATGGCGGCAAATATGATGATTGTGCTGGAAGGCCTGCAACGTCAGGGGAACGAAGAAAATGTGGCTAAATAGCAAAATTTTTGACCCCAAAGCAGGACTACAGGCGCCAGTGCAACATTGTCGCAGAGAGACAACAAGGGCTGCAGAAAGCCCAGCCTGCCCAACTGCTTGGTTTAAATTTTTTTCATTGAAAAATTAATTATTTGTATAGGCAAAGTTAAGGCCACTTGACCCTTTCTTGCACTTAACCTGTGAAGGTTTCTGCAGAAAATGCTACATAAGAAGTTAGTAAAATTGTTTTAACAGAAAGTACTTAGTAGAAATTTGACAACTAACTTATTTTTCTACTGAAAAATTCTCCGTTCTGCAAACAGTAGCGCTACAAAACATCATACATTACATAAATGAAAGCTGTGACGTCAATATTCAGTGCATCGATCGTGCGGAAGAACGCATAGAATAACCGAATGACCAAAGCGATGATTCAATGTAGTAACAGTAGGCGTATTCAAACCTATATGATCCTTTGAAAACTTATTAGTTTAAAATATTCATTAAGACTATCACATACGCGGTTCATTTACACACAACTTGGACCCGCTAACTAAGCCCGCAGAAACTTTTTGGATTTTTACAAGTCCTTTGCAGTAAGTTTTAAAACGTGCTGCTTTGGGGGGTAACAGTGACCGACACTACAGCATAACACTCATCGCGGATTGAATTATTCAAACTACGGAACAGTGTTTCAAATGGTTTCTGAAGATTTTATGATGAGGAAGGTCTGTGACAAACTTGTACCGTAAGCGCTCACAGACGATCAGAAGCAGTGAAATGTGGCAGCTGCTAAGGAAATGCTTGAACAGTTGCAAGCCGAACCTGCCTTTTTGAACAAAGTGGTCACCAGAGATGAGACCTGGGTCTTTGGGTACAACCTGGAGTCGCAACGGCAAAGCTCTGAGTGGCCCACATCGAAATGGGCAAAACTAATAAAATACTGTATGAGCAAATTGCGTGTTTAAAAGCATGCTAATCATCTTCTTTGATGCAAAAAGAGTGATCCATAAGGAAATAGTTCCTGCTGGATGGACTGTCAATGGACAATATTACGTTGACATGATCCGTGGTTTAATATATCGAGTCCGCCCAAAGAAGAAAGTTGAATGGATTCTGCGCCACGACAATGGTCCCGTGATTCGCCGTCACCCAGATTTTGGCTCAAAACAACGTGACAACACTTCCGCAGCCATCCTACAGCCCGGACCTCGCCTCCACGACTTCTACTTCTTTTTGTTTTCCTGTATGAAGAAGGAATTGAAAGGGTAGCGGTTCATACACCGTATATCGTTTTTTGTTGGGAATTTTAATGAAGACCTTGTTATTGACTAAAGTTTAATGTTTTGTACATTTTTTATGTTTTATTTATAATTAAATTCTATAAATCCTGTTATTTAGTTTTAAGCTTGACATTATCTTTTCTACTAAACCTTTTGGCTAGTCTATACAAAGAGTTCCTCAAATGTTAAACAACAATTTTATTTATTATTACTAAATACATTTTAAGAAAGGACATTATATAATATTAGGCTATAAGAAGAATGACGAAGCACCTGTGCATTTATCTATAACCTCTGTACGTTTATGTGCTAATAAACATGATTTGATTTGGTTCGGCACTGTCACAGCGGTTGAATAAGCTTCGATGAAGATTCTGATCATTCGAGTAGAGGAGTTCAAGGAAGCCTTCTGACAGTGAAAGGCCCGCTGGCAGCAATGTGTCAACTCAGAAGGAAACAATTTTTAGATTTTTAGTCCACTATATGTGAATGTTCAATACATTTGTTTTCTGAGACCAGTCTTGAAACTCCCCCCTCTCAGAGGAACATAACTGGTCTGTGGTAACTTGAACACACCCTGTATTTTGATCAAATTTGTTTATTTCATTCTTTACTATAACACTTCATTTAAAAACTCGCCTTATACTTTCCCTGTAACATAAAACTGACATGTTTAAGGCAACATTCAAGTGAAAATCTAATGATGATGGAAATTCGCTTCAAATACAGGTTTGTTGCGCCGAAGGTATTTTACTCATACACATGCATACATAAGAAATGTTGTTGATAAATAACAGGTACCGGTAACCTCATTAGCAATTTTTAAACCAACTGTTATTTTCTACATAAGTTTAAGGCAGTTTTCCACAAAATGTATTAAAGTACCTAACAGCAGAATATTAGAGATTATTGGTGTAGAATCAGAAAATGAAAACTGTTTGGGTTATGTAAACCAGTCAAGACAAAACTTTTTAACTGTGTACAAAAGGAGAGAATAATCTTGCTATAGTAACTTCATAAAACAAATAGACAGCAAGTTGATAAGTTGCTTAATGAATCAGAATCAGGCTAGGTCAGAACTGATAACAATTGATAAAGATATACAGCTGATGACTAATACAAATGAAGTTTTTAATCAAACAATTACTGATAACTGTGTAATATTTTCCTAGGGTAAAATGAGTCTGAAAATAAAATACAGAATAACCTACAAATGAAACTTAAAGTATAAATATATTGAATAAAAGCAAACACTTATGCATAAAAACAAAGATGATAGGTCAATGGAAGTTTTTGTATATATGAAAAGATTAATTCAATAGGTTTGAATAATCTTACATTCGTTTAGAGATTTATGGTGTGGTAAATGAATAACTACTTATTAATCTAAAAAAAGTTATCTTGAGCAATATGCTAAAAATCAATTCAATCCTAGTAGCCCAGGCAAATTAGACATATGCTCCCCAAAAAATCGTCTAAAGCTGGAAAGTGTTTTAATACCGTTTGGGGGTCCCAAATAAGACTCCTGTGAGTTTGCGACGGATTATGACGTCTGCTTAAGTTTTGGGAGTCGAAAAACTATGAAAATTTTGCACTTTTTTCAGTTTTTCGCTTATAACTCCTAAATAACGAATCCTAAGGAAAATGTTGTTCACAGGTGTCTTTTAGTGCATTAAATTCTGCGTCGATTGATGTTAAATACGTCAAAATCGGCCGAGCCGTTTAGCCGCTGTAGCTTTTCAAAGTTGGGATATTTTCATTAAAGCTACTTATCTTATCTACAAGTAATCTATTACGTATAAGATTTCATTTTCATTCCATGACTTGGTAGGTTCCAACTACTTATAGGTTCGACTTACAACTCCTAAACGACGCACGCTATACAAAAATGTGCCTTTAGTTAGATTGGAAAACACAAAATTCGGCGTAGAATTATGATTATGAATGACTAGATAGTGGTTTATTTCATGGTCATCATCCAGAGGTTTATCCAAGAATGTGTGAAGGGAAGGGTAGCAAGACCCCCTATGCAATTTTAAATCTAATATTTTTGAGGGGGTTACAAAAATTCTAGAATTCGTCCTAAGCTCCCATTTATACGATCCTATCTCTGGACACTCCTGAATGATGTTAAGCGATTCTAATATATAATAAGATATTACAACGAGAAAGATTTTATTAAATATAGCAAACATTTGATTTTTTTGTTAAATAAACGAAAGTTGATAATGGGATGGATGTACATGGTTTTACTATGTATTTAGCCTATTTAAAAAAAAGATTGGGATTTTTCGTAGATTTTACCATATAACTTTTTTACTTCTCATCATTGGAATCTTAAGATCATTATTTGCTCTTAATGGTCTTGCCACAAATGGTGACATTCGGTACCATCTTTTTCGTCAGATATCGAATTAAGATAATCGTGCCCCTTGCAAGTCTTTCAGACAGTAGTGCATTATATCCCTGCATTTTATATGGAGCGAGAAAATGTAAACCTTTTTAACATGTACACGATGGTCGAGATAGGTAGACGGAGTTGAGAAGTTCTTGTCGAACCGGTGGATTAGCCGTAGTGATGGGAGTTAACCCATTGACGTTAATTTTCCATACCCATCTCTCTGAATTAAGTACAATTTTAAATGAGCTCTAAAGGATTGGTGGATGAGCAGCCCCTTTTGTTAGAATCAAATTCAAAATTAGTTGAAAGTGTCCTCTAAAAGAGAGCAACCCTCACTTGATTTGGATATTTTCTGCTCCCAACCATGTATAGGACCAACCTGCCTCTGCAACTTCGCCAAGCGTTGTAACCCGTCAGAACACAGTGAGATCCACATTGATTGGAGTAAACAGCATGAGTAGTTTTAGGCTACATGAATAGTTAGATTTTCGACTCCTCTACATCACGCTTTCTTCATCAAACTGCGCTAGTGGGTACGGACCTATTTTTAAACCACAATCTAATAATTCATAATCCATTTAAGGACAGGATCTATGTTGTTACCAATTTTATTAAAATTTCCCAACTTTAACTTTAATACTTTTTTTCAATGAAATGGCGTCCATACAAGGTAGGTAACAATCAATTGCCGTTATTGATTAATAAAAAAAACATTATACGCAGAATTTTGTGTTTTCCAAACTAACTACGGGTGCATTTTTGTATAGCATGCGTCGTTTAGGAGTTTTAAGCCGAAAACTGGTCAAATAATCAACTTTTTGGCCATGTTGATGAAAATATCCCAAATTTGAAAAGCTACTGCGACTAAACGGCTCGGCCGATTTTGACGTATTTAACATCAATCGACGCAGAATTTAATGCACTAAAAGACACCTTTGAACAACATTTTCCTTAGGATTCGTTATTTAGGAGTTATAAGCTAAAAACTGAAGAAAGTGCAAAATTTTCATAGTTTTTCGACTCCCAAAACTTAAGCAGACGTCATAATCCGTCGCAAACTCACAGGAGTCTTATTTGGGACCCCCAAACGGTATTAAAACACTTTCCAGCTTTAGACGATTTTTTGGGGAGCATACCCTATATTTGATCTAATTTGCCTGGGCTATAGGGAGAACTCCTTGATTTAACTCTTAACTATTATATGCCTATTGTTACAATGTTGTCACCATCTTATACAAATGAACTGATTTCTTATCAAACAAGTTTTTGCTTAACAAAAACGCTGTAGTCAAAATGCCTGATTATTTATTTATTGTATTGCATGTCAATATATCACGTTAAATCTGAAACTTAAAACTAATACAGCTGTTTTTACACAAAAACAACTGAATCTTCAAGAAATATAAGACAGGACAGAAAGTGAGCTAGATAGAGCGGGTATTCATAACTAATGAATAGTCTCCAAATAATCTGCCAATGAAATAAAATTTGTCTTGAGCCATTTTTTAGGCAAAGTTGAAACTTAGAAGGATTTTTAGAGTAATTAAACTTCTCGGTCAGTTATTTAACATTTTTGGACCAATGTATTGTGGTGAAAACGAGCTAAAGGTTTGGTAGTATTTTTATTTCTGGTATTGTAATTACGATTAGTTTGGGTCTCCCTAAAAGTAGACAGGTTTTTATGAACCCAGCATTCTATTTACAAAATATACTAAATATAGTGATTGTAAAAAGTTATAACTTTAATTTACTCATCATAGGAGCAACTGACCTAATATCCATTTATTTTGTCTACATTCACCATTTATTTTACATGGGTCTCTCCTATCACGCCCCAGTTCAGTGATCTCTTCGCTAATTGCTCATTAGATCTGACCGAGACAGGTTTCAAGCCCTCCATTTACGATGCTGTCTTCAGACCAGAAAGACAATACCTCAGACCAGTTGGCAACTGATCACACCTAACAGTATACTGCACTAGCAACACTGGTGCACTCAATGGCCTAGCTTAACAATTTCTGGTCAAAATCTGTTACAGGCCCACAACTCCAAAACTTGTTAATATGAACATTAAAAGTGTACAAAACGTAGTTTTTCAATGACGGAGTACTTTATTAAGTAGAATGGAATCATCTCGATGTATTTACGACGGCATTGTTAGGTTAGGTTAGAACAGTGTCATGTAACCTAACCTAGCCAACCAAACTTCTCGAACAGCTTAAAAAATTTGCAGTAGTTATTCTACTATTTTGTGCGTTTTCTCCAAATGTATATAGCTTGTGATCAAAAACCTTTTCTAAATATTGTATTTTTCATTATTATTATTGCATTATTATTATTATTTGAAACCTATAGAAGGTTTCAATAATATATAGAAGTGTAATTGGAAAAAATAGAGTTGTAGAGTTGTGGGCACATAACGGATTTTGACCCAATTTATTTATAAACATTTTGTAGAGATTTCTCAACTTATCTCTCAAGCTACAAAAGTCAGAGACAGCTTTCAGCTGATTTTGATGATTTACGCTCGCATAAATAGTTGTAAGTGAAATTGGTTCATCACGATGAAAACTATCAGTTTTGGGGATGAAGAGTTGGATTTTTTAGCTCTTTCTTATTTTAAATTATTTACAACATAAAATTTAAATTTCAAAATTCAATGATTAGTTATAATAAGCACTAAACTAGAGGTATTTTGTATTGTAGTAGACCATTAACCATGATAGTTAACAACTCAGAATAATTTCCTTTGATTCACCCATTTATGTCTACAAAGTCAGTCCTTCGTATCTGAACAAGGGAGTAAGTTAGATTCTATTTCTTTGATCGTGAGCTAATCTATTATTTTTCAAAGAGCTGTTTAGCCTCTGGACTTAAAATGATTTATAATACCTGCATATAGTAATCCTTTGTTGCTGTTTTGGCAACTAGTTTCAGTTCTTCTGAACTATCATTAGCCCTCAAGGTGTCAGGTAATCACTCAATTCGAAGGTCGTTAACAGAGTTCAATAAATAAAAACATAAACGACACACAATAACATAGAACGAACACAGGTTTACAAAAAACCATAAAACACACGAAGGGACATTGACAAATTTGAACGTGACCTGGCTGAAGTAAAGTCTGGATGTTTTTATTTATTGAACTCTTTTTGTTAACAACATTCGAATGAAGTGATTACCTGACGACTTGAGACCTGATGATGGTTCAGAAGAACCGAAACTAGTTACCATAACAATAACAAGGATGACTATATGCAGGTATTGTAAACCATTTTAAGTCTAATCTATTAACCATAAATTACAGAAAAAAATTCCTAAATGATTAACAATTCATTTATTTATCCTGCCACAGTTTGGACCTACAGTCCACTCTTCTACTGTGACAGGCAGAAAACATTTACAATTATTACAATTTGAAGTAATTAAAATGATAAGTGGTTCGCCCAAAGTGCATTATCTGTTTCTTTTCTAGTCGTATTTTCCTAAAAGAATGCTGAGGATGTCAGGGCTGGAGTTTCTTGAATGACAGGAAGCGCAAAGGAGGGGTACAGGAGGTTTGATCTGGAAAAGTATATTGGCACACTATAATAACATTCTTGGAACCACATTTCACTTAGCCTACTTTGTTCGAGGGGGGGGGGATTAAATCACAGGTATTCAATTTTACTCTCAGAGGCATCCTTCTGTTTTGAAATATTATGAACTCATTTATCACTATTGTGATTACTTTTAGAAACACTGATTTCTTTGAGCTAATACATTTTAAATTTATTTGGATTTCTGTTTATTTCTTGCTTCTTAAACCCCTACAAAAAATTTATAAAAAAATGTAATTTTCCATTACTTCCAAGATTTTTAGAGAGAGTTAGGCAAGTTCAATGGGGATATTTAGGCAAATTGAATATGGTTTTGATTTGATCCAAAGTTATCAAATTCACTTGGCAAATCAGGCAAAATCAAACAAACTAGTGTTAAAAACTCTGAAATAAACAAAATTCAGGATTCATACAGTCTGTACCATTAAAAATTGTAAGTTCTACAACGGTAGTTGAGTAAGCATGCAGGTGGAAGCTTTTGAGGTTAGAAGCAGACAAAATCGTTATGAAAGGTTATTACACAATTAAGGTTAAATAGGCATCTACCAATGATTAAAACCAATCATTTTAAACTGGTAGATACACCAACTTAATTAGTTTTTAAATTATGGAACAACTGTTCGGTGTTAAAATTAAAATAAAAACTGTTAATGGTTTTAAACAATCATTTGTTTTTTATATGCCTTACTCTTCATCTGTAAAGTGCTATAGTTAGTATGCTGGAACCTGTCTCTTGACCCTCCGTCTACCGGGGAATGGCTCGGGCCTTCTCACTAGGTCTCAGCCACCGTCCTGTACAAGTCGCAAGCCTGTTCCTTCACACATCGGTGGGTGCGACCTTCTCGCTAATAAGTACTCTGTTTCGTGTTTTACAATTCATTCGTCAAGATGGAATCGAGTTTCTTCATTCTTTTCTCGTCAAACTTTTCCTTTCTTCTTCTTTTGTTTACTAACAGATTCAGTAGTCCTACCTACTGCTAATAACAAACTTCCACTATTATTCAAAGGTGTGTTGCTCTCTTTATCCATATTGTTAACAAGCAATAACATGTAAACCAAACAAAGCTATATAACATTATAACCCAAAAGAAGTGCAAACCAAGGAAGTATCACAGGCATGCAGCTTCAACCAAGTGGACATCATGACAGAAGCGTGAACAGGGAAGGCAGTCAGACGACAAAACAAGCTGCACGTATCCCCGAGAGCTAGGTCGCAGCTCCTTGGGCCAGGAAACAGGTTACATCATACAGAGTAAAGCATTTTCCAAGACAGTGTGTTTAAATGAGCCGCAATTATGCACCTTCACGGCAATACATATATTATAAATGACTATGCTACCACAATTATCAATGAGTAGCATGTTTTGTAATAGCTACAAACCCAAATAGTAGTAGAAAATGTAGAAATATAGAATAATTGGCTCATGCATATTGAATTAGTCAAATTAAAATAATTAACCTCCATTAGAATACCAGGTATACCTTTTTATCCAACTTCTCTGGCGCATACTTAGACAGAATTTCTTTGGCCTTATTGAATGTTTCTGTCTCCATAACACTATCGATGATGTCTTTTTTCTTTCTTTGTAGATCACCATACTCTTCATTAGCTTTGACCATACGCGAGTCAAAATACTTTGATATTAAGCGTTTCAAAAAATAAACTCTGAAAAATAGAACAATTATTGTTTCAAAATGTTGCAAATAAATTGGTACTTTACTATCACACAGAATGCAAAGACATACAGCACCCTGCAGTTGGTTTAGTTTTTAAAAAATCATAAAAATCTTTTTTTAGGCTAGTAATAAATATTACAACATCCATAGAAACAAATCTATATAATAAAATCAGCTCTTGGGTATTCATTTTTAGTTTGAAAATGTTGAGTTGAAACATGATGTCAATACAAGTCTTTGTAATAGAGAATAGTTTCCATAATAGACTCAACTTAAATGCTTGGAATTTATTGGGCAATTCGGAAGGTTGTTAAGGTAAGTCAATTTGTCAGGTAGGTGCTTGTTAACAGTTAAAATTGATTATTTTAAGCTTTTTGTGAGAAGGGATCTCTAATACAAGAGTTCTCTTCGTCTAATACACCTTTTTCTATAAGTAGCTGTGGACTATGGCTAATAAAATCAAATAATTTATTGACACAAATAAGCGTAATATAAAATGCTTATTGGTACATAAAATTGCTGGAGAGGATGATTTTGACGGGATTTTTGTGATGGATAAATTGATTTGATTTGAATATTTCAGTCTGACGAATCACAAAAGAGCAGTGGTGATTGTGCTGTGTTACCCCGAGAGTGGACATAGTTCACTGAAACACTCAAAGGTAGCAGCACTGCCTGGATCAATAGCCAGTGTCCTTGTAATATGGCTCGAATAGAGAAAATCCCCAAAACCGGGACAAAAGCATTGCCAGACGGGATTTTACAAAAGTTATGTGTACCAACCTACACCAAAATAAAGCTTGCATTCTAAGCTACAGCCTGGCAACGATTAAACATACCCTGAAATGGCTAAGCTCATACTGAACTAATGTAATGAGAGTGGCGCAACTAAATCAATTGATGTAGCCTGACAGGAGCGCTTGTGACACAATACATCAATTGATGTAACCTGCACTCAAAGTGTTAAACAGATTTTTTTTTGTTTTTATACTTTAAAATCATGTAGGCTGTTTTTTTTTTATATTCTATTTGTTTACATTTTTGCTAAGTCGTTGGCAACGCTTCGCTCTGGCTCCAAACCACCCCATTACAACATAATATCTAAGGCAATTGGTGATTATTGGCAGAACTTGAACCTAGGATTCAAGGACAGAAGTCCTGCATCCTAATGGTGTGACAAGACCCCCCATGTCCCTTGTAAGAAAAATATATTATCACTAACTATGAAATCAAATCACAAAAATATCAAAATAATCTGAAATTGAGTAGGCCTAATAAAATAGTAACTGAGACGCACTTAACCTCTTAACCGCGACACACGCGTTATTCCGTGGTAGTATTCTGTACATGTTATTGCGACGCACAGAATATCACGTGCAACAGCTTTGTGGTGTTATCCGCGACGCCCGAGTTTAGACGGTTTTGACGTTCTCAGCTGATTTATTCCGTTGATACAAGTCTTCTGCTAATTTCTTTCCATGGTACATGGAAAAGTCACCTTTGTACATAGTTAAAAAACAGTAACAATAACATTTCAAATCAAACCAAATATAATTTATTCCATGAAAAATTAAATGGTTACAGAAATTACAATAATTCTAAAAAATAATGGAAGATCCCCACATAGGCAAAGCCTGTGCGTGAGGAACGAGTACATCAGTCCATCCATATTCTATAGTCTAAAAATTGTTATATAGACAAGTTGCATTTACAAAAGGAGGAGAAAATTCATTTTACCAGTAAATATATATATATACATATATTTCAATATTTACTTCTTGAAACATCCACTCAGTTGACCAGACAACAAAATAAAACCCGTAAGTAAATATGGTCAATGCAATATCTTGTTATTTATTTATTGGTTTATTATTACTAATTATAAAAAAAAAAAATTAAATTAAAGTATCATCTACGCTAACATGAAGACTATTACAATGTTTATTATAATATTTATCATAGTTAATTGCTTTAAAATGCATTTTATACTAGGTTTCCTCAGAATGTAAAAAAACCACGAAAAACCCCGCCCTGGGCCATTGGCGAGCGTAATTAAACCCCACGCCACTGATTGTTGCAAAACAGCGGCGCGCCATCTTAGGCCACGGTTAAGGGGTTAAATTATAAGTTAACTCTAGAACTGCCGATCACTCATTTTTCGGTGATGTGTATTTTATATGACCCATAAAAACATGTGGCATAAAAAAAAGCATGACATTTTTTGGTACAACCTATAAAGAAAGAGGTCTTACACTGTGGTTGGGTTTTATTACCATACAAATAACATAATAATAGTCTGTGTTTCTTTGTGAAACAAAGGATATACAATACAGAATGACTTTCTTAAAAATAATATTTTTTATTCATTTTTTTTACTAAAATTAGGCTTTACCTAGGCCAAACCAACGAGTGGTTGACATGATTCCGTTTTGAGCAATATTCAATAGCATTTTAAATCAGAAAAAGAACCTAAAGCCAGAAGTACAAAGTTCTGATAACACCACCACACCGGGCATGACATAGGAATCCTCCAGTCGGAGTCTTGCTCAGATAGGGAACATGTCAACCATTACAGTTAGTACGATTGGCCTGATCGTTTTTGTAAATTTTATTTGTATTGTTCGTGTGTGTTATGTGTCTTAACTTAAACGACGCTACTAGTCTGACGATGGCATAGTAATGCCAAAACGGCCGTAACCAACGCAGTTACACCATTTGAGCAGGATTGACGAAGGTAAAGCCTATTTTTAAAGTTACGATATAGCTCTGGGGCTAAAACATGGATTTTTATTCATTTTTTCATTTCAAATTAACTATGCAAACTGTGGACAATGTGCTAACTGGAATTTTAGCGAATCAAACAGGCAGTTCCAGGGCTCAGTTTTAAATAACTTACAAGAAATAATATGACTTTATTAAACCTTGCAAAAATAAACAAATTACTTACATGACTGGTACTAGGACGAGAGGAATAAGTAGTCCTAGACGGATCATCCACGACTCCGGTAGATACCAAACAAATACAACAACACATGCTAGTATATACAATGCTGCACTGTAGATTATTATACTTGCGACAAGCTTCTTATGTTTTCTTTCGGTACTCCTTTTATAATCTTCTATTTTTCTCAATCCCTAGAGAGATTTTAAGATTAGAGAGTAACATTATTAGTCCACTAAACCATTACAATTTCCAGCAGGTAAAAACCATACCTGGACTGTGATTATACTGCTGTATTTTAAAGGTCATAAAATGTTTTGTTTATTGAATTTTAATTAAACTAAAATACTATCAGCTACATAAAATTTTTATATAAAGATTGTTACTAGAATACCCACTCAAACTTGGAAATGAAATTCAAGATTTATTCGTAGTTTTTGATAGGGACATATTTCCATATTTTTAGACATTGATACATATGGTTTTGTGGCTAAGACCAGGTACAGACTGAATCTTAAGGGCACTTAAGAGCGCTTGGTGGCGGACATTATGCAAGCTGCAGTAGCAATGTTGCCGCGTGCATTTGACAGCTGTCAGCCCGATTAAATACTGTAATCAATTACGATTACAGAACAAGTTCAAACACGATGAATCAAAATCAAATGGAAGCTAAAACACGTTATTCCAAAGAAAATAATACAGAAAGTAGGCCTAGTTTTCAAAATATTAATAGTCCCCACACAAAGGACAAGTTAACATCAGTCATTACCATCATGGATCATGGAACCTAAGTAACCACAGTTATAATAATCAAATTATTAATAAATTTACGCAGGGAGAAAAATTGGAAATATCTCACTGGGGAGCATCAGCAGATGAGATAAACATTGTGAGAATAACTAAAAAGTTAAGAAAGGAGTTTAGTAATAACTTACTGTTAATTATACATAACTGTCATCGGGACTTGGGGAAGAACCATTCGTACATCTTTCATACCCCCTCCCCCACCCAAATCTTGGCACAGACACAATAACACAATCACCCATGCATTGTTGACTCACTATGGACCAAACAGAGGCTGCTAGCCTCAAATTGGCCGTTAAATTTTAGCCCCCCACTCACTCTCTCTCTCTACGTCTTACCACACTACGAATATAAAGGCACAAGATAGTGATCAATCTAACCACAATCAGTTTTCACTACTGGTACCCATTTGTCCATAAGATTATTAAATATTTGAATGTGGCTTGGTCGGATATTGTGTATTTTTTTAAATATACATGTAATGATCTGGTATATAGTTGGGGAATATTAAGGACTTTGAACTCGTTGAAAACAGTTGCTGAGGGATATCAATTAAGTTTGTAAAGGTACTTTTGTATTTTGTATCCACCACCCCAGGCCAGATTACCATATTGTAAAACAGATAAAAACTAATAAGTATAACAATTAACTAAGAAGGTTAATTAAATTATTTACAGGATAATTTTTAAGTGTTATGAGTGTGATTTACTTAAAAGTTTGCGCAGTTAACAAATGCACGATCGATTCGCCTATGATGACAACGATGTCCCACAATCTCATGGGAGATTATCACTGGTGTCAGCGCAAACATAGTAAATAATCAAGTTTCTGCCTTGAAAGTTACGAGATTCTTTGGAAGTGTAAAATTCTTAGTCACAAAATAAGAACAATTAATGATTCTTTCATACTACCAGTATCGAAAGTTTTGTGATATTTTGGATCGAAATTTCCACTTTTAAGTCTACCAGCGATTTTGTCACCTCATTGCAGGTTTATCAAAGTTGACCGAATCAACAGCTTTAAGGTTTCAAGGTTGAGTAGTTACCCTGTTTTTCTTTTGTTTCAAGAAAGTAGGTCTAATCGAGGAGATTCTTTTTTTTATTTTAAACTTTATAAACGTGAGGATAACCACTGCAGAAGACCCGCTGACAGCAAAAATGAATTTTTTGCAACATTAGGCTATAGCCCTAACAGATGGTGCTAATAATAAATTATTTATAAAATAAATATAAATTATTTTTGTTCTAATGCACCATAGTTTTAATTCCAAAATATAGTGCATTATTAATAGCCTATGGCCTATAATTAATTTTATATTTGATTATTTCTTTTATAAATCTTAAAAATTAAACTTTTAAACATTAAGCTTGTGAACAATCACTGAAAAGGTAGACTTGAGAAGTTAGTAGGCTAGAATATCTTACTTACATCTTCTATTTTTTTTAACTGGTCTTCAGTTGATGGTTTTTTCTGAAACAAAATGTTTTATTGAGATGCTGAAAATCTAAACTAAAATAAGGATCTAGGCTAATGTCTTGTTGGTGTAAAGAAAGCATTTTGGAATTTTGTTAGCCTATTTGTAGCCTACTATCTACACTATCAGCATATTTTACAGGTTATTTGTAAGGGAACTCTGGTATTGTTACTATCTAAAATTGACATTTTGTTAAAAAAACATTGTTAATCGAGGGAGAATTATCGCAGGGATTTGTTAATTGAGGGAGGGGGAAGTCCCTGTTGCTGTTGGAACTGCTAAACTTGTGCTCCTCAGTTTTTGCCATAATTCCATGTTAATCCTGTGTTTTTAACCTAGTGTTTTACATGTAAATGTTCAGTTTGTTTTTCTGTGCTCATGTAAGAATCCGGTTTTTTTGTTCAAGTAACCAGTTGCAGTTATTTTACGATTTATTAAATAAAATTTCAAGGAAAATCAGGTTCGTTAAAATATTTAAGATAAGATGGGTCAAGAGATAAGAGTCCAGTGAAGCAAGGTGCAAGTAGTTGACCTTTGAGCCAGTAGACTGATAGCTCCAGCTCAGTGTTTACAAACATTGATATTTGCAATAATATCAGTACTTATTTTATTTCATTGACAGGTCAAAATATTTTACTTAATAAATTATCATAAAAATTAATTATCAGCAATTTTTAGCTAAACCAGAACCATATATTATTTTTACTGCAAATAGTTATTGCCTTTTAGTTTGTTTGAATTTTTGATCAATCCAGTTTTCCTGGTCAATAGTGTTAATTTTTGACAAAAGAAATGGATAAAAATACAATAGATGGGTGGGTAAGGAAACAGACTACCCGAAAAAAAGGAACAACTAAAGGAAAAGTTGACATTTACTACTATTCTCCTAAGGGAAAAATATTCAGATCTAAATGTCAACTCAAAAAATACATAGATGAAAATAAGCTCAAATTAAATATTGATGACTTTGATTTCAAATCAGTTATAAAATCACCCACTAAATGCAACACTTTGGAAACTCCAAATAACATCACTCACAATGAAAGTGCTATCTCTGCAGACATATTAGATGTTATATCCAGTACACCTGAGACTAGCTTATGTCAAAATCAAGCTAATGATAAGTCAGTGTTAACATTACACTCGGGGCTTGAAGAGGTTTTCTCTAATGAATTCTCAATTGATTTGGAGGATAAATTACATCAGTTAAGTAATTTTTTAAATAAAGCCAACGAGGACATGCTTCAATTGAAATTTGAAAAGGAAAAAGTTGAATCATCACTTCAAGTATTAGAATTGGAGGCAGAGGAAACAGTTCAAAATCTACAACTGAAACTAAACAATTTATCAGAAGAAAATTATACTTTAAAAGGGTTACTGAGTGATAAAAACAAAGAAATTATCTATTTGAAAGAAAACACATCAGTTGCCAATGTAAATGTACTGATAGAAAAAACTCCCTCAGGAGGGACTAACAATAAAAATGATGTAATTGAAAGTGAAGAACTACATACACTCAATAAGAGATTAAAATTGCTTCAAACTCAAGTCGACAGCTTAAAAAGACAGAACTTACATCTAATGGAAACCATTCAACCATACCCGTTACCTGACCCTGAACTAATAAGAGAGAATGCAGCATTGAAGAAGAAAATTGCATATATGGAAAGTAAATTTACAGAAGAATCTAACTCTCATAAAGAAATAATAAGACTACTTCAAAGTGATTCTGAAAATTCAAGTCTGCAAAATGAAAAACTAAAAAATGAAATACAGCTTCTGAAAGATGAAAAACTTACAGAAATTACTGATGACAGCTTTGTAGTGCCTAAACATTTTGCTAAATTTGTAGACAGATCACAAGTTGTCACTGACTCAATCAACCTATCTAACAGATATGAATTATTGTCATCTAAAGAAACACCTGTTTTAAAGGAGTTGCCAGTAGATTCAGTTACATCTGAGAGAATGCCTGTTCACACACCTCAACATTTAGTGAAATTTAATGAAATTGGACTTACTAAGACTATTAAAAACTACAAGCTTGGACTTCAAAGTTCAAAGAAAAATGATTTACTGTTGATTTCCGATAGTCATGGTAGGGATTTGTACAGAAACCTCATTGAAATATGGCCTACTACAAATGTAAATATTTCTGTCATCTACAAGCCAAACGCTCAGCTAAATGGAGTGGTAAACAGCCTTGACAAACTTACTAAAACGTTTACTAAATCCGACACAGTTATTGTCATTGGAGGTTGCAACGATATTGTAGGTGGTGACAATAAACTAACTGCTAAGTATCAGGAGATTATTGAGAAGACCGCTCACACAAATTTAATTATTGCAGGCTTGCCCTACAGGCATGATGTTCCTGGTTTAAATAACCAAGTAGCCTTAATAAACATGGAACTTGAAAAAATCATTAGCCAAAGTGATCATGCTAAATTTCTCCCCATCAACTTACTACCAAGGCAAATGTACACAAAGCATGGATTGCACTTCAACCGTTCTGGGAAAAAAGAAATTTCAAAAATGATTAAGCTCTGTATTTATGGAAACAACCTAAATCGCCTGAAAAATAGCTCAAACAATCAGGCTGATAAGGTGCCGGTATTCTGTGAGGAGTCTTTTTTTGATATCACCAAAAAGGCAAAGGGGATACAAGTGGTGGAGGCAGATATGTATAAGGTAATTGAGGGGCTAAGGAACGATAATTCTGTAGCCTTCGCCCATACCATCTCCGGCGACTTCCATCACCCAAGAAGAATGACTGCGGGTGTGGCCGTGGCTTTTAGGAAACACTTTGGGAAGCCTGATTTAAAAGATTGCATAACAAACTTTTTGACATGCCAAAGGACCAATCCTAAACAAGCAACGGTATATAGCCTTATAACCAAAGAACACTTCAACGGCAAACCCACACTGGATACTTATAACTCTGCTTTCAAAGATCTTACAGATAACATTAAGACCAAGAGCTTCAGAGTGCTAATCTGCTCCCCAATGGGGTGTGTCCGAGATCTTGTGCAGATTGAGCATTTTGCCATGAAGATAAGCGAGTTTCATGATATCACCGGTGTACCGGTCATAGTTGTCACCAACATGCAACCAGGAGCTCAGCGTGTTCTCCATCATGGACTCTCCCATCCCCAATTCACCCTCAAACTTCGACAAGAATTACAAAAAGTATCACAATCAAGAGAAGTGATTTCACAACATCAATTTCAACTTCAGCTACAATCACCACCTAGTAGCTCTCAACAGCAGTCATCACCGGATCAGCATCCCTCAACACAACAACATCCCTCAACACAACAACATCCCTCAACACAACAACATCCCTCTGCAATAGAAGTTCCTGATGTTGGCTCCACAGGCCCCCGAACGGTTCCTGGTCATCTCAACTACAATGAGGTGTTGAAGAGTAAACCATCAGTGTCAAGTGCCAAAAAGCAGAGTAAATGTGTTGTGTCAAGTGGTGAGAGCAATCAGGTGATAGATGTAGATTCCTCCTTAGATAATAGCTTACATTTGTCTTTAAACTAAGATATCCTGACAAAGACCAAATGCCTGCTAAACTAGTTCTAGACAAATTTTATAATCTCAACAGTGTAAAAGCTCAGAGTAATATTAGCTCAGATTCGTTAAAAAACAGCGATACTTACAGTAAATTTAATTTAGTAATGCACTACAATTGTCAAGGGTTAAATTCTACTAAAATATCAGAGCTCAATTTATTTTTATCACAGTCCAAATTAAATATTAAAGTCATGTCATTAAATGAACTTTGGTTGGATAATGATTCTATTTCTTTACTCAATACAATAGATAATTTTAGAATTGCTGACTCTTATGTAAGAAATAGTAGCCTAAGGGGTGGTTCATGTATATTAGTTGATAATAATTGTAAATACTTAACTGTACAGGAGTTTTCTTATTTAAATGAAGATTTTATTTTTGAATGTTCTGCTACCGAACTTGTAGATTTCAATTCAATATTTTTTTCCATTTATACAGTGCCAAATTATAATTCAAGTAAATTGTTTTTGGACAAACTTGAAAAGCTACTTGTTAGTTTACAAAAAAAAGCCAAAAGGAAAAATGTTTTTATAACAGGGGATTTTAATATAAACACTTTAAAGGATGATGCAATCACAAGTAGGTTTAAGGAAATTGTTGAATGTAATGGTTTCTGTTTGCAGTTTAATGAGCCAACTAGAATAACTGCCAATTCATTTACTTGTATAGATAACATGATTACAAAAAAAATGTATAAAGTAGACCATAAACTGAATACTGATTTAGGTTTATCTGACCATAACGCCATATTCCTGAGCCTCCCTGGGCAATATAAGAATATTTTGACTACTGGTAATAATAATAATACAAGTTCCTATACCAAAAGAATAATTTCAAATAGAAAAATTGATGAATTTTGTACATATCTAAACCAAAATATTAATTTTACATTTGATCCAGTCCTGAACCCAAATGAAAACTGTAGTAACTTTTTAAGTGATTTTCTTTTGACTTTTAATTCTATATTTCCTCCAAAGTTTCTTAAAAATAATAGTAATAATTCTAAAACCAAGTCTTTCTCTGTAAACTGGATTACTCAAGGTATAAAAATTTCAAGTAAAACAAAACGACAATTGCACGTGCAAGCCAAGCACAGTAATGACCAACAGTTTATTACATATGTTAAGCATTATAAAAACATATTTAACAAAGTTGTAAAAAAAGCAAAATTACTAGCGAATAGCAATTTTATAAAAACATCAGAAAACAAAACTAAGGCAGCTTGGCAAATTGTAAATCAAGAGCTTGGCAATACAAACCAAAAACCAAAAGAAAGAATAGTTTTGAAAGATACAAATGGTTATGAGCTTGGTAATCCTGGAAGTATTGCTAAAGTTTTTAACAATTTTTTTTCGAATACAGTAAGTAACTTAAATGTTCAAAAGGCTACTGTCAATGGAGTCCATGCTTCAGT